TGGAGATTTCGGATTTTTTTCGAATTTTTTCACAATAATATTCTGAAAATAGATAAATTTTAACACATTTTGATGCAATGAAAAAATTGATCAGAGTCCCCCTTTTAACAGTAGACTCATTAATTTTTTTGAAGGATGACAATACAAAGGGATTAAAAAGAGTTTGTTTTGCCAGCGTTGTTCAATAATTAACGTATCACTCACGATTCCTTTTTCGAACTTCATTAGAAGCATGTGTACGAATGTTCAAATCAAACTTCAGATTTATTGCTGTCAGTGACTTTCAAGATTAATAAGAAGTCTTGTAAGTTTTCGCTCTGTTCTTTTGTGATTTATCTGTAGTCATGCAAGCATCATGGACCTCGTAGCGGTAAAAACTCTGTCTTCTGAACTTTTTCTCAACTTTAGACTTATCTAGTTTATCATATGGTTCTCTGGACGCCCTTAGAGCCCATTTATCTTTTGCGCCTCCTACTTATCCTTTTTTCAATACCCCAATTCTATTTTTAAAAAGGTTGTGAAGTGGGCGGAGTTAATATCGGGAAAACGTTGCTCCAACCAGTTCGGAATTTTTCTTCCACATTCATCAAGTGAGGTCCAGAAACCCGAAGCCTGGAATTTTCTCATTTTTCAACAGTAGTGTGATGGTGCGGAAGAGAGGACAGGAGACAAGGAATGGAATGACCCTTAACTGCAGAGTATTTCCTTCCATCTCTATCAGTTTTGTTTTTGCGTTTTTTTCTCGAATTGTTCTAGAATTGTTGTTTTTTTTTTGGCATGTTTCGTCTATAACTCTGTTCATAGGCAGTTTTTCAAAAAACCTCCTGTTGTAGTACTGTTCAAGTTATTAGGTTGGCGGGAAAGTCTTTGTCACTTTTTCAATAGTTTATTTCTCAAAGAAAAAATAACCGAATAATTAATTATATTGTCCATCATTATCAACAACATGTCTCCAACGTTCCCTCAATTTATGGATTCCATTGCGGTAGAATCCAGCCGGGCGTGAGGCAAAGTATTGTTTGAGTGCCGCTTCGACCGCTCCACGGGAATTGAAGCTTCTTCCTTCGAAGGCACGTGTCATATCGCCAAATAACCAATAGTCGGAAGGAGCAAGATCAGGAGAATACGGGGGGTGAGGGAGAACATTCCATCCATATCCCATCAGCTCCTGCTTCACTTGTTTCGAAACATGTGGGCGAGCGTTATCATGTTGATAGTACACTTTCTTGTCTTTCAGGGCCGAACGGTCGACTGCTTTCTTGAGGTTTCGTAGTTGAGTAGTGTAGAGGTCTCCAGTTATTGTTTTGCCCTCGGGCAGAAGTTCCCAGTAGATGGGGCCGTCCACTCCCCACCACACAGAGAGCATAACTTTTTTCGGATGAAGGCCGGGTTTGGGGACATCCTGTGGGCTCTCTCCTTCTCCAACCCACTGGGATTTCCTGTGGTGATTATCGTAGAAGACCCACTTCTCATCTCCGGTTATTAGCCGGTCCAGCCATCGATCGCCCGCGTGGAGAGTGAGAAGAGTAATCGAATCGTCGACTCGGCGGTCAAGGTTGGCTTGAGTCAGGTGATGAGGTATGAATCGACCAAAAAGTTTTCTCATTCCAAGAGACTTCAAACCTTCAAGGACTGTGCTATGGTGAACTCCGAATGTGACAGCTAGTTCACGGCTAGATTGAAATGGATCCGATTGCAATGCGTGCTTCAGCTTGTCCAAATCCAACTCACGGGGTCTCCCAGAGCGATCCTTTTCATCGAGCGAGAAGTCATCTTTTTCGAAACGATGGAACCAATTGCGAATAGTATTGTAGTGAGGGGCATGTGTGTTGTACACATTCTTCAAGAAAGTTTCCGAATCCTTCATCGTGGTGTGAGATAGGAAGAGGTAAATCAAAACATGTCTGATGTGAATAGCAGTGGGAACAAACATATCGTTTCAATTACAGATGAGGAGCAGGGAAGGAAATGGGGACTTGTTTATATGGAAGGTTCTTATCACCTTGTTATTCACTAGAGTCGATATCATACACAGCCTCCATATACGAGAACAGTGATTAAACAAACAGAGTGACAAAGACTTTCCCGCCAACCTAATATATCATAGCTAAGTTAGTTTTCGAAAGTCGATCCAAAAAGAAACTATAGCACGGCTCGACAGGGTCTATTTGAAGAATTTTATATTTCACATACTGCCTACATACAGTACGCCACAAGCTTTTCAATTCCTTCGCCATGTCACATATGTTTTTGTTCTTCTACGTTTTTCTCCTTCCAAAAGATCCCCCACTCGTTCCTTTCTATTGGGAGGTGGGGTGGAGCTAGAGTCAAAGAAGACGTTACTCTTCCAAAATCTCCATGTTGGTTCTTCTTTTCGTCCCGTTAGTGACGTGGCCACAGATTAAAAGCTATCGAAACGTTTTCCATTTTCTAGAAGTAGTGGTTTGGAAGAAGACACAAAAAAAAGGAATGGGATGAACTAAATTGCATAGAACTCCAGTCGTTTCTACTAATGTCTTCAACACATTCCTTTAGATTTGAACGTTTTTAAATGATTCACTTCCACCCATTTTTCCATTCAACTCTCCGAGACATCTATTCCTTCTGGCATCACACACTGTATCGAAACATTTCCAATTAGTTCATGACTACAGTACATTCATATCATAACAGACCCTGATATTTATTTTGGTCTAACTCTGATCTTCCCGAATCTCTTACATCAAACATTTCAATTTTTCCCATTTTCTTCAGTAGTTTCTTTCGAAGTTCCGAGTGAAAGTTGCATAACTCACTATGGATACGTCACCCTTCTCATAAAACTTTCCTTGACGTTGCTGTGGCAAACATTGACTTCTGTCCGCTCAAAATGCTTTTCCAAATTCGGTGTTTTGTACATTTTTGAAAACTAGGCATCCATTAGTATTCGAAGCTTTTTATTATACATTTCAAATTTCAGGTAATTGACATCTAGCAATAGCCCCATTATTGGATGAATAAAAAAGAGAAGGATCATAAAAATCTATGGTAAGTCTATAGAGTTTTTATTTCCAATAATTCGAAAACTTGGAAAATATATAATTTCTTTCAATACTCCTTCCCAAAGCTAAACGTTTTCTCGTAAAAAAAAATATAATTCGGGTTTTTTGGAGAAACAAATTTTTTGAAGTTTGAGACAGAAAAAAAAGGAAGGGACTTGCTGCAAAGGAAGAAAAAAATTACTGAACCAAGCCAATAAGTTTCAGTGGCAACGAATCAGGAACGTTTTCCGGCACCTGTTCACCGGTCACGAAGGAAAAGTGAACCAGCTGACCATCTATGCGCTGCTACACTTTTCACTCGATGTATATGTTGTGATGTTCATGGTTCGCTATTATATGAGCCAAGGTCATGGAGAATTCAAAGTTGGTTTTTCCAATTTCATTTATATCCATAGTTTCCAAACCAGGGTTTTTTTGGATCCAGAACGCAGTTCAAAGTACAAATTCTCAGAATGCATAATTTGCACAATGGAAACCAATGCGTTCGTATCATTCTTAGCGCGTCGAGATCCGCCAAAATGATATCCCTTTCGAGTTGTTTCTGCAAATATCATTTCTTGGAAATGTGTTCTTTTCAAAAAAACCGCAAAAATACTTTACGGATATTGACGCATGGTTTTTGCTTTGTAAATTAAACATTTTGGGGATCTGTGCGTCACTTCGGACTGGGTCCCAGAAATCTCAGCTTGGGAAAATGGAATAAGAAACATTCTTTTTTCTTCAAATTCAAAACAAAGATTTTTTGATATGTTGCAGTCCCTTAATTTCGAAATACAACCGAGTTGGAATAACCTCACAAAGCTGGCTTTCTTCTTCTCCACAAATCTATTGGGATGTATTTTCTCGATTCAAGAAAAAGCAGTTGGACCAGCTCTTTTTATCATTCACCAGGTCGCAGTGTTGATTTGCTTCACAATTCAATTCAGTGCACCGGTCCTTGCCGAACTAATCAGTGGACACATTTACAATGATGATCATTTCTCTGAATACATTGTTCATCTTTCTTGCATCACTATTTTCTTGGTTCACGCATGGACTTTCTGCTGTCTCTGCTGCTCGATAATTCTATTTTTGGACATGTTGGGATACCAGGTAAACGAACAATCGAGAAATGAACATTAACTATAGCTTTCAGGTCTTCACCAAAAAAGAGAAAATGGAAAGTCTCCTCTTCTTTTTCCAAGATGTGGATTACTTCAAAAATAATTAGTTTTATTCCTATCTGTCAAAGTTTACGATTTTCCCAGTTAAATTTTGTAACTATTTTCAGCTCATCATACTAATTTTTGAAAGAGTTTCCTGTTTCTTCATTCGTATTTATGTATCTAGGATCTCAAAAAAAATCGACAAAAGATGTTTCCAACTGATCAACTTGATAATTTCCACAAAGATTTCTCAAATGATTCTCTGAATGAACACAGCTCTAGATCTTCTTTTCTAAATTCTTATTCTTCCTCAGACAACATTCTTCCTGATTCCAATATAAACCAACTGCTCACTAAACTCTTCTTCTTTTTCTTGTAGAACAATGAATCTCAGATCTGTTTCATAGTCTATCAATGAAAAAAAAGTTTGGGCCGAACCGGGAGTCGAACCCGGGACCTCTCGCACCCGAAGCGAGAATCATACCCCTAGACCATCCGGCCACTGAGTTCACGTCGCCAGCTAGTATGTCAAAACATGCAGTGGGCACCGAAAAGAGGAGAGGGGGGAAGGCGCGAAAAGAAAAGCAGCCACATATTTGTTTATGCTGTGCAGTGTTTGTTGGCTGGAGAAAAAAAACGAGGAGAGGAGAAAAAAAAGTAGAGAACGGATAAGGGTGAGAGAGAAAGAGAAAATAAGAAAAAACTCTTACTGACGAAGAATAGTATATTTTAATGATTTTTGTCCATTTTTTGTAAGTTTGTGACAGTTAAAATCGAAAAAAATTGATCACAGCCCATCGTATGTTATTTGATTTCTTTTTCTTTTCAATATTACCTACTAGATTCCTTCTTCTATCTTTTTATATTTGGTGCTGCGATAAGGCAGAAAATGTTATACCAGCGAAGAGGCCGGGTGGTTCTTCTCATTTTTTCAAAGCGAGAGAGTGAATGTTCTAGAGAGATAGAGGACAATGGAAAACATACATTACACTGTGAAAAGAGAGAGAGAATAAAGAAAAAATTTCGAAAACTATCGAAAAATTTCTTTTTCAAGGCGAATCCGAATATTTTTAAATGTTTAACGTTTCGCAAACATTGGATTTTCTTTTTTTTCCAATTTTTTCTTATGGATTGTCTCTTTTTTGCTATAAGACCTATTTGAAATGGTATTTTCGAAACGCGCCTTCTAGGTCCACACACACACACATTGCCTCCTCATTTTCGCTGCCCATCTCTGCTATTATTGCCTTCTATGATGAAGAATGTTATCTACACACAACTCACATTACCACGGTGTCCTCCCGTTGTGGTCAGGTTCTCTTCCCCCCGGGAATCCGGGTAAAATCAATAACTAATACACTACGTCGCCCTTCTCGTCCTCATTTTGCACAGGTCGTTCTCGATGTTTTCTTTTTTTGTATTTCTTCTCTTTTTCTCTTTATTGATTCCTTCTTTTTGTTGCGCTGTAGCTTTCAAATTCTTAGTTTTTCGTTAGGCGTTTTTTTGTTTGACAAGTAACTGCTGCGTCTTTGTAACCTCAATAAAATGTTGTTTGGACTGGTCTTATCGATTTTCCTGAAAAATTATTGTTCTCTACTGGTCTCGCTCACATCTTCATCGTTTTCTAAATGTATAACAATTTTTTTCAGATCAAATGTATCATATACCAAGCAGCCTCCCTCTGACCATCTCTACTGATGATTTCATTTATGAAGATCAGAATAAATTCCGAAACGTTGATGCTTCGAGTTCAAAAAAGATAAGAAAATCAGCATTCCGACTTTGGTGCGCGGTCCATCAGGAGCAATTCTACAGAAAATATTCCAACTTGAATTCGTCGGATATTGAAATCAAAATGAAAACTTTCTGGAGGCATCACACTACTTTTGAAGAGAAACAGGTCTATTTTGATGAGGAAGAACAGTGGAAGAAGGAAGAGGGACCATTGCTCACAAAACCGCGGCTCCCAGCGAAAATTATTTTCGACGCGAAGGTAACTTTTTTACATGAATTTGATAAATAACGAATTCGAAATTTCCAGGAAGTGTCTGTCTCTGGATATCGACTGTGGTGCTTAGATAACATTCATCGCTTTGAAAGGAAGTACTCAAAGATTGAGATCGAGACAAAAATGAAAACCTACTGGCGACATCATACATCTTCTGACGAGAAAGAGGAATATCATGAAAAAGCAGCCAAGCTGAAAGAAAGCAAGGATTACCAGAGTTACATCCCGCCCAAGGCAAAAAGAGCAAAGGTAATTCATTTTGTTAAAAAAAGTAACTTCAAGCTTTTTTTTTCAGGTTGATGAAGAATGTGAGTGGCAAGCAAAACCAATATCAGCGACATCTTCCACCGACTCTTTTCTTTCACATGCGGAAGAGATTAGCACTTCGGAGCAGCCAACAACTTCTACGGAAGCTTCGACCGAGAAAGAGAATGGGCTGCCACCAAGATATGACACAAAAAGCTTGCGATCTCGCTACTCTCATTCGTACTTGACGACGCCGGCATGCTATGCGGAGAACCCAAGACGAGGTGCTGGAGAGGGACCTGTGAATTATGCGAACGACTCAACTCTGCCAATCTATTTCTAATTTTTATTGTTATGATCTTCTCGAAAACCTACACTGATCTGAAAACCGTTCTTGTTTAATTTGTTTTCTGTTATTTTTGAATTATTCTCTGTGTTTAACTTCTTGTCAATTTACGTTTTTTTCAAACAAAATATATTCAATTCCCTTATTATTCGTGTTTTCTTTTTCAGTTTTTCAAGGTTCTCCGTTTTCATCAATTCTGCCTACACACGGAAAAGAAAGAGTGCGCATAAACAAGAGGGAAAAGACATAAAAATAGTGTAAAAGATGATCCGACGTAACGGTCGGGTCTTGTTTAGCGGAGCGCATTTGCGGAGGGTTACGGAAAAAAAGAAAGAGTTCAGTAAATACCCAAAACTGGAGAGTTTTGTAACTGCATACAAAGAAAAAAAGAAAAAGAAAATCACAGTGCTCGAGGATTCACAAATTTTTTAGGATTCGAGTCGTAGTTGCAACCATTGGTATAGCATATACAGTGAATCGATGCGTCTTTCTTTGCCTGTAATCCACACAGTAACAAAACAGAACCATCTTCAAAAACTCACATGCGAATAGCAACCTGTATAAGATATCGGTGGTTTACCGACACCACCGTGGTAGAGAGATCGTCGTGACGTCAATTCGGTAGAAGTGATACAGTAATCAAAACCGTACTCCATTGCTACATATTCGCGTTGGATTCCAACCATACACTCGAGGACGCCGGTGGTGGTAGCTGATAGACATGCTACGATGACAAAGTGAGTAAAGAGGAGCATCGTTGGTTTGGATGCAGAGAGCCTGGAAGCAATCATTTTCCCGTTTTTCAACGGCTATTTCGAGCAGATGCAATATTTTCTAACTTTCGAAATGTGATAACGTTTATATGAAAAAAAAAGATCTAGAGAAATATGAAAACCTTTATGCAGTTTTGAATTTTCAAATATTGAATGATTTAGTCGGTGCTCAGAATGCAAATACGTCATTCGAAATCCGCGGCTAACAAAAAAAAAACCTATTCAAAAAAATACAAGTAACATCATTATGAACTTGAAACTTACAGAAAAAAAAATATTGCGAGATATTTTGTATCGGAAGACACATCTGCTACCAACTGCTCATTATGCGAGCGAGGGGTTGGTGTGGCATGCTGAGAGAGGATTATGTGGAAGTGAGGGCAGAAAGCAGGTGCAAAAAGGCTGATCAGATAATGACGTGGACAGAATGCACTAAAACTAACGGGTGAGAAGAACACGGAGGTCTGACACGATGAGAGAGAAACAGATGGGAGGATACCTTTAGCAAAGACAAGAACATTTAGGTTTCCATGATTGAATGAAGTACCTTACCTTCGATTCAGATTATTTGTTTATTTCTTAGAGTTAATCTTCAAAAACCTTTGCTAGCTATATTCGGCAAGTTTTTTGATTGCTGCTTCCGATTTTAAGCAATCACCTAAAAAAACGACGACAGTCCAAAAACATTTCGTAAAAGAAACAAGAATTTATTGATAATTAAACCAAAAAGCATTAGAGAACGCATAGTATGAGAAAAAAATAAAGCAGAACAAAAAAAAACAATGAAAATGGTAAAATAATAAAAAAAGAGCCAGCAAGAATAAATATAACAGCAAGTCATTAAACAAGATCTGGGTGCTGAATTTCCCATTCCCGAAGTCGATCTTCAAACTCCTCCATCGCGAGTTCATGATTCATTTTGTTGAATCGGTTCACTACTTCTGCCGCGTTGTAACGGAACCGAGCAAACTGAGTGATATTCATTTCAAACTCTCTTTGCATCTCATCGGGTCTTGTGACCAGCTCTCCGATCAAATATCCGTCGTAGTTCCTTTCAAGGACCTTTCCAGCAAATGACTCGCCCAGTTCAGAGGCGTCGACCGCACGAATCCACTCGCACACCATTTGTGGCTGAAATTATAGAGAATTGAGTATAAAGTTACAAAAATGAAATAATGAAGCTACAGTATGCTTAGTTATTATTCCAATAAAGTTACCTTAAAACCTGTGATGGAAGGTCCCTTCCCACACTGTCAAGTTTAAGCTCAACTCTCTCAGTTCAAAAAAAAAAATCTCAGAATCTCATAAAAAGAATCTCAGAATCTCACAAACTCAGAATCTCAGATACTCAGAATCTCAGAATTTCAGAATCACGGAATTTCAGATTTTCAGATTAAATTTAGACATGTTGAACAATCGGATAATTAGAATTTTAAGATTTGGAAAAATCTGAAATCGTTAGATCCTTTTGTTATATCGTATGTGTTCTAACATTAGCCTACTCAACCTATAAGTGCAATTTAAACCTAATTATCTAAGTTCCTTTGAGAGATATCAATGTTTGGTCAACCTAGTTAAAATACTTCTTAAAAACTAACAGTCCATGTGGTGTAGTTCAAGGGGAGTGCATGTGCGCGATTTTGTTCGGTCTGGAAAATATAAAATTGTTTTTTATAGCTGCATATCTTTTGTCTTACGTTTGGCCCTGTAGGGAACAAAATCAATTGTGGCATTTCTGGTCGGTTGGCTCGTCGGATAGCTCGAGCTCGGGCTCTGTCCACGAGTTGTGCTGGAGCAGGTACAGCTGGTACAACAGGCTGAGCTTCTTCGACTGGTTCGGGTTGAGCAGCTGGGTTGACGGCTGGAGAAGCTTGCGGAGTCGGTTGTTCTGAACGCGCTTGTGGAGATACTGTGGCCTGAGCTGACGCAGTCTGAGGAGCGGAAGTTCCCGGGGTCGCTGCTGGAGCCGCAGAAGCTGGTGGAGCGGACGGTTGTGATGAACCAGCTTGTCTTCGTTGGGCACGCTCTGGGGTGGCACCGTTTCCTCTCCTCTCTAATTGAACACGTGCTTCTCTCATAAGACAGTCGTCTGAAAATACATGAATTGTCTGACAACAAAAGATATGAATATATGTGCAGTCCTTTCAGTTAGGAAGAATTTGAAATAGGCACTACAAAGAAGAATTCCTTCCAAAAATCAACACTACTCAATTTTGCTACATTCTCTCAAACTGACTGAGCATTTTTACCTTCTTCTTGTCTCCGTTCCTGCCGTGCCAATCGGTGGTGGACAGTTTCCTCCATCCGTTGTTGAATTTCGAGGAAAGGTGTTGGTACCGGCAGGCCCGCCTGATTGAAGTCGCCCATTGCTCCAAGGTATTCACGTAAAGACATATCCGGAAGTCCCGCTCGGAGTTGCTGCCATGAGACCCCATTTCGAACATATTGTCGTTGATGATTTTGTGGTTGTTGTTGTGGTCGAATGAGATTTCTTGGAGCAATCGGTTGGGGGTGCTGGTTTTGCACATTATACATGGGACGGTAGCGTTGCACGACTCGCGGGTGCTGTTGGACAACTCCTCCTCTTCGGTATACTTCAGGACGTGGTAATATTTGTCTTGGTGTTGGCGCGACTCTTGGTTGAATTGGGAAAACATTCGCTATTTGACGAACACCTCCTCGGCCAGCCACGTTGACATTACGGTTATTTTGAACTGCCGGTTGCTGTGGTTCATCGTCAAGAACAATAACTGGTGGTGGTGACAATGGTGGGGGTGCTGGACCAGGACTACCGGCAGGTGTGAGAATTGGTGGAGCGTCATCAAACTCGATTGGCGCTTGTTGTGCTGCTTGAAAAAGTTCTGGCATTTCAAGCTCTGGTGGAGCTTCTGGGCCAATTGGAGGTACTGGAGAAGTGGCGGAATTTGGAGCATCAGCCGGTAGAGCCGCTGTGGCAGGAACTGTCGCCGTGACAGCTGTTGGTGGAGCTGGTGGAGAATTGGGGAAGGCGTCGTGAGAATTTTCTCTTCGAGAATTATTTTGAGGAATCGAGCTGGGTGCTCGCCGAGTTGAAGTTGATGGTCCAGGAGATGGCGAATTTCTTTGAGATGTAGCTGCTTGTGAATTCGAGAATGATGCGTCACTTGCTTGAGAATCTTCTCTGTTTCTGAGACTCAATCTCGTTGCCATTCTAGTCGAAGATGACGGCGCCGTACTTGGAGATTGTCTTCTACCTCTGCGTTGTGATCTAGTTGCTATCGGAGTTGCAAATGACTTCCCACTTGCTTGAGAATCGGCTCTACGAAGGGAACTTCTTGTCATCCGAGTCGTAGATGATAAAGCAGGACTTGAAGAATCTCTTTGAAGAGTCTTTCTCCGAGTACTGGTAGATGGCCCAGTATATGGAGAATTCCTGTGAGAGCTTATTCTTTGCGATCGTCGAGTTGGACCCGGTGCTGGAGAACTTTGAGAAGCCAATCTTTCCGATTGGCGTCTTGGAGCTGGTGTCAGAGACTTTTTTTCAGATCGTAATCTTTGCGAGCGTGTTGTTGGACCAGGCGCTGGAGAACTTTTCTGTCTAGCAGGAGTTTTTCTGTCACGTTTCGGTGTACTACTTGATGTGCCAGTTTTTTGAAATTTCGCAGATTGTATGACTCCTCGACTTGCCGACCGCTTCCGTGTCGACATTCTAGTACTGGTGGAAGGTGTATGGTTATCAGGGATCTCAAACTCATCATCTTCGTCCTCGTCCTCATCATCGTTTTCTTCACTTTCTGACGATACTTCTTCAACCTTTGGTTTCGCAGACCTTCCTCGTCTTAGTGAAGTTGGCACTGGTGTTGGCGTAGTTGCGATAGATTTGCCTCTTAGGCTACGACGAGTCCCGGAATTGTAGCCGCAATCCTCGAGGTTGCCACCTTCCTTTGGTCCAAAATCCATTTTGAGCAAACTATCTAGTTCCCGTCCGCGAGCCTGAAATTTGAAATTTGTGAAAATTTTTAAGATCAAAAAATATTACTAAATTTCACAATTCTTTGTGCTGCTGAAGCCAAAAAAAACTTAGAGACTTTAAAAAGTATTACAAAATAGTCAAAATAGTTATGAAACTCATCGGAAATAGTGTATTGGTTCAATCATAGATTAATATGATCTGCTTAATGTTGAGTGTTTTCCTCGAAAAAAAATCGATTGATTACACCACCATCCCTAACTTTTTTTCTGTATCATTTCACAAAATCTCACCTTTGGCTTCCTCTTGTTACTGCTTTCAGGCGTATTCGAAGAGTCATTCATCTCTGATGGAGTATCCATCGATCTGTTTAACTGCCTTGGGGAGGTCATAGGTTCCGGTGTACCTTCTCCTGCTGTTGCCGGTTCTTCTTCTATTGATGCATCTTGAGCAGGGACAGCAACCTCTTCTTCTGCTTCTTCTCCTTCCTCTTTTACTTCTAGTTGTTGATGATTGTCCTGTTCTCGGAGCGACAATGCCCTGCGTTGCTCAACTGACAGCCCTCTTGATTGGCAACGCCTTCCAGCTCTGTATCCACAATCCTCAAGATTGCCACCCTCTTTAGGTCCAAAATCCATTTTCAGCAAGTTATCGAGTTCACTATTGCGAGCCTGAAATTGAGACTCAGTAAAAATTTGAGAAACTCAGGAGGAACTGTTCGAACATTTTTTTTTCATTTTACAGTCACACTGTCTCAAAATCACAAGTAAGAGCTACTGCTGGAGCTAAATAAAACCTTGAAACCTTTTTTCGATATCTTTTCAATAAATCTCACCTTTGGATTTCTCTTCACTCTGTTTTTAGATGCGTTGGGAGATTCAGTCCTTTCTGACGATCTACCCATTGATCTGTTGTGCCTAGATGCTCGAGTGGATCCTGCTTCTATTGGATCTGGTGTTACAAATTGTGACTGTGACGTGACCGCTCTGCTTGGTGTGACTACGAGACGTGACTGTGGAGTGCTCTGTTGAGTGGTTTCCTCGAGCTCTTCCTGTAGTGGAGGAGTTTCTTCGTAAGTTGATATTGGCGCTTGAATATCTTCAGACGCTTCTTTTGACACTGCAGGAGTTTCTCTTGTTTCTTGGACAACTGGAGTCGGCTCCTCAGCTCGAACCACCACTTCTGGCTCCAATAGCGGGACCAAATTTTCAACCATTTGCACCGGCGTAGATTCATCTCGTGTTTGTGTGGCATCAGATGTAGATTGTTCCGAATCAAGTTGTCGTGGATTTTGCTCTTCTGGTGAAGCATCAACTTGGGGAGCAGCAGCTGGTACCTCGTCGTCTTCTTCTTCTATTTTTATTTCTTGTATCCGTTGATAGTCTGGGTCTCGCAATGATGACGCCCTGCGTTGCTCAATTGACCTTCCTCTTGATAGGCAACGGGTTCCAGCAGTGTATCCACAATCTTCCAGGTTACCACCCTCTTTTGGTCCGAAATCCATTTTGAGCAACCTTTCCAGTTCACGAGAGCGGACCTGAAATTGAGACTTTGTGGCTTAAAGTATGTAGTCATGGATTACTGAGTGCTTCATGTCTATGGTGTCATGGACCTTCTACACAATTGGGAACCTACGAAATTTCTAAAACTATGCTCAAACTCACTAAAAATTTTGGAAATTTTGATATTTTTGGAGAAAAATTTGAATTTCGATCCTGTGGCCTACTGGAAATGCCTGTCAGTGGATCGATTACCCACTATCCCTAACTTTCTTCTATGACCATTTGAAAAATCTCACCTTCGGCTTCTTCTTGCTGCTGCTTTGAGACGTACTGGGAGACTCATTGACTTCAGACGATGTATCCAGTGAACTTGACTGTCTTGGTGGTGGTGGTGGGGATGATACTGGTTGTCGAGTGTCCATTTGGTCCAATCGTGGTTGTGGTGTCAATGCTCTGTCAACCACAATATGTGACAACAGAGCGCTTTCTTGAATAGTTTCCAGAGGCTCAGCTTGTCGTTGTGGAGTAGCTTCTTGAGTTGGTAGTGGTACTGCTTCCTGGACAACTGGAGTAGCTTCCCAAGCTGGAATCGAATCGTGTTGAACTTCGACAGGAGTAGGCTCTCTTTGTGGGACAAAAACTTCGGTCATTTGCACCTGTGTAGCCTCTTCTGGTAGCGGTGCGGCGTCACAGGCAGCTTGTTCCGATTCAAGTTTCGGTGGGTTTTGCTCTTCTGATGAAGAATCAACTTGCACACGGGCTGGAACTTCTTCTTCTTCTTGTTGCTGTTGGTTCCCTTCTTCTAGAAGTGTCGACGTTCCGTGTTGCTCAACTGACGATTCTCTTGATAGAAATTCTCCAGCAACACTGTGATGCTGGTGTTGGAGTTGTTGCGAAACTTCCTCTGTTGGTGAAATTTGACCAGGAGAAGCACAGATTTCGTGAATTTGCTCCTCTGGATCAATGTGTGCAACGTTTGGAATGCCTTCATCTACTTCTATTTTAATTTCTTGTAGCTGTTCATTGTCTGCTTCTTGTTGTGTCGACGCTCGGTGTGGCTCAACTACCAGTCCTCTTGAAAGGCAGCGAGAAATGGCCGGGACAGATACGCCTCTCGGGCTACGACGAGTTCCAGAATTGAATGCACAGTCTTCAAGACTGCCACCCTCTTTTGGTCCGAAATCCATTTTCAACAAGTTGTCCAGTTCACTATTGCGAGCCTGAAATTGAGACTTAGTAAAAAATTTGAGAAACTCAGGAAGAGCTGTTCAAAAATTATTGTTTTCACTTTACAGTCACACTGTCTGAAATCACTAATTGAATATGTTACTGAAGTCAAACAAAAAATTGAAACCTTTTTTTTTAATTATCAAAAAATCATGAAACTCGTCACGAAGAGTATTTTCGTTCAATCGTATATTAATATGATCTACTTCCACTAGAGTTTGTTTTCCTAAAAAAACGATTCATTACCCTTGATTTTTTTTCTGTAGCTTTTGAAAAATCTCACCTTCGGCTTTTTCTTGCTACTGCTCTGTGATGAACTGTGAGAGTCATTGGTCTCCGACAATCTTTCTATCGACCTGTTTGACTGCGTTAAGGATGGCACTGCCATTGGCTTTGGTGATGGAAAACGAGCTTGTGGTGTGACAGCTAGTGCTATAGCATCCAGAAGATCTGACGGTGTGGTGCTCTCTTGAATGGTTTTCTTAAGATCTGCCTGAGTTGGTGGAGTAGCTTCATGAGTTGGAAGTGGTGCTTGAGCTTCTACTGGCACTTCTTCTGGTTCAGCAAAACACTGCGCTTCTTCTGGGATTGCTGGAGTAGCTTGTCTAGCTGGAATCGAACTTTCTTGAACTTCTGCAGGAGTAGGTTCTCTGTGAGGGACCAATTCTTCAATCATTTGCACGAGTGTTGCCTCCTCTTGTGCCGGTTCGTCGTCACAGCCATCGTGTTGCAATTCAAGTTTTGGTGGATTTTCATCTTCAGGATCATTTTCTGGATCTTGTTGCTGATGGTGTTCCTCTTCTAGCAGTGGTGACGCCCCGTGTTGCTCAACTGACGGTTCTCTTGATAGACAGCCACCTGGCACTTCTTGTGGTTCAGTAGAAGATTGTGCTCCGTCCTGGACCAATGGAGTAGCCTCCCTAGCTGAGTTTAAATCTTCTTGAACATCGGCAGTAGTAGGCTCTCTTGAAGGAACGAAAACTTCAATCATTTGCACCTGTGTATCCTCTTCTATTGGCAGTGTAGCGTCACAAGTAGCTTCGTGAGTTGACAATGGCGCTCGAATTTCAACTGACACTTCTGGTGGTTTCGTAGAAGATTGTGCTGCTTCTTGGACTGGAGTAATCTCCCTAGCTGGAATTAAATTTTCTCCAACTTCTGCAGGAATAGGCTCTTTTTGAGGGACCAATTCTTCAATCATTTGCACCAGTGTAGATTCTTCTTGTGCCTGTTTGTCGTCACAGGCATTGTGTTGCAATTCAAGTTGCGGTGGATTTTCATCTTCTGGATCGAGGTGGACAGATACTGGAATTTCTGCTTCTCCATCTTGTTCCTGTTGATTCCCTTCTTCTTGCAGAAACGACGCTCCGTGTTGCTCAACTGACAGTTCTCTTGATAGACAGCATCTAACAGCAATTTCCTCTGATGTTGACTCTTGAACAAAAGCAGTACAAATTTCGTGAGTGGAGGAGAGTCTTGCAAATGGAGATTCTTCTTGTGCTACAGCAGAATTCTCATGTTGATCAGTAGAATCTTCTTCAAGAACTTGAGATTCTGAAGCCTCCTTTTTAGCAGAAACATAAACGACGACGTTTTCATTTTGAGGTTCGCGTGTTAGAGTGACACTAGTCGAAACTTCTGTTACCGGCTGCACTCTAAATGCTTTTTTAGATGCCACTTTTTTCAGGCATCTCTTTGGAGCGTCTTTGAAAACTATGTTTTGGAAGAGATCTACTGGCGCAGCAAAATGGAAAATTTTTTGCGGTGTCATATCCACTGGTGCATCAAAATTGAACGACATTGGCTTCTGTTGAGATGTTTGATTTCTTTTTGCTTCTTCAAGTGGAGCGGCAGCTGGCAAAGTTTCTGATGAATCTTCTCTCTCAACTGTTGGGAGTTGTTTTTCAAGTGTGGGAGGAACATCTTCCTCACTTGGCACTGGTGACGATCCTTGTTGCGCAATATGTGGAACTTCTTTTTCAAGAACCGGTTGTGGAGATTCATGTTGATCAGCTGGCAGCTCGTTTGGTGAAGATGACTCTTTCTGAGTTGCAAACTCTTCCTCGCCACGTGATTGTGTCTCTTCAGTCTGATCTATTTCATCTGGTTCACGCGTCAATTTCAATAGTGCCAGTAAAGTCACGTCTTCGTCGGGGACGACGTCATTGTTTAGTTTCTTGCGGAAGTCGTCAATGGCCGCCCAGGCCCGTGGATCAGTGGGAGGTCTGAAACTCGGTAAATTGTATTGACTCAAGATTTTTATGTTGTTGCTGAGAGAAAATAAAACTGACAAAAACGTGATAGAGAGGATGACTTCAATTAAAGGAAAAGTAAGTTTAGTATAAAGTTCCTATAGTTGTCAGTTTTAGGTTCACAGTTCAGATGCTCAGCTTTTCAGGCAAACAATTTGGAGGGTACAACAAATTAGGACTACAAAATCTCAAGTTGCGGGTACAGAACACCTGAAAAGTCAGAGTTTTCTACTCTCCAATTGTTGATTTTTCAGCCCTAAATAAATTTGTAACATTTTGTATCCCCGAATGGTTGTATCCTCCGAATTATGTGCCAACTTTTCACGACAAAATAATGTCAATTTAAAAATTGTATACGAATGAGCGTAGAAAAATTTCGAGTTTCGAAATGACTTACTTGGGAGGGAGTGGAATAATTGGAACAGGAGAATGTGAACCGTCAGAATCGGATTCCTCTGCTATCGGACGAATCACGAGCTCAAGTGGGATTGGCCTTCGCTTGGCAGCTTTCCTTCGTTCTGCAGCTGCGGCAGCTGCGGCAGCTCGAGCAGCGGCGGCAGCTTTTTTCCTTGTCCGTTTGTTGGGTTTTTGTGGCAGTTGAGGTTTCTTCCAGAGAGGAGAAGCAACTGTTTTCGAAGTAGCAGATGACGTGGAAGCAGCATCGCTAGAAATAGCGTTGTCAGTATTTCTCTGGACTGATTCAAAATCATCAATATCATTCGGCGCAGAAGTGATAGAGACATTTCTTGATCCTTGACAGATAGATTTGGCAGCTTCAGACTTAGTTTGCATCGGTGTAGTTGGAGCATTGATAGATCTTCCATTATTGAAGCCTTGCATGTTCTGTCCGGCACCTTCTGGCTGTTTCAGCGCAGCTGAAGAATTATGAGTTGGACGATAATTTTTAACAAATGTAACGCGGAGTGGAACATCATTGGAAACAGCTTCACCAGACGGAATCATAATTTGAGCAATTTGCATTGGAGCATGAGCAGCATTGTGAGCAACTTGATTATCATTCCACATTTGATTACCATTAATCATTGTTGCAGCGGCTGAGAGGAAAGGCACATTGCAAGGCGAAGAAGAGCCAGAGATATCATCTTTGTCGAATCGTTCCAACAGTGGAGGCATTGGAGAGCCATTATCGTCGTCTTCAGTCTTAACATCAGTGATAGGTGAATCAAAGCGAGCATGAGCATCTGGTCCATCAACAAACCAGGAAGCATTCGGAGCAACGCCAGATCCCGGCGCGACACTGTGTGGTGGTGGAGATGAAGAAAAGTCAAAAGTCGAATTGCCTTCGTATTTCACTGGTTTACTTTTCTTTCGACTATTTCTTCTTCCCTGATCTTGAGATGCTTCGTTCTTCTTCCTTTCTTCATTCTGCATTTCACCAGTGGCCTTTAACAAAATGTTTTGAATTTTGGCAGTGACTACTGGGTCGTCATCTTTGTCTTTCTGTCGGACGTAAGTCGGTCGAGGTTCCCCGATTTCCGCTAGAGATTGGTGGACCGTCATTGAACTTGCTGCTGCATTGCCACTCGACAAGCTTGAGCCCATTGCACTTGTTCCAACGTATTGGCTTGGCAGGATTGAGCTTATTGCACTTGCTTCAACATTTTGGCTTCGCATGATTGAGCCTATTGAACTCGTTCCAGAATCTCCACTCGACATCATTGAACTGGTTACAACATTACCATTCGACGGGCTTGAGATTGATGATTCTTTTGATTTTCTTATCACTTCTTCGAAGACGGAATCCATATCAGGTTCCACTTTTTGATAAAAGGCCTCCGCTTGTTGACTTGAACACGGAATGTTACTCGGCGGAGGCATCAGGACAACGTCTTCGTCCTCATATTCGTCATAGTAGATTTCTGATCCCTCACTTAGCCATTCTGTGCTGAGTTGTGACTCTTCTCGTAGCGGCGATGGTTCAGGCATGGCTCTTGGTTCTGGATACTGATCTGGTAGTTTTTGAACACGAATTTTTTTCTTATCCTCAGCATATCTCAATCCAACAACTTCGGCCTCGTCCAATAATACTAATGGTCTTGGTGGAGGATTGGTGATGCTCTTTTCGGTCATTTGTCTGACTTGATGATCGGTCAGAGGATGAAAGATAGTACCGTCTGGCCGTGGTACGCATTGAGTGCCAACCATAGCTTGAAGCCCAGTGACTAATCGTTCGTAACAGAAATCCTTCACCACCTCGAAATATTTGTCGCGATCAGTAATTCCTCGAGTACGTTCGCGTATAATGGATTCAAATGTTCTTGTACCTGAAAAATTAACATTGAGATTTTGCAGACTTTGCTATATTTTTTGTATTTTCAGCTACAGTTAGAACTAATTTCCAATTGTTCGTATGTTGTATACGAATACCTCAATATAAACTATTTTTTAAATGAAAAAATGGGAAAGGATCAAGAGTAAGTTCAAGTGGTCTTCCGTCATGGTTCTAAGTTCTTCTCTATTTTTTTGGTTAAGAATGTTGTTCCTAACTCTAATGCTGTTTGAGATTACTAATGTCTTAATTTTTGGAAACTAACCAGTGTTCTCTTCTGGATCATTTTCAGATTCGGCAGAACCATCACGTTCGGATGAATCGCCACGCTCGGATGAATCGCCACGTTCGGTAGAATCGCCATATTCGGAAGCATCGGCCAGTTCGGGCGGATCTGCAGTTTCAAGAGTCTCAGAAGGTCCGGGCGTCTCGGACAGTTCGCGACTATCCGAAGGTTCGGGAGTATCGGAAGGTTCGGTAGTAGAATCAGGTTCAGAAGAAGCACTTTCGATAGCGCTTGCTTGAAGTCTACCACTTCGACGAGGCGGGGGCCTTGCAGACGATGAGCTTATTGCCGACTGAAATAATTCAATTTAGATTCCTTATTACGTTTCACAGTTTTCAGATGATTGCAGATCATCCTTCTCTTCTGTCGATGATTTTAATAATCTGACAACTTACGCTTTCACGTCTCCGAAGCTTCATTATCCCCCAATCCGTATCCTGTGTATCTGCTAATTGGTTTTGCTTGGTTATCTGAAAAATTGAAAATATGAAATTATCAAGGAAAATGAAAAAAAAAACGGTCAGAATTGAGAAAAAGATGACTAGACAACAAGCGAATTGAATCATTTTCGATTTTATTTATTTTCAGTGCACCTAAAGCTCTCACAATACCAAATTATGACTTCCAGAAGATTCAATTTTTGTCCCAAAAAAGCTTAATTTGCTGATGACGTCTTCTATTATTTGGATGAATCAAAACACTCAGATCCGACGTGGTATGGAAGAACTCGCCCACTCAGAACTCCACCCCAAACGTTCAGCATTCTGCGTTTCTTCTTTTATATGTTTTCTCCGCTTTCTTTTTTTCTATGGTGAGCTCCGAAATTGCGATGTCTCTACTAGGGGTCACCTACTCTTCTCGCCATCTTCCTCAACTACACTCTCTTTTACGAACTATGCGCAGAGAGTGTTGTTGAGAGGGAAACACAGAAAAATCGATAGGAGACACATTAGACAGAGACACCTCTTATTGTGGCCTCGGACTGATGCCGTGTCAATGAAAAATAAAGAAGAGATTGGAGAGAGGAACGTGTGGGAATGGGAAATTGGAGAGAATAAAAGATAGAGCTCAGAAAAAAAAGATGAGGAGAGAGGAGACCCAGTATTAGAAAGATTTTTAGAATAGCCTAATCTGAATACGAAGATTTCAGGCCGGTTATGTCGATCGATATGTTAGGGCGGTAGGACACGAAAGACAGCAGCTGTTCTTGCGAAACCGATCCCAGCATGCAGTCACATGTGAGCGCGTACCACAAAATTTTTGGTGTCTGCTGACATCACCAAGAAAAGAAGGAACATTGGTTCGGAAGGAAAGCAGAATGGAGACAGACATACTGTTGGGGGAAGGGGAGAAGAGGACGGTGGTGTGCAAAGGAGGCGGGGCCTCCTTAGAGAACAGAGACGAGGAGAAACGAGGGAAAGGCGTTCGATCGAGCACAAACATCTGGGGAATAATTGTGACATTACCACTAGATGTTAAGATTTGATTAGTCTAGACAGTCTAGACATTTGTCTAGAAAACGTGGGAAATTTAAAAAAAACTACCGTAAGACCTGTAATAGAAGGGCATCCCCCACTGTCAAGATTCAGCTAATTTTTTGCCCCCTATGCAAGATATGAATTATATGTTAACTGACAAATTATGATAAACAATTCATCAGTTGACAACTTTTTTATATCTTTGACAGGAATTGAGATAATTGCGCTCAAACTTTCCTGTGTGGGGGCCCTTCTATTAGGTTTTACGGTATCTGAAAACGAACCTTTTCATCCAGGGATGTACAAAATGGGATTCAGATATTTTTGATTTGGACTACTGTATGTCAAAGGCGCACACGAAAAGCTTCCTTGTGGGTCTCGAGCGGACTTATTTTTGCGTATTCAAAATCTGATTGTCAAATTCAAACTTTTTGCTCTTTTCTAATAAGAAAATGGTATCACTATTTGAAGTTAGAAAACCGGAATATTCGAGGATTCCGAAATTTTGAAACAGAGAAGGCCATTCCGAACATTTCTTAATGTTTCATAGGCTTTTCAAAAATTTAAAATTTTCGGGAAATTCGGATGTTCAAGGGTTAGAAAGAAGTTAGAATACGTCTCGAAAAACTATTTGTTTTGAATGGTGCTACACAATCGATAGAAGTGAGCCTCGTTTTCGCAATGACACAGGTCAGGTCACATTGGCGCCTAGAAACTGATCAAACGGTCAACGTGTGTAACTGTGTGCGTGCTCTTAGCAAGAGACAGGAGAAAGGCGAAGGTGATGCGCATGTGTTGGCAGACAATGATCGATATGGTGGACAATATTTCCTCATTTCGTTTTGGCGTTGTATGTAGTTAAATTCAAAAAGATTGTGGCTAGCACGTAGTCGTGTTGGTCTTCGCGCATTCAAACTTAAGACACAGTCATACAGCTGGAAGCGGGAAAATTGTCACGTGTTAGCTAACACAGCAGGAGACAAAATGAAGGACGTTCGTCGTGTCTTTCTCGGATGTTTCACTATTCAAGCAGTGAAACAAACTTTAGGATTCTACAGTAGTCTAGACAAGAGAATTTTCGGGTAAAGTTTTTTGTCTCTTAAATATTTCACTGATCAGGCTTGGATCAAAATGATTGGAGTCTTACGGTAGTCTAGACTAGAGAACTAGAAAGTAAAATTGTTCGTATAGTACACATTTTTCGTACAAATCGGAACAAGGAACACAATTGTTGGAGTCCTACGGTAGTCTAGATGTTCTTATTCAAAGTTGCTCTGTCTCTTGGATGTTTCACTCATAAAGCCGTCGGTCAAAATCGTCGAAATCCTACGGTATTCCAGACTTCTTTTTTTAATGATTGTTATTCGCCGGATTACAAAAGTGATTTTTTGGAAACAAGCTGAATGTGATAAAATAATAATGTTCGAAAATGGAGTCGAACGATAACACTGTATGTTAACAGAAAATGGTAATGAACCGAGTGTGGCTGGGAAAAAGTGATTACCATGTTCTTTAACTTTCGTCTTTTCCTGGGTGCACACTCACTCTCATCGGTCGAATATTAGCATACGACAAAACCCGTCAACACACAAAAAATGGTCACAAGGGAGAGAAAAAAGAAAGAGAGAAGAAGCTGACCGTGCCACCTTCTCTCAACGCAGAATAGAGAAGACATACTGACTGTCTTTACAGAGGGAAAGAACGGTGTGTGATAAGAAAACGGGATCTATAGAGAACATCTAGTGAAAGACAAAAGTGAGAGATGCTCAATCGAGGTAAGAGGCTATATTTCTTAAAGAGATCCCATTATCTGAAATCAAAATTGAGTTTAACTCTCGGAAATTGGAACGAAAAGATATCATAATGAAACTGGGGTATGAGGAACGGAATTTGAAATGTTCGGAGAGGAAGACATCAAGAAATTATGTGAGCAAAAGTTGATATATCTTCCAAAGCGATTGACAAGAAACGTGTTCCACGAGTTTCAATTTTTGATTCTGAAAAAATTTGAAACTCGGAATTTCAAAATTTCGAAATCGCCTTAAAGTTCATTCCGCGCACCACTGGTTTCGAAAAGAGCAGAGTGGAACGACATACCTGCATGTCCTCATTAAACGAATAAAAAGCAAATGGAGCATTGTCCGTATGACATTTTTTCGTAATAAAGGTTTGAATTTCGAAATGGCCGGAAAGTTCATTCCGCACAAAACTGGTTTTGAAATGAACAGATCGGAATGCAACACCTGTCCGTCCTAATTAAACTAATAAGCATTAATAATTAAACTAAGGAGCATTTCGAAACTGCCTTTTCTATGCGTTCCCCTTACTAGGCCTTTTTCATTGTCTCGCAGAAAATGATCCCAGAAAATGGCTTTAAAGGAGAGATAGAAAGAAAAAAAGTGAGAGGTGCACACAATGAGGCTAAAACGTGCCCTGCTGAACAAAATAAAGATTTGATTTTGTCGAGAAGTCAGTTTGAAAACGACAAATCTAATGTGAGTTTTTTTTTCGACGGGAGAGCGAAACAACAAAGGTCCTATTTTTTTTTGTTAGGTCAGATTTATTGCAAAAATCGATGTGGAAAATAACAAGACTACGGTCTTAGGCTGGACAAACGGAGATGAATGGTTTTTCACAGAGAGGGAGATCGGATAGAATTCTGCCAACAACACAAGGAAAAAAGGATGCGCAATCTTAATGACGATGGCCGGGTGGTCGGAAAAATATGGAAGATCTTAAAAGAGAGACAACAATAAATATGGGGTATGCCCGCGGAGAATGGATAAGCTGAGGAAAAGGAGGGACTGAGGATGATAGACAGACGAATAAAATAAAATTTTCTCGGGTAAAACCATAGTGGCAAAGGACCGAGCAGGGCCGGATGAAGAATTTTCTCGGCCCGAGCCGCCCCGAGATTTTGCAAATATGGATAAAACAAACTGGAAGGGAATGCGGATAGACAAATGCAGATTACCTTCGGTCAACTCAATTCAGAGTTATCAAGCATTAGTTTTTCAATACAGCAATTAACAGTAGTATATTCTGTATCATAAGATTTACACCTCTCAATACATTTCTTTCTATGTTTCTTCTTCTTATCTCCTGCTCTTTTTATTGTATTCCCCTCCAAAGGTCATTTGACACCCCCATAATATGTATGGCCCCAATGACGTAATATCATCATCAGCTACAAATCGGATAGTTGCGCAATACACCAGTTGTCGGGAGTGTATTGTTTAAGCGTTATTTTCCCAACTAGGTAAGGGATGGGGCTCAATTTTTCGAAGTGAACAGCAACATCCAAACAAAGGTATGAAATACAAATTGTACGCAAAGAAAGAATTTTTGTGACGACAGAGAGACGTTGACAATTAAAAAAATTTCTCAGGTAGTCGAATTAAGCTGAAAATGGATTCATGAGAAATTTAAAATTATTCAAGCCAACGAAAATATCGGGAAGTTAAACATGAAACCCTTTTTTGCATGTTTTCTTTGGACCATTCAAATCAAAATCTAAACTAAGAATTGTCACCGCGAGCTGAAAACAGACAAAAACGTTCAGCGATTTTCTATTCTGACTCTCGAAACCTCTAAATCTTAAGTATATCTTATTCAAGCCAAAAATTACCGCGATCTTAAAACCGCAAAAACTTCCAGATGCCAACAACCAAAAATTCAAGTAGCATCTTACTCCGTTGCATATATTTAGAACTATGTCTATGATTTCAATACAATAACTCTATCGATTGGAAAAACCTGCCCCGCCAGATCATCTGCTCATGTAAAACATGCCTGTATCTGCTCCCTCCTCACAACTCATGCTCTTTCTCCTTCTTAATCCGTTCGTAAGGTCATTTGTCCCCTTCATAATATGCATATTCTGTCATGACGTGATATAAACATCTGCTACAGTATGATTCGGACAGTTGTGCAACACGTCTGTTGTCGGGAGTGTATCGTTTGATCTTCCAATTGGGCGAGGGGTGTCAGATTGCTTGTAGGGAAGTGTGGTACGTCTTGACCAAGTGTGGTACGTCTTGACCAGGAGTGTGGTACGTCTTGACCAGGAGTGTGGTACGTCTTGATCAAAACAGGTTTTTCTTTTCCGTTTCTCTTTTCATTGTGAAAGAATTTGATCACTGTATATCAACAAAAAATGCATCTTGTTGCACAGAAGAACGTTTGTGTAGTCTCATCTGGCAGAAAACCAGCAAATTCTATATCTGAAAAACAAGAGTCGGGTCTCTGATTAGTGCACACCGCTGCTCATTCTGTTAAATCCTTTATTCAAGCTTCCTTCCGTCTCACTTCTTTTTCTCACCCTTTCATTTGCACACATCTGGAAGTTTCCGCCATCCGTGGCTGCCAAGACAACGCCTCAATCCATTCTACAAATGATAGGGTTCGTCGTATGTTGCCAGGGAGTTTTCGAAATATGTAGTTAGTTTTCGGCGATTGGTGAAAATCCGGCTCTCTAACTTGTTTACCATAGAGCTCCTAAATCTAGTTGAGCTCAGATTTTCTTCTTTTCCTTATGGTTCAAAACAAGGCCGCGTTCTGGGCCGTGGGTAGGTTGCGTGGACGAAACCGTTTGTTCTAATCACAGAAACTTCGGTCGGAGTCATGTAGGGCGCGGCAATTTAGTGGCTCTAGATGCTTCTGGGTACAATACTCAATAACTGAACTGATTTTCGATTGCGACCTACCTACGAAAATATGTCGCGCCCCGGTTATCGACAGCATTGATTGTATCAATCTATGTGTGATTTGCCATTTCATTTTTTCCCTTTTTGATTTCAGAATTTCTGTGTTTCTGTACTGGAAATGCAGACTCCAACAGGCAAGATTTGCCTTTTGCGAGCGCCAGTTCCAATGGAAGGTTCTCTTGGTAACACTCAGTTAAAAGTTTATTCCGGAGATAACTCAAAAATTTCGTTTGATGGATGTAATCCTTTGGTAACCAATTATCAGGGGTCTTCATCCCAGTTCCTCTGGTTTCAGGCCACGTTCCGAGTGCGTACGTCCGACGGAAAAGTTCTTCAGTCAAATTTTGGAAATTACTGGGGCTCATTCATGGCTATGTCCAATAAGAAATATTTCTTAATTAACCATGAGGATGTTCAAAAAATCACCAGAGCTACCAGAAATTCAGTACGCCCGGATGAAGTTCAGGCGGCTTGGACCGAGAATTTGTCATCAATGACTAAGTTTACCGTGAGTTATAGCCTCAAACCCATTTGATAAATCTTTTACTCATTCCAGGAGAAATTCTCAAAACAATTGTATGTCAGAGTACTCCCGCCTCTGACTGAAAAAAGCGATCAAATGTGTCGTGTGTTCGCTGAAGAAGTTCTCGAGGTCCTATGCATCCTACTACGTCAAGAAACTCCGATTCTCAGTGAGAACATAAAGGGTCAGCTGAACTCTCCAATCATCCATGAAAGTAAAGAGTTCCAGGCCGTCTTCATGCATTGAATGATGCGTGGAGTAGCAAGACAGCCGAGTGCCACACAACTATCGACATGGAGCAGTTAGAGCAAGTTCTTGACGAATTTGGGATCAACAGAAGTTTTCTAGTTGTAAGTGTAACTTAATGAGGACTTCGTGTTTCAATTCATAAAACTTTTGGGTTATAATTTGATAACTGAGTCACAAAGACCTTGAAAAGTAATCAACTGACAAAATTATCATAATATCCGAAACATTTTGTCAGTTGAGTGTTTTTCAAAATCTGTTACAGCAATTGAGATGTATGGGCTCAAACCACCGTGTTACTTTATATGGATTTCTATTTCAGCTTATCCAAGACCCTGTACTCGTGATTACTGAATACATATACTTTCAAAATGGTGGTCACATTGTAACCTACTCACCAAACATGGAAGTTGTAGCAGATCCATTCAAATCGCTGAACTACGTGTTCATGAAGTTGGTGCTTGGGATCAACTGGAGAATGACAGCGTGCTCAAACGAAGAGTATGCTCTCAACATGAAGAACAACATCCTTGAGCTAATGAAAAGTGTTGAAAACATAGATGAGGTATATGAGAAATTAGGATTCATTTGGATTTTTTATTTCAGCACTGCTACTTGAGTTCTGATGCTTTAATGGTGAATGTAACCAAAGTCCGGACGATGCGCCCTGCAACTTATCCAAACCCAGGGAATCCTCATTGTTATCTTTTCAAACAATTTCCACCACATCTACAGTTCAAAACATGGAACTATGAACAAATCGTTAAACTTTACGATCTACAAAAGTATCAAAACTTCATTTCTACCTCTATAGACAAGTTCATACCTGTCTGGATGGCTCGCTTTTTTGTTACAGTTGGTTGGTTGGAGCAGTTTTTTTGCAAACCAAGTGACAAGGTGCATCAGATTAAAATGATCGAGAATCTTTTTCTTTTTGTGCCTAAATCGGAGCACGTAGCCGCTAGAACCTTCCTGGTGAGATAGGGAAATGAGATAAGTGAAAAATATTGAATTTCAGGAAATTGTTATCAGCAAAAGTGATGTGTTCTCTAAACCCGACAGCAGTAGTGAATTCAAAAGCGAGTCAAGAAAAGAACAAAATGATGAGAAACAATATGAACAAATGGAAACGTGAAGGCACTTGGTGAAAATTGTAAAAAATAAGCACTAATATGATCTATTTGTGTTTTTCAATCATTCAATTTCAAGTAATATATAACAACTTTAAAAAAAAATCAAAGTTTGATAATCATAAAACTTATTCAATAGTTCGAAACATATCAGCTCAACAAGTGCCAAATGGTTTTCGGTTTTCTGCAATTTGAAACTTTTGGAACGTTTTAAACAAACTGAGGTCGTATTCAAAACGTTTTCTTTGAAAAATTGTGTCTTCTATCTTGGAAATATTCAACTGAAAAACGCGGATTGGAGGAAATTTTTATTTGTTTTTAAAATGTGTTTCTCTTCAGGACACTACCAAAAAATTATCAGATTTCAAATTCGAATTCAGTAGCGATTCAACTTAAAAACTATGTGTTCCGATGCTTGTATGGATAGAACAGCAAGTTTGAATTAATGTGTCTCAAAATGAGCTTTTTCAATTTTCTAGTGCTTACGGAAGTTTTGTTCAAAATTCGTGTTCTGACTCCTCAAATCGGCTTGTCGATTTGCAAAAATGAAACCAGAAATAGAGGTTACAAAAAAGTACAACTTTACGCTCTCTTTCCAATTTCTCGAAATTTTCTTCAATGTTTTCAGACCTCTAATAGTCTCGAACTTAGGAAAATAGAATTTCGGAAAGTGCAAAGTCAAAAAAGATCATAAATACAACAAGTAGATGAGCTTTTTTCCCATTCAAAATTTATACTCATTTCTCGACAAAACTACTCTTTTTTTTGGCTGCACTGCCATTATTCATCTTCCCAATTTTTTATGGCTATCTTGAGGAAAATCTTATTTCACATTTTCAATTTTCGCTTTTTTTATGTTCGTTTTTCACACCAAAAATGAGGAAAACGAAATTTCCTATGTATTTTACTTCACAATGCTTTAAGTTTATTATGAATTGCATTCCAAGTTTGTGATTTCCAATTTGTTCAATGTTCTGTTAAAATTTTAAACTTCTTTCTTCTTTCTTGCTCAATTTCTCTCTATCAGTCGTAATTCTAATCAGAAAGTTATATGCAATGCTATAGATTTTTTTCTGAAACACTTTCCAGAAAAAGCCTACTTTCTGAAAAAAAGTAATCGGAAAATTGGCGAGTTCAAGAACGCGTTAAAAACGCAAAAGTATATGATATACTCTCTTACAATTTGTCTGCTTTCAAAATTTGCCAAGATACATATAAAACAAATCCCTTCTTTCTTATGTCCAAATGTACAACCTTTTTCATTTTCCTTCGGTACTCGGTCGCTCTCATAACTCCTTTTTTTCTCGTTCATCAATGTCTCGTCTACATGACACCCATCTTTCTTGTTTTCTTCTGATAGAGTAATAAGGAAAACGTGTACTGTCAAAAGAAAGCTGTTCAAAGAATCAGCAAGTACCAATAAAAACGAGGACAAAAACGAAAAGAGGATATAATTTTTGTAGTGATTAGAAACTGTTTCGAACAAAATTAGCGGAAAAAGTTGCCGACAAAGTGGGTTTCTTGAAATCGAATCATGGCCTGAAACTGCACAAGCATTAGTAGGACTGGTTGGTTTTAGAAATCCAGAATACTACGCGATTGATTAGCTCCCACATTTAGTTATACATATTCAAAGCAGGGAATTTTCCGTGACGGTGTACAGTGATTGGTATTCATAGCCAGCATGGCTATTGTGCCGCTGTAAAAATATTATTGTTCGGCAGCCACTTTAGCTCAGCTAGTAGCAACACGACACCTCCAACCATGGGCCCACCAGTTGAACTCCTCGAGAGGGTTTATATAAACGAAATTTCGAGAAAAAATTTGTTTTGTGTTCCCGTTCTCTGATGAATCACCATTATCCAGTTTCCTCATTATTCTGTTTCTCTTTTCAATATCGTTTACGTTTCTGATTTCATTGACATTATGATCAAACTATTTATAACTTCATTCATCTATTCTTACTGTCTACCATTCTCTGATTCATTGCACACATGAAAGCCTCTGGTATCACCAATGCTGTCCAGCATCCAATAAGAACAGAGAAAAAGAAGGAGCGCAAAAAAAAGATAAAACACAAACGATTGGGAGGGTGCTAGCAATGTGTGCATATGCTAAAACGTGCGAAATTTTTTATGAACGGTCTGCTACATTGCCGTGTTCTGTCTCGAGTGAACCAGAAGTGTATGAGTAGCGAAGAAAAAGAGGGAAACTGTTGTTCTTTTTCCCTCTTCTCTCTGATTTTCTGATTTCTGGATGGAAAGAATTTTGTAGCAACTTTCTAGTTCTACTTCTGGCTCATTTTTCGTTTTTTCCTCAATCTCTTTTTTGCTAATCGCAGCTGTAATCTGATATTGTATTGAAGGAATATACACTGCCCATAAGCTTCTGTAAGCGATCAAACGGAGATAATCAGATATTATAAACTTTTTGAGCTGTCTGATGACCCGTTCTCCTTCACACAGTACTCCATACACTTTCAACACCGCTTGACACCTAGCCCCGAAGCTCGCTAAAATATTAGAAGATGGATAACAAACTGAATTCAAATTTCAAACGGAAGAATGGTCAGTTTTTTATTTTGCATTTTCTCTGTCTGACGTTTTTACCATCTTCTTTGTGAGATTACCAAGAAGCGGATAGATTGTTAGTGATGAAGGGGGAGCCCACACACAAACCTCTATAGTTCGTGCGAACAGGGACATGCAAACTAGTTGTAGGAGAGGGAAAAGGCGACAGTTTAGCTAGTTGCTTCCACCATATTTTATTCTCTAGTTTGGGATATTCAGAACGGCCCCCCTTAAAAGAAGGGCCCTCTTTGGATGTGTACTTTACTTTAGTACTTTTCTTCGCTACTCATACACTTCTGGTTCACTCGAGACAGAACACGGCAATGTAGCAGACCGTTCATAAAAAATTTCGCACGTTTTAGCATATGCACACATTGCTAGCACCCTCCCAATCGTTTGTGTTTTATCTTTTTTTTGCGCTCCTTCTTTTTCTCTGTTCTTATTGGATGCTGGACAGCATTGGTGATACCAGAGGCTTTCATGTGTGCAATGAATCAAAGAATGGTAGACAGTAAGAATAGATGAATGAAGTTATAAATAGTTTGATCATAATGTCAATGAAATCAGAAACGTAAACGATATTGAAAAGAGAAACAGAATAATGAGGAAACTGGATAATGGTGATTCATCAGAGAACGGGAACACAAAACAAATTTTTTCTCGAAATTTCGTTTATATAAACCCTCTCGAGGAGTTCAACTGGTGGGCCCATGGTTGGAGGTGTCGTGTTGCTACTAGCTGAGCTAAAGTGGCTGCCGAACAATAATATTTTTACAGCGGCACAATAGCCATGCTGGCTATGAATACCAATCACTGTACACCGTCACGGAAAATTCCCTGCTTTGAATATACGCGTAGTATTCTGGATTTCTAAAACCAACCAGTCCTACTGCAAACGAGGATGTGGTCATGATTCCGGTCATCATCGATGAAGATGAGATCAACAAGGACGGCGAAGTTATCGACGAAGAAAACCAAGAAAATGACCAAACAAGAAACATTGGTTTAGATGACACCAAACAGAACAATCTTGCGGAAATTAATGGTGAATTCATAGAAGCAGTGGAAGAAATCGACTTAAAGTTTGACGAGATGGAAGCTTCAGAAGGTCATTATCATATCGATAAAGAAATGGAAGAAGTCGAGATGGAAAAGGAAGCAAAACGTGGCACTGAAGAAGAAGCGATTGAAGAACTGCGAGATGAAAGAGAAAAAGTTGTCAGTCATGTTGAAACAGAGGAAATAGAGCGGGTTGGAGAGCTAGTTAAAGACAAAGAAGACCATACTGGCTCAACATTGAAAGAAGAGCTGACAGTTGCTGTGAACACTGTGATGGGCGCTAAGGAGTGGAAAGTAGCAACAAAAGCTCACTTCAAAAAGTATCTGGAAACTATTTCCAAGCCCATCGACACAATGCAAATTTTCAATGCTACAGGACAAATGCTTAGAAAGGCGGAGAATAACAAAAACATGCGCGAATTCCGATCGGAGGTGAGTTTCTACTTTCATGTTCAAAAATATAATAGTTCGAGCTTGTTATAAATGCATCGCTTCTAAAAATGATTCACTTTTCAGGTTCGTTTCGTCGAAATTTTCCAGAAGAGAAATCTTTGTTGTGGACATTTTGTTGAGAAAGAGGAACTTGTCAAGTGCGATCAATGTGAACATTTTTACCACGAGACATGCCGAGAAATGGGCTGGGGACCAACTGGCGAATGCAAATGCAGAAGGCCAGAGTTTTTGGGAACGAAGTACACGTCCAGTTTACTTCCGACCAACAGAATGTCGGAAAAGTTGACAAATGCGATGCCCGAGGCGTACAAAAACCAAGTGGAAATACGTGTTGTGGCAAATGAAATGAGAAATGGGACCATTGGCGAGAGATTGACCGATTTCTGCAAAAAATACAACATCGCTGTACCACAACACAAGTTTCGTTATAAGATGATTCTTGTGTTTCTGAAGCCTGATGAAGCAGAAGAAGATCAAGACAAGACAAATGATGAAGCATTGATTTTCATATACACCGTCCACGAGTTTGTAGCAGGCGAGGAAACAACACCGAAGTCAAAATGGACCGTTCTTGGATATTTGGACTCCAACCGTTATATCACGGACGGTATCAAGAGACAACTCATATTTCAAGGAATTGTCTTATCGTACTTTTTGTATGCAGCATCCGCTGGCTACGAAATGTGCCATTTCAGGTGTGCCGCTCCCGGTAACGACAACTATTTGTTCAACGATCCTATGCTGAACAAAAAACTCCGACCGGATCAAATCCGTCTTCTGAAGTGGTACAGTAACATCTTGAACAGTGGAAAGACACGCGGGATCATCAAAAAATGGGAACGCAAAAGTGTGGATTCGAAGGGCATGTCACTACAAGATCTTCTTGAAAAATTCTACTTGGATGGCGGATATTGGCCGAAACGAATAGAGAAAATTTTGGAGAAAGAAATGAAGCCAGAAAAACTTCGCGAGGAACTGGTGAAAGAGATCAGCAATGACAGCGATGCTTTTTTCGTCGACTTGTCAAAACAAGATCTCATCAAAGACTCAACTCCCGTCATACCCACAATGGATATGACACGCTCGAAAGAGGACTTTCTGGCGGTTCAGGTCCAAAGCGGACTGCGGTACTCAACAAATCGTCTTCTCTGGTATTCAACAGCAAGGACCATCTAGCTTTTGATGAAAGGATTTGAACAAAAGGAGAAGAAAGAAGCGATCCCATCTTCATCATAATCATCTTCGTCTTTTTCATCGTCTCACTTCTGATTCTGATCATCACCGTCTACCGAACGTCAACTATTTCCACTAAGGTAATTCTGAAAATAGTATAAATAGTTCAAAAACTAAATATCACAGATCTTCTTCTTCTTCAATTTCTGCTTCTCATTGATTTCACGCCAAATACACTATGTGCCCAGTTGTATTCTCTCATATTTCTTCAATCACAGCTCAATAACTCTATGTACAGGTAAAAAGTTTTTTTGTAATTTTGAAAATGAATGAAAAATAGCCGTTAGTTTACAGGCCAACCTTCCAAATTACTCTTCCGAATCATCCCAATCTCGCTCGCTCATCACCATGATAGTCTTCTTCCAGGTCTTCGTATAATTCAGTTCAACCTCTCGATTTTCACTTATAAAATTACTTCCATCTTCAAGCAGCTCTTTTTTGCTCACTACTTCACGTCACCAAATCATCCAAATCACGCTCATGTATTATCATGATTGTCTTCTTCTTGGTTTTTGTGTAATCTAGCTCGATCTATAGATCTTCATTTGGAACACTACTTTTACCTTCAAGCTACTCTTTTTGTTCATTTCTTGTTTTCAAACCTAGTCTCTAATACTTTCCAGCTTCCAATCACTTTTTGAACCAACTGACACTTTCTCACCGACTGTGTGAAGTAAAATGTAGAGAAAAGAAACATTTTTTCTAAAGTTGCATAGCTCCAGTTATTATCTTGTTGATTATGTTTTTGTCATTCCTTCAATTCTGAACGCATCTTTGTTCAAGCAAAATTTCTGTGATCTCCTTGAAAACCACGTTGTTTTCATGGAAAAATTGTACTTAAATTCTCAATATCAGATTTCCTTCCAACATATTACTTTGTCATTTGCCCATGTTATCTCGTTGTCCCACTGCCACAATATATCTGAATGGGCCTGGTTTTTTTTTCAAACTTTGCTGTCAAAATCATCGCTTCTTCATTTTTCCAATAAAGATACTGTAAATTGTTCTACTAATACTTATCGCTTATACCAATCCAGCAAAGCATCGTCTCTGCCATTTGTTCGAGGAGAGAAAAGAGACGTAGAGGCGATCTGAGTTCATAAGAGAGGTGTTGCGCATCTATCCATGTGTCGAATAGGAGAGGGATGGGCGGAGAACATCTGACTAAAGAGCAGAACGGACACCATCCGATCGAGAAAGAACAGAGGTCACCATAATATATCACCATAATATACACACTCGTTTGTCAAGAGTACCACTTGTTACTTTCGATTGTTTTATAATTATATATATGCAATGACAAAAAATCCTTTTTGTAACTTAGGACCCATGAAAATAAGTTTTGGAACGTCCTGTAATATAACTTTGTCTGTTTCCATTTTACTAATTTACTTTAAACTTTTTTTGGAGTTCAGATTTTCTTTTCAGCGATGCTTCATCGTGAACCACGACTCCAACCAGACAAGAAAAGAAGAGATGATACGAAAGAAATTTTCGACGAACTGAAAGAATTGCTAAGAATCCCTCGTCCGACGTAAGAATATACAGTATTCATCGCTTCTATGTGATCATATACTCGTTATAGAAAGATTCGTCTACTCGAGGAAATTGCAAGAAGATGGGAAATCATAGATGAAATCAAAATTGATTCAAAATTCTGCGCTGACAAACAAATCACGGTTGCTTTAGAACCGTTGGCAGAACATATTCGTCGCCAGGTTGAATATGAGTTCGATCTGTAAGTTATTTTTGATAAACCTGTTTATGGAAAAATTGGACCGTAAACTAATTTTTTACAGAAGCACAAAACTAAAAAAGCTGGAGGCTATTCTGATCGTCCTGAAATCCGAACTCAATGGAGAAGTGTAGGTTTTTATTCTTATCTTAAAATAGTTCAGAAAGATGTTACTGTAGACATTCTGATAACACAACTAACTTTGAGGCTTAGTATTTAATTTCCCGTTGAAGATATCGAAGAGTAGTTAACCGACAAAATCTTGCTGACATTACGATACAATTTTTTTGTGATATCAAAACTCTATCAACAGTTAAAATATTTCTGATATAATGATAAACAATTTGTCAGTAGGAAATGTTTTTAAATCTTCTTAATTAACCGAATTTAGTGAGCCACATTCTGACCCATTTTCTCAGAACATGACCTCACAACTCAGACAGTGACGAAATCTGAAATACTGTCTCTGAGAATAGGCATTTTTTGATTTTCAATTTTCTAAGTGAACTAGTTGAAACGTTGTTTTATGAATTCGAAAATCGAAAAAAAAGCATTTACAAAAAAAAAGAAAACGATGTTCAATAATTTTTCCAGTTCTCAATATCCTTTCGAATAACAATTAAAAAATCTAGCTGTGTTTTTTGAGGCCTCAGATGTCATTAATTGACTAGTAACTGCAGTTACTGTTACATATATACATATACTTTGTAGAATAAGAAGGCCTGCAATGGTCCAAAAGTTGCAAATCGGGGAACGTCATCTTTGCCCTCCCTCCACAAGCCTTCCAGAAGAGAACAGAGAAGCACAGTAAGTTTTTTTTATCCTATGAAAAATGCACCTTTTTCCTAAAAATGTTTATTTATTTTTTCTCTTCAGTTTTTCGTTATATATAAAACAAAAACTACTCCAAAGTTGAATCGGCAGCTGAAACAACACCTACATATTTCGATTCATTTCTTGCAGAGTAACCACTAATGCCAGTAACATCTCGTCCAGCAACCAAAGCATCACACCAAACAGCCATAGTTTAGCAGAAAATCAACCACCACCCAGCATTGGTAAGTTTAAAATTTCAATCAAACTTAGTATAAAGTTGTTCATAACTTAATGCAGCAGGTTTCCAGTAGGCCACAGAATCGAAATTCTAGTCAGAGACAACAAAATTTTTTGAAACTAAAGTTTTTTTGAATTTTCTACTATTTGTTTTGTATACATCGAATTAATTGGCCCACAAGACTTTTTACAGTCTTCCGTCAAGTTTTACCAAGTTTTTTGTTGTTGGAAAATGTGGTTCTTAACTATATAGGTCATGTCCCTTTGATTGATCAAATAGCTCACGACAAAATTATCATATTGAAAGATAGTTTATTTTGAAAGGTAGAATGTTAATTTTCATTATTAGTTTTTTTTTTGAAAAGGGTAAAGAAGTTCAGCCATCATAGGGCCACCAATAAATAAAGAAAGACATAACAATTCTGATCGTTACATCAGAACATTTTGATGGTTTTTAAAATTTTAGTTGAGCGTGAAATGACAACTATTACGTTGAAATTAAAAATTTAAATTCTCAGAAATAGTAAGAAAACTCACCGAAAAAATTTACAGATGTATCAGGAGACCACATTTCGGATGATCGTCGCTTGGAGAACTCTAAAACTTTTGTGAATACAACATCAAAAGGGAAGATTAGACGAGTTCATCAAAAAAGGAATGTACATCCAAGCGGAGAATCAAGAATCGAAACCAAAGATGGAGCACCACCAATTTCAAAAAGGGCAGCAGAAGCCCCCGGACCGTCGGCAATTTCTCTCCAACCGCTCGATTTCTTCACAAACTCCTCACATGCAAGCTCATTGTATTCCATTCCAATACTGCATTTCGTGTTCCCGGAGCATCGGCCTTTGATTACTCGTCTCCAAATCAATGGCAAACATCTTCATATATCCCCTCCTCATCCACCCATACTCCAGAATACTCTGATTGGAACTTACCAACAAATTCGGAAGTTAGAAGAAACAAACCGAATCCATCATTCAGTTGGAACTCCACTCCGCAGAATACACAAATGACAACGGATCTGATATCAACTTCACAGTTCCAAGTACAACAAAAATTGATCAAGCAACCAGGTTTCCTTGACGCCAAACGGAGTCAAAGAAAAGAACTCAACAATCAAAATTTGAGTTCTTTATCGATTTGTCTTTCAAATCTTCCCGTGAACAATCCATTCAATCAAGAAATTCGTTTTTGCGATTTGATTCATCTACAGCCAGAACGTTGGTTGAACGAATATTTGATAGAATTTTCGATTGATAGGCTGGCTTCTGAATATTTGAATCCAGATCAACAGAAAACGGTTCATTTATTCGATACCACCTTCTTCCGGCGCCGAGCTGAAGAAATAGTTACTGCCGTACCACGGAAAAGCAGAGAGGAGATGGCGGAGTCAATGAAGAAAATGTGTATTGAGAAGCAGGAGAGGAAAAGGAAGATCCCAATATTCGAAAGGGATTTGCTCGTCTTCCCGATCAACCACTCACATCATTGGATTCTCTGCGTTGTAATCAATCCAAAAGGAGCAATTGTGGAGGAAGGGAAAGATAAGAATAATAATAAGTGTCGAATTATTGTGTTTGATTCGATCGATTGCACTGTTCGGAAAAAGGATGTCGTCATGTTCATGACCATCTACATGCGACAACAATTCGAAAGAGTTTGGAAGCTGAACGGAGTGTTGCAGGAGGACAGAATCGAAATTCCTGAAGTTAAACACCCATACAAACAACTCAACGAATACGATTGCGGTGTTTACACGATATTGTTCGCCCGTTCCATCATCTGCAATTACATCCAATTCCAAAAAGCGCAGGTAATTTTTCTAGAAGTATATAGATTTTTTGCTTTTTTGAACAGTTCTAAAACTAACCAATATTTCGTTTTTTTTTCAGAATGAGCACCAATTTGATCTTTGCAAGTTCGATCGAAATGCCCGTAATGCCGATTCGATAAATTTGCGGACTGCAATGCTTAATTGGTTTTTGGAGTTGGTAGACGAGGAGTTTTGTCCCGAACTGAACATGGATACATTGATAAAGATAGCTCCTGGTTATAGAGATATTATTAAAACAAAACCGATGTATTAACCCCCTAACCCCATTTCTTCTTCCACTTTCCTGTATTCCATCTGCCACATGATATCATCTAAAAAAGAAACATGGTTTTAATTCGAATAAATTTTTTTCCGCTTTTTAAAACTTGAGTGAGCTCAAAATTTGAAAAATCAACAAATTTCAAAAAGGTTTTCACACATTTGGAATATCAAAAAAACCGTGAACACTCTAACAGAACGCCACAATATCTTTGCCGTTTGAGCTCAATTATCTCAACTTCTATGACAGATAACGGAAACCTGTCAACTAGTTAAATGTTCGTCATTATATCACAAACTTTTCATCAGTGGACACATTTTTGATATTCCTTCATGCAATGAAGAGATATGAGCTTAAAGACGTGATTCGCGGGCGCATGGTGCAACACCGTTAATTTTTTCGTGCAACACCGTTAATTTTCAACTGAAACACCATTTATCTTCGTCTGAAAAGTTTTCTACCCTATTTTTCCAACTTTTGTCTCCTAGTTTTTGTAGACAAGGACCTTGGCTTCCAGAAAAATGCAAAATCATATAATTTCATAGAATATGTGCTGTGTTATTAGCTCTCAAACGTTTAGTTCCTTGCTTTCATGACTTTCTCGATGTTTTCAGTCGTGATTCAAGTAGTTCTCCTAAAATTAAACGTATTACATCAGTACGATACATTTTTCATAAGTGGAAATCATCCCATGGCCATTAAATTCTAAATAAACCGTTAAAAGCAACTGAAATGCTTTGAGAGCTAATAACACAGCCCATATTCTATGAAATTGTATAGTTTTGCATTTTTCTGAAAGCCAGAAACTTGTCTACAAAAAAACTAAAAGACAAAAGTTGGAAAAATGGGGTAGGAAACTTTTCAGGCGAAGATAAAGGATGTTTCAGTTGAAAATTTACGGTGTTGCACGAAAGGCGCCATGCGCCCGCGAATCGCGCCAAGTGGTAATTGGCACCGCCGCCGACGCTTTTTTTTCCTCTCAACTTGTCACCGCGGGGTGCCGTGGTATATAAGAAAAAACTATCGAACTGCAACGAAAGCTACCATAATGCCTGAACCCTTGGCATGAAATTCAAAAAGTAGAACAAAATCCAATCAATTCATAAACTTCATAATTTATTGATTTTTCTGAATTTTATATCATTTTTAGGGGTTTGATAACTAAACTACTAACACATTTTCGAAATATCAAATTTCGAAAGACATTCTACATTTGTTTCCTGCTCAACAAACTTAAGTACCGAGCGCAAAATCTCAAATTTCGTCGCCATCAGATGTCGTTTTTTTTGTCTATATGAGCTAAAAAAGGCGTTGTCACATGTTCTTAGCTATCTTCTCATTTTACACCAGAAATATTTTTTTTTGCAAGTTTCTTTCCTTTTTTATTCCTATGTACTGTGCAAATGTCGGAAACATTCCATGTCGTTGCCATTCATTTTTCATTGAGATGATATTCCCAGATTCTTTTTTAAAATGGAATTTTTATAACTGTTTCTGAAGCGCGGAGAACATTAGTTCTGCAGAATTCCCTACTTCCATAGAATTCATTTTTGTGAGAATCGGCGAAATGAGACAAAACCAGCTATTGAGATATCATGCACTCTGAAAAATTCTCAAGATGATGATGTATAATAACGTCACCGTGTTGGAGCACAGCGCAAACATATCGCAAAGTATGCAATTACACTTCTTCACTTCACACCAACTCTCTTCTGTTTCCAACTTGCTCACATCTTCCCCCAACTTTTCGGTTGTTGTCAATTCTTATTTCCAGCCATTCCAGTTGACCGAAAGCAGAATTTATTTGATTTTTCTGGTGAGCGCTTGTGTGTTTATTCTTTTTAAGAATGTGAGGAAGCAGTCAAGACCAAATTGGCTTTCTGATGATGGTGTAGTTATCCAAAAAAATAAATAGGAGAAGTATGGGGAAATGGCTATACTTGAATTGGTAGTCAGTTGGAGCCCAATCACAGCAATGTTCGGTACTTTAAGGGTTTTGTAAAACTCGTATTATAATCAAAACTGCCATGCGGGCAACATCCGCAGCACACGTACAGAACCACGCCTGAAAGAACGAGCGGTCAGCACTGATTATCGTGATTGTCATGGAGACTTCTCATAAGTCTGTTCGTAGTTCAAAAAATTTACATCGGGCCACGACGGCCAGTAAGAACGTGCAGAAAAAAAAATGAACATTGACTTGCTATCAATTGTATTTCTTATTGACTTCAAACACGTTTTCTTTCCTCGTTCATCCTTTTTCAATGACTCAGAAAAAAAAACTCACATTAAGAAAACAAGTTTGAAAAAAAGCATCAAGTCAAATCATTGTCATTCAGTGTCTAGCTCTTGTTTTGTGTTCCAACTCAGATAATGTTATTTTCACAAATCCATCTTTTAAAAGAAATACATTATTTCACCCGTCCTCCACTACACGTCGACCTAACTCATCATGACAAAATTTGGGAATATCTTTCATTTGAAACCTTCTATCCTTTTTGACAATTTTCCTGAATTAGGGAGAAACCAGTGTCGCGTCTGACTGAAATTGTCCACTCAAGTCGATTTCTTCTTTTTTTTCTCATTTGAGTTCATCAGAAAAACGAGTGTGTAGCTATCGCTTTTTGAAAATTGAACTAGAGCTGCCAAAGGGAAAAATTGTGTTCTGACATAAAGATTTCTAAAACAGACATGTAGTAGCAATACCACCACAAGCAATTATTTTAATTGGAATATATCAAGATGAAATAAATGTAGAAAAATATTCATAAGAATTATTGATTCTGTACGGAAAAGCGAACAAAAAGCTCTCCGAATTGCAAAACATCCGGTGTGTGGTCCTAATGAATGAATCTTTGATTTGTCATTGTCACAAGGACGTGTGGGCTAAAAATATAAGAAAAGCAACTACATATACGTCACGAGACATCGCCTTGAGCATCTTATCGAACAGATGACCGTAATTTGATTTCCTCGTTCACAGAGTGTATTTCTCTTCTTATTTCCTATGATAATTCATAGAACCACTGAGTTTGATTTTTGTTTTTTTTTATATATGATCAAACGGCGATAATGAGGAAGTCATAACACGGGAGTAGCTTCATTTTGAATTCATCAACCGGACAGAGGTAGTCTAGGGATCTTTAAACAATATAGGTTTTTGCACTTGTTTCAGGCAATGGTGTGCAAATTTATATGGAGGTGCACAGTGATCACACAGCATATGCCGATTTTATATGTGACATCAGTCATTGAAGCAGCGTAGCTCAGCTGGTAATGAAGCGCCAGCTCCAACGGTGGACCCATAAGTTCAAATCCTTGAGGGGCTTATATGAATAGGAAACTATTTTCTAAACTTTCGTTCATTCAATAAAACTTAAACTCCACGAAACCCAGAAATTTTTTTTGTTTAACAACCGTTTTCATTGTACTTCATGAAACACTATACTGTGGCGTCAATCTTGAATTCCAGTTTCGCTGGTAAAATTAAATAAATATCATAATCAGAAACAAAACTATCGTAACTTCTTTTTCACTTATACTTCCGTCCCGTTCTCTCATTGATTTTGGAACAAAAACTAAATGATACATCCAAAATTTCCTCTGTTTTATCATCGTCATTGAATGGAATTGAGAACTCATGTGTGCTGACAGATTTCAGAAGTTCTTTCAGCCACCATCACCATCAGAGTCACCTTCAATTGGGACTTCCCCTCTTTTCCTCTCACTCTTCTGACACCGCACTTCCGCTATTTCATGCCAAATCTAAGGTTGTACTTGCTTTGTCTTCTCTCCAGATATTTTTTCGCCTCCTTCATATATTCTACTCCTCCCCCCCCCCCCCTTTCCCCCTCTGCTCACAACGTCTAATGAGCATTCTTTAGCAATTCAAAGCTGGCGGGACCCGCCGGCGCAAAAAAGGCTCACACATGCTTGCTGCCGCAGAGGCACTAGATCAAATTTTAGGTTTCAATGCGTTTGCGTCGTTTCCCGTACCCGTTGACATCCCGAAAATAAAACCAGCGTGTCTATGCGGGTGGTCATTAGCCAAAACCTTTCTCTTGAAATTCTGCAACGAAGACAGACTCATTTTCTCTCTTTCGACACTTTCTCCTATCTGCATTATCCAGTTTCAAGTTCTTCTTGCCTCATTTTCACGTTTTTTTCCTCATCGTCCCTTTCAAACTCAGCCATCCAGTGCGAAGCTATATTTCTCTTGCTACTCTTGTTATAAGCCCCGCCTTGTTTATATAGTTGAGACTCCGCCCCTGTTAGACCCGAGTACGCACCCAAGAGCTAGGGACAGAGAATAAGCGAGCTCATTGCTTATTATCTTCTGATATTTGAACAATTCCTTCGTTATTCTTTTCTTATTATAAATTTAATGATCTATTCGTGTTTAACATAGTCCCCCTCATTTTTTTGTTGTCCAACTAGCCATCCAAACAATCTAGAAATAAGGGAAAATAAGCGAAAGCTTCTTTCTCACATTTCTAATTTCCCTCTGTGTATTGATTCGCCCCTTCTCTCTGGAAAACCTTTTATTTTTTTTTACGCCTGCCTTACGAACGCATTGTATCTATTTTCAATTCTTCCAGAGTTTTAATCATTCTTGGCTGAAAGAAATGCGGCGTCTATTGCGTGTTTTCTTCATTTTCATCGCTGTTGTGAATCTTGGAATTTTCCTAGTTGGTGAGTTGTCGTTTGGGAGATGCCAAAAATCAAATTCACACAAAATCTTCCCAAATTGTTTCAGGTCTCGGTGTCGGTATCATGCAAAGTGATCTACTCATGATTTCTGGAATACTAACAGTTCTCGGATTTGTTGGAATGGTTTTGTCAGCCATCGCATGGTTTATTCAGTCTTCAGTGAGTCAAAAACTGGGATTTGTGGGTAACCCGATATTCCTTTAGGTCATGATTAATTGATGACCGATCATGAAGAGAATGTCGTTATTGTTTTTTTATTTTTGAATCTACGAACCTTTTGAAGTCTTGTGATCCATAGAACTTAGTTGGCGCTTCTAGAATAGAGACAAACTCAAAAAAGTTTGTTTGTCTCGCACGCTTTTAAACTATTAATGCAAAAGGACGGACTCTCTCATTCTTGATCGGAAAAATATAATTACATTTACTTCGCACTCATTACAGCTTTTTCTTTTTTTTTTAATATTGAGTTATAAGTTCAAAAAAAATTGTGTCGAATTGTAGCTTAGTTGTAGGAGGTGCCAATGACGCATGAAAATTGTACTATCCAGCAATTGTGTTTTGTAGAAGGCAAAGAAATACATGAAACAACGGGAGCAGATACCGGAGGAGATAACTCGGGATACAACGGAGGCCGTGATGAAGAATATCCGTGGGATTCCGTTTTTGATTCAGGTAAAAGAAAAAAAAATTATATCGTAGCTGGTTACTGTAATGAGATTGTTCACCACTTTCGTCAGTTCTTGAAAACAGGAGAAGGCACTTCAAGAACATAATATCATCATTTTGCTCATTGCTCATCAATAGAAACGTCATTTATAGTTTCTCTGAGATTTACGTAATTCGCTAGATGTACAGTAACCCCCGCCAGACAGTTTCGTCATTGGCATATATGTTTTGAATAACACTCCCTTATCCCAGAAGACTGGAATTCTTAGCATATCAGCGTTCTGCAAGACTACTACTTCCTTGTTTTGTTCCAGGCTATCCAATACTCAATGGAAACTTCTTATTATCGAAATATCATGAACGACCTAGGGGATGGAATTGTTCGAACATCAGTTATCCACACCGCACCGGCATGTCAATCAATTCTGGATTCGGAATCTAATCCAGAGACTTCAATGCACACTCCAACACCAAGGTATAACCAAACTAGAAAAGAGAGGGTTATAAGTCCACTTCCAATTTTTTAGACCTTCACGAAACTCTGCTGAAGAGCAATGGCTAGCTCACGGTGAGAAATGGAGAAACGAGCAGCTCCGGTTATCAATGGAGCGCGAAAATCCACACTTCTTGGTTTTCCCGTACAGCGAGGCGTCCCCCCACCGAGAGTCAATGAACAATATGGATGCATTAGTTCACGAATTCTCCCGACTTGACAGTATCAAACGGCCACACTGGTATTAAGAAAAAAACTTGTTTCTTGGTTAATTTCAAAAATTTCAGCTTCACCAAACAACAAAAAATCGCACATAATCACTTCCAAGTGCGCTGCATTGGCATGTCCGCAGAATTTATTGAGAGGTAAACTTCTAATGAAAATGAATTTGAAAAAAAAGTCAGTTCTAGATTCAACAACTCGTTTGGTGCAAACACAAACTACAGCTAAGCAGAAAATGAATCTAATCTAATTATGTCATGCGTATGTTTCCAGTGTATTTTGGAGCATTTTTCTATTTTTTTTTCTCATCTTACTTCCTTCTCTACATATTTGTCTTCTCAACCGCTTCCTTCTTCTTCAGAATCGACCAAAATATCATGTACTACACCACTAACAACTAGTGCTTGTAGGTGCTGATGAAACTAATTTGCTTTGTATATAACTTGAAAATGGCTCGAAAAAAGTCCTTCCAATTATCTATATCCTTCGGCAATAAATTATTTTTAGTTGGAGATTCGCACTCTTACACACACATATTTCCTAATTGTCTTAAACACACAAAGTGCACCACCAAAACAATTTCTATACGCATACTAGGAGCATCATCATTATTTTCAGAAGAATTCTCAAATTACAGAACTTTTTTTCGTGTCAAATAGCGGGGAGAAATTGGAAAATCCTGAAGACACATGCACTCAGAAACGGAGTGTTTTGTGTACTTTTTCTAGATTCTGGACAGAAAGCTGAAAATGTTTTCGAAAGGGATTATGCATACATTTCCTTCTGATTTCAAATTTTCTAAATTTTTCATGTGATGTTGATGGGAATTTCCAGAAACTTCTTGAAAAAACTAAATTAAACTCATGATTCACCACTGTGCGTTCATCGGCAATGAAGTTCTGTTGACACGTACTCACGCAGAAAAAAAATGGACAGCTCTTCAATTTGGGAAAGAGGCTCATAAAAAAAGGCTTGGAGAGGAATAAACTTTTTGTGGGAATAGATACCACATGAAGATAGACTGGACAGCATAGAAATAAAGAAAATACCAATTTGGAATATGCGGTAATTAAATTTGGAATATCTTTGCTCAAATTTTGTTCAAATTTCGAAAACTGACATTTGTAAGCATGAAAGTTTGAGGAAGTGGGCGTAAAGCTGTTGATGCTTATAAATATTTGACAGCTTGCACAATACTTGAAAACCGCTTCATTTCGAAAAAATTACCATCTTTCTCCAACACAAAAAAATCTGATACTAAACACAAATCAATCTGCTACCATCGCTGCTAATTCGGCTCGAACCACTCGTTCAGAAAGTTTGTCGGCGAATTCATTCCAAATCGCACTTTCCAGACTGTTTGGGAAGACTGGAACTGCTGGTTTCTCGTAAGTCACTGGATCAAAAAATGGGCAGTTTGAGATATGCATGGATAGCTCGAAAGGAACTCTCCATTCCAACAATGGTGGTTGTTCGGTGGAGCTTATTTTCCAGATCTGAAATAAAAGTACAAGATGAGATTTTTCACGTAATCACAAATATACTCACAAAACCTTTTTGAATCCATGATCCCGGTTTCTCAGATTTCCAAACCGGTTCAACATAACAACTGGATCTACAACCAATGAAGACCATATCTCTGAGTATCCTGTGAATCAAAGTAAAATTGGGATGAGACATCATTCTAATTTAGTACCTGCTGGTCAGCGATAAGTTGTAGAGCGAAGAGCTTGGAAGATATGAAGATAGAGTCTCGTAAACCCAGAGTGGAAGATTTTCAAAAGTTATTTTGTCTGGTAGGATTTCCACTTGACTTTCAACTCCCGGTAAATGACTAAAGGTAGAACTTGACATTTGATATCTAAATGAAAGAAATTAAGAGGGAACTTTTTATTTTTTCAGATTACCTCAGTTTTCCAGTTTTTGGTTGAACACGTGATGAGTTGAACTCACAGCCATTTGTCCAATTTGGACATCTGAAAAAATTTTTAAAGGTAATTTTCCATTCAACTTTATGATTTTCGCTTACCGTAAGACGATTTCATTCATTTGATCAATGGTTTGTGTGTGCTGCGACAAGCAATGCGCTCCATATTCGGACCTCTTCACAGTTTTGAGACATCTGGAAAATCACAAACAAATGATAAATTCTGTTCTCTAACCGAGCTCACTTCAATGTGTATAGCGTTCCGCCTTTTTTGATTTCTCGAATATTCTCACTTTTGAGAGTAGATTCCGGCGCGTTCTCAACTGCGATACTCACCTAAAACAAATAGTCATTGAAGAATGAATTTCGAAAAGCACAAACCTTGAGATTCATCTTCTCATGGAACTTATCTAAAACTTGTGGAGTTATTCTTCTCTTCTTCAGCTTTTCAATATCTGCACCATTTCCCAGAGTGTGAAGATGTTGAACGGATGGGTCGATTTGACACATGTAACAATTTGCAAAAACCATTCGAGACTTTTTCAGCTTTTCTCGCTAAAAAATGAACTGAATCCTTTCAAAGTTTCACAAATTACCTTTTCTCTCATCTCGTCTTCACTACTATCATCAGAATTCAATAATGTGGTTGTAGCGTCAAAGGGCTGAAACTCGTCAAATTAAACCTCCTTAGTTTGTGCAACACTCACCATGAATCTCAATGGGATCAAAGGATGTGCCGGATGAACTGGGTCCCGTTGTTTGACTCTCTTTGTCCGAGACGAGTTGTAACTATCTGTTATCAAATTCTGATCAAATGCAGCTAATTGGATATCCAAATCGTCTGCCTCATCGATTTTCAAGAATTCTTTTTTCCGTCCCATGTGCTTCAGCTGAAGTTTGGATTCTTTGGTGTTCAGTTTCCGACATCTGTCTCTAAAAAATCGAGATGCATTTCAATTATAATCTGCAAGGGACGTACCTTGAGCATACGACAGTATTTGCCGGACAATTGCGAAGATGAAGTGCAACTTTCTCGCGGCTCAAAACAGATGGACATCCATAAACGGCATTTGGGCATTTAAACGGAGCCTGAATTATCAATTCTCAAACAGAAAACACAAAAACAACTCACTCTTCGACATACTTCTGCAATGTGCTCCTCAAGTTTACACAAATGTGTGGCAATATGGCAGTGGTTACATTTGCGAATAACACATTCTGCGAATTTACAGTTACTTGTGATGCAATTCACACAGTGTTGATCATGAGGCGACATTTGACTGCTTGGAAAATGAACAAGCCGCTCAATTCTTCCCCGAAAAATCGATATTTGGAGGATGAGCTCTATAGATCTCAAGTGTACTTTGCTTGCTGCTCTGCGTCTCTTTGATTATCGTGTGTTTCAAGAAACACACTGAGAAAAGAAGATACCTCCGGCTGGCCATCTGAGAAATTTGTTGAGCAGTTGCGTCCGAAAAAAAATTTGGAATAAAAAAAACTAAAAACTTTCCAAACGATAAAGATTTGTTGTTTGATAGTTTGAGCTGTGAAAAATTATCCTTTTATGTTTTTTGTATATTTATATTTTCCTTGTTTCCGACAAATATTAATTTTTAAAGTTTTATTTAAATTGACTACATTGAACTATATATCATTAAGAAGTTCTCCAGAAATGTACAGAAAATTGGGCGTGGATGAGGGGAGCGTGGGAGAAGAATGGAGTGATTCAAAAGACAGGTAAAAGTTCAAGGAGTTTTCTGTTTTGATTGATACGGAAAATGAAAGTCACAAAACCATTTGAGACAGGAAGTTAGGCTTGCAATGTTTGGGGCATGCCAAAGGGACAGGTACAAAATGAAGACAGGGTTACAAATACGATATCACTGGGGTGTGCGAAGAATGAATGGGCGTGTGGGAGGGAGAGTATAAAATGCAGAGTGGAGAGATTATCTGATAGTTGGAAGTGGAGAGAGAAAATCAGAAATTTTGGGAGGGGATGAAATCAAATCACAACGTCGACATGAGGGATCACGAAATTTGGTGTTTGAAATTCTGATCATAAATACCTTTGATTGAAATTTTACGAAACGCCCGATATTTAGCACTATCTAGTGTCTAGAAGCAGAGAAGAAGAGGGCCGGAACGAGAGATTTTGATGTCTTCAAAAGAGGAAAAATTTTTAATAATAACAGAATATTCGATAAAGAGGTTCCCGTGAAAAAAATGAAAAAGATGATTTCAATGTGTGTGGAAATGTCTAGAAAAGCTAGCAGACGTTTTTGAGGAGCGCCACTATGCCGAAAATGGAATTATGAACATATCACATATGTTGGAAAAGGGAGAAAAAATGAAAGCGCAGAGCTTTCAGATTCGATACATATGCAGATCTAGGAAGAATGTATTGGGTTGCTATTCTTGATTTTCTTATGAATGGGGGGGGGTGGTTAATTATGCATGTAACTCGTAACAGAAGAGTTTGGTTTGATTTTTTGCTTTTTGGAAGAAGGAAGGGGGAAGAATGGCGGTGTATGACTATTTGTTTCGATTTTGTATTCTGCTGATTATTATGATGACGTAGTGAGAAGTAGTTATTGTTGGAGCTGCTGTTGAAGTTGTTGCTGCTGCTGCATTTGCACTTGCAGTTTCACATTTCTCCATTGCATTTCCGTTGTGTTAATTGCAGCTTCTTGTCCGTGCAATGCAGGCCAGAAGCCTTTATGAATAGCAATAACCTGAAAACAATTAATTGGAAACATCAAAATTGCAAATTGAAACCTTTTGTAGTGTCTCCAGTGCGCTTTGATTCGGCAAGTTCTCCAACGAATCCGTGCACAAGCGACCAGCATCGTCAGATTCGCCGATTAGAGCCTTAAAGATGAAGAATTAATTAGATCCATCATTTTTGAGACTTTTACCTGCACACACTGCTCAGCAGCAGCAGAAATGCTATCTAAATTGTATCCTCCTTCGAGTGCCAGGACCACCTTTCCATTGGCATAGCTCAAAAGACACTTGGTCATGTATCCAAACATCTCTGGAGTGATTTCATAACCTCCGAGAGCGTTCACATGTCCATGACAAGCGTCGAAGCCAGCGGAGACTAAGATGAAGTCTGGACAGAAGCTAGCCAGCACTGGTTCCACGACAGTTCTCCATGCGGCAAGGTACTCGGCATCCTTCATGACGCCTCCGGAGAAGGGGATGTTCACTGAAAAACCTTTTCCAGCCCCCTTTCCAATTTCAGTGACAGATCCGGTGCCAGGGAAGAAGTTTCCATTATCGTGACGGTGAAGAGACATGTAGAGCACATTCGGGTCGTCGTCAAAACTCAACTGCGTTCCATTTCCGTGGTGGACGTCCTGAAATAGAAAGCATTTAATGAATATGGCACAGAACCGAAATCAATTATATAAAAATCAAAATGACTAACCCAATCAATGATAGCGATCTTGGCGCATTGAACCGGATACTTGGCTTGAAGAACCTTAGCAGTGACAGCCACGTTGTTAAAGAAACAGAATCCTAGTGCTTGTTCAGCTTCAGCATGGTGACCTGGCGGTCGGATGCAAGCGAATCCGTTCTTTAAACGTCCCTCGGCAACCTAAAAATTGAAAAATATCATAAGTGGGAATATCAATTAGAATGATACCTGTGAAGACAGTTCAATCAATGTTCCAGCGGCTAAACGAGCAGCAATCTGAGTGCTGGCGTCATTAAAATAGGTGTCCGAGTCAATGCCGATGCCTCCACATGGAAGCTGAAGGAATCGTTTCAACGGCAACGCGTTGGCATCAATTTTCAGGCAAGCGGTAGGAGAAACTGCGAAGAAAGTCGTGTAGGTTTGAGAGTGAACCATCTGAAGTTGCTCCAAAGAAGCTTTTTTCGCCGTGATTCTCTCGCATTTGGCAACATGTCCTTCTTCAGTAAGCTTCGACCAGATTCGTTGAATCCTCTCTCCATTCTCCACGTGATTGCTATTGTTGCTGCAGACACACTCGTGTCGAGCCATTAGTGGATCGTATCCAAGACCAGTTGAAAAAGTTGGTTCTAGCTTTGGATTGAAACCGGACTCCATGGCAAGCGCTGTGAGTTGTTGAAGTTTAGCATGAGAGAAGAGACCGTTGTAAGATTCTGCCATGCCTTCTCCTTCTGGGTCTTCACGCACGAGACTTTTCCGCCTAAGGACCAGATCACGGATTTGTTGTTTCAGAAGAGACTGATACTGGTGAGATCCTAGGCTTGCATTAGAAGCGAGAGATGAGTTGGAGGCGGAGCTTGAAAACCCGTTCCGGTCTCCTTCATCCGTCATCCCACCCAGTTCCAGCTTTTTATTCAGTAAACTTGGAAGACTGAGGAATGGGCTGAGGTTGGCGACGGCCATGAAAGCAGTGAGATCTTGTCCAATCGGCAAGTTCAAATTCTGGAACGCTCCTGTAGCGGCAGCGAGGTTGGGTAGCGATGGTGATGGAAGCATAAGATGTGGAATATTGCTATGTGAGCCAGACGGCAGCATGTCGATAGGCATATTAGACGTCTCGCTATCACTTCTTTTCAATTGTGGATGTGTGAAACTAAACTGCGAGTTGTTCGTCTGCTGTACATGCTGAACTGGGCTATTTCCTTTAGACAATAGTTTCGCTCTGATTTTCATCTTCAAGTTTGGTTCCGAATTCACCTTCCTGAGCTGGAACTCGCTGGCCTGTTGTAAGTTGTGAGCGTTTGCCAGACTTGTTGGCAACCGGTATGGCTCAAAGTGTGGTGAAGACACGTTCATCTGTGAGTTGGAGTTTTTGAGCCTCCTTGAGTTGTCATGTCCATTTACATTAGACATCAGATTGCTTTGACTATTGCTCTCTCCCTTGCTCCTGTTGGCAATCATGTTTTTCAAGCGGTCTTTAGTGAGCTGCGATATCGTTGTGGAGTTTGTCCGTGGGAGGTCACTGAAACCAAAAAATTAATTGAAAAAAAATCAGAAGTTTCCGGGCTAGACAAGTATAGGAAACGGAAACTCACGATTTTCGGCTTGAAGTTGGCGCCGACGGCTGCTGTGGCGGCAGTGTCGGATGGTGCTCTTTTGTTGGTGTCTGTGGTACGGATAGATTAGAGAGATTGCCATTTGAGGAAGAGAGTAGGTTGGTGAGAGAATTTGCAAGTGAGAGAGGTGCCGCTGAAAAATTGAATCATTTAATAGATTTCTTCACAAATTTTTATATGGGTCGATGTTGTCGAAATATGAAGGGAGTCTGATAAATCACTTCAGTACACCTTCCATGTACTTAAAGCATTTCTAGACCTCTTCATAGTTCTGAATTCCCATTTCTTTATGAACGGACAACTCCCCCATTCATTACATTAGGGGTTTTCCTCAGAATCTTGAATTTCATAGATCAATAGCTTTTCATACTGAGAACAGTGTCTACGACAACAAATGGAAACATGGAGACCCACTCTCTGTCTGGTAACCTGTCACAAACACCAGTGTCTGAAAACAATGAACCAGCCCACCACATCTCGCGTTATTTCTATTTTCATAAAACATTTTCCACGCCGATTAGATTTTCCCAATCAAGATACCTGGTCCAGAGGTTGCATCCTCCGACGTCTGACTGATTAACATTGGATTGATTCCGCTTCTCTCTTGCAAACTCTGCAGCTGCTGTTGTTGTTGTAGTGCCGTGTAGAGATTGTGCATGTGTTGAACGCTCAGCTCCTGCTGAGCGCGTTGAAAGTGACCTATGAGGTCCATTTGCTTCTGCCGATACTCCTGAAATATAAGCAAAATTATGAATAGGGATTTTCTAAGGGCTCCACACCACACACAAGTCAAGTGGCGGAGAAAAAAAATTGGGGGAGTGATGCAGATATGGCAAAGAAAAAAGAGTCAGTTTGTGTAAATCTGATATAAGCTGTGATGTGAGCTGATGATGAAAAGGTCTACCAACGAGAAGAAGATGCAACTTTTTTCTTTTCATCCGTTATTTTCTCTCCGGTTTTTTTTTCAGGAGTGGACCAGGCGCCAGGGGAGGGATGGGGAAGGGACCAAATAAAAATAGAGCTGTCCTTTGTGTCTATATTTTCTGTCTTTTTTTTCTTGGGGGGGGGGGCTTTTCCACGAGGTCAAATGAGATAAAAAAGAAATGGGGAAGAGTTGAGAAAAATGCAACACGCGTTTTTTTAAAAAAAAAAGAAGATTCCTATTTTATATTCTAAAAACAGAAACGGAGAAGCAGAATTTGTAAATAACTCCAGAAAATGAAAAAGAAGCTCAATTCTAGTGTCCCAAGTGAATAATCTCTGAGTGAGTAATCAGTTTTTAGTGAAAAAAAAACGCAAGACACAATTTCCTTTTCCGGAATAGAAAAAAAATGTTCAGCTAATTTCACAGATCACACATCCAGCTACCAGACAAAACGAGCTACATTTTCAAGTTTTTCCACGCTTCACTAAACTTTTGAATGAGATGTGAGAAGCTTGGACAAGAGAATGAAGGGAGGAAAAGCCCGCGAGAATTAATATCCTTCTTCTGACAAATGAATAACATGATCAGAGCACTGAAACTCCGCCCATTCCACTAAAGTACAAAGCGGCAAGAATAGATGAAAAACAGCCAGGGTTCACGGAGTGCGGATATGAATTCTTTGGGATTGGTGTGACCGGAAATGTACCTTGGCATTGCTGTATTGGTGTTTTTTTTAATCTAGAGAAAACCGAGAAGTCGTAAAAGCCACAAAAAAAAGCGATACCCTTTTTTAAAAGCATCACATAAAAGAGACTCATTAAAAGTAAAAAAGAGCCGTCGGAAACGAATGAGGCAGTTAAAGTAGTCGTTGCTATTTCTAGATCTTGTGTTCAAGCCGACTGAGTCATCTTGTGTGTGCCACTCGAATCTGTTTACTACTTCTTCACACACAAGCCCTAAAAAGATATTTATACACACAAGCTCAATTTTCTTTGCAAAAAAGCTGACAGAAGAGACGAAGAGAAGGGGTGAATTAAATTAGATTGAATAGTGATCAGAATACCAAACCAAAATACACTTTTTTTCAAAACTGAAGAAAAAGAGATGTACACACAAAGACAAAGGATCCCAAAAATAGATGGGTGGTTGGTGGTTATCTATTGCACCCATAGGAATCGGGTAAGGAGCGGAGAGGGATGGAAACACGAAAGGACCAAGGTCTTTTGAACTTTGTGTGTAGCTGTCCCAACTATTTAGAGAAGGACATTGGAAAAAACGAGAGAAAAACTAGAAAGAAAAATATTGGCTATTCATAGAACACGTGAGGGCTGCCCGGGCTACTAGAGAAAAAGGAGAGCAGCTACGGTTAGTAAGAAGCAAAAAAAAAACGCCCGTGTCTATCTTGATGAATTTTCTGAGAATTTTTCTTTCTAAAGCCATAGTTGAAAACAACAGAGCTCAAATCTTTTATAGCTGCAAGAAAAATATATCAAAGCTGAATATAGAGAAATTCAAAACTGACATAGAAGTTTTAATTTGGCTGATTTATAGCTAAAAAAAAGGTTCTGGTGGGAAAATGTCTAGGATTTAATAACGGTATGGTAGAGTAAATTGATATCGACACCAACCTAACCCTTCTTAGAACTGATTTTATACTATTAAATTAATAACTGGTCAGAATGTTTTGACAAAAAGTCTAAAATATTAGTCGGCCGGCTCAAAAAGAAATGTTAGCCGTGATCACCTGCAGAAAAGAGGAATTTGAGATAACCAGTATTGATAACAAGTAATGAGCTGTAATCATACAAAACTAGAACAGAACGATAAGTTGAGTTCTGTAAACAATAACTTTGAATCTGCCAGTTAATTTATTAATAGAATTAAAATAAGAACCACCCGATCGTGGGTATCAAAATCTCTGTTGTGAAATTATTTCTGATACACCAATTTTGCCAACGACTTCTAGAAATCTGGTCCTGTTTTGAGTTCTGGGTAGTTCAGTCTAGTTATTACGAACAGCATAGAGCCAAACAGACATATACATGTATTTTCTTATTTTTCGGCTTCTTATATCAAAAATCTACATTTCAAAGAAAAGATTTATCAGCGAATATTTTGAAGTTATCTGGACCTTCACGATTAACAGAATTTTGAGTAGAAACAAAAAACTAGACACGACTAGTCTCCAAACTCCGCCCCATTTTTATCTTGGAGAGTGGCTACAAATCCCTACAACTTCCGAAATTTGCCGGATTCACACTCTCCATGATTAAAATCCTCGGTGATCTTCAACAAAGTGCGAACTTTTAAAACTATCAAGTCAGGAACTATAACCTTTTCGAAGTCTGAACAGTTTTAAAGAATCCTAGGTGGCTATTTTTTCTGAATTCAAAAAACGAAAATTAGAGTAATTCGATTTTTCCATACGATTTTTTTCGATTTTTCCATAATTCTATTTTTCGAGAAAAACATGGCTAATCTGTGTGAAAATCTCCGATTTCTCCAATCTTGTTTTTGAGATTTGCACTTTTTGAGTACAACTTTGGAATTAGCTGATTCATTGTTTTGGTGAAATAAATTTATGAATTTTCGAACGAAAATAGATTTTCTAGTTTACTTTTTGAAACAAAAAACAATGCCAGAATAGAAAGCACAAATCACAAAATTGCTGAGTCAGTGAATAAAAACAAACGGCGGTGTGTATCTTCTAGATGTGCTCCAAAAAAGGTACTAAGAAAATCTGCGATATATAAAGTGATGAAGAGAAAAGGAAAAAGGGTACTGAATTACGAATTAGTAATAAATCATCAACGTCTGGAGAATCTAGTCACGGTGTTACATTCAAATAAAGGATTAGCCTGACTGAAAGGAAGAAAAAGGTACTATTGAGACTGGAATTTGATTCCAGAAGCAAAAAAAAAGAGTAAAGTAAAATCAAGTAAAGAGACATGCAGATTACATTTGCAGAGAATGAAGTGAGAGGAAAAATCCTTCTACTCTCCTTTTTTCAATGTCTCGCTCTTCTTCATTTTTTTCTTTTTTTAGCCACACATTCATTAGTCATAGTGCGCTTCTCTTTTCTCTCCCTCTCTCTTTCTCATTTTTTCCCTGAGAGTGAAAGAAACTATAGACTTGACAATGCACGAAACATATGTCTGAAAATAGACATGTGTTGGGAAAAGAGGAGGATCACATGTGCGTACGTATGCATGTTGTGCATTATTAAAACAATGGGGAAGCAGGAAGTTTTCATGGTACTCAGAATATTGAGTTGGTTCGAATGAAAGGAAATGTTTATAAAGGAGAATAATGAATAGTTCTCATTATTACGAACAGTTTTCGAAAAGTGATTCTGAAGAATAATAGAAATTAGAAGTAAATCGCAGTCTGAAAATTAATATTGAGAAAAAAAACTACGTAAATAAGATATGAAAGCTTTTGGTCACATTTTCATACACATTACTAAATCTCCAAAAAGTTCAAAGCACACACGTACTTTAAAACAAAACAGATATCAAAATAGACCTAATGAAGTAATCAGAAAAGAATCTGCACTTCTGATATTGTAGTTTCAAAATATGTACTCAAAAAAAGAAGCAGGTGATTGTAATTTTTAGTTTTTTCGAACGTGGCTTGGAAGGTTTTGATTCCAGGATATCGAGGATTTGAGGATCATGCGTCTCTCCTAAGTTGTTTGTGTGTTGTTGATAATGTTACTAGTTGTGCTACGTAGTGATAGTGAGCCGATGAAATAAAAGTGTAATCCCTGAGCGGATTTTGAAGTCGCTTTTCTGGAAGTAATTTTCTTTGATTAAAAACATTATCAAGAGAGTTTTCAAGAAGGGAGGGTCTTGATAGACCGCTGCTTTACCAAGGATCATAGATGAAGTCGGTAATTACGATCAAGGGATCAGATCTTAGGTACAACTAAAGTGCGAGTGAATTCAGAACAGGGCGAATTTCCGACTTGAAAACAAAGTTCAGATCATTGACGACAAACTTTCAGTCTTCAAAATCAAGCTTTTCAAAAATGATGAGTTATTTGAACGCCAAACTTCAACCAAATAAATGCGGATTTTACGAAAATCACTATTCGCATAATTAGGTGTTACCAAAAACTGATATTATGAAATGAGAAAACTTTCTGTTTTGCAGAAATATCGAAGGAAAATAACTTTGAATTGAAGAGCTCAGATTTGTAAAATGCTCCTAGTCAAATAAAATTCAAGGAGAAACGTGTGAACTTCTCAAGAATATTCAGATACAAATTTTTTTGAAATTCAGGTCTGAGGATATCTAAGGCATTTTTTGAGGTTGGTTTGGGAGTTATAGTTAGTTTTTGTAAAATCGAAAATTCGAAGAATCACAAACTAACATATTCTAACATCAGTTGTTATGTTCAATCAAGAAACAAATTTTAGTTGAGTCGTGATGAAAAAATGTGTTTCAGATATGACTTTTCAAAACTTCAAAATCTCCAGTGATGCAATATGGGTTACAAATACTTTTAAAAGTTTGGAAACCAAATAGAAAGAACCAAGAAAAGTGTGATTACAGTTTTAGACTAATTTTAAAGGATTTCGAATAGGAATTTTAGAAATGGAATGAAAATGGTGTAGGATCGGTATAAACAATCGAATGCTCGCAAAATCAAAAGTAAGATAGGCTCTAGACGTTAGTATTAAGCAAACCAATTTACAAGTAGTTCGAAACTGAAAACCTAGAAGCTCCTGAAATCACAACTTTGATTATGCCAAAAGTTTTTCTGCGCAGGTGTGACCAACTGTTTGATGCTTTTTGCATGAATCTGCTCTCCCTCCGATCATTTCCTGTTATTTTTGCACTGTATGTACAAACACCAGGCTCTCGCTCCATCTCTCCACATCATTTATACACACAGGCAGACATACAAACAAAATCGACCAAAACAGTGTGTTGTTTGTATGTGTGGAAACGGTCCGAAAAATCAATACCATCAATGCTGGGATCTCCCACCGTGGATGATGATGAATATTGAAAAAAAAACGGTGAAGGAGAGAGAGAGAAAGTAAGGATTGACAAGAGGGACGGCGATGGAGAAAACGAGAACCAGCGCAAACAGAAAACGACGCAAAAACTGCGCTCACACTATTTTTAGTTGAGTCTGAGCGGTCTCCTCACCAACCACAACTTTCGTCGTAGAAAATGATGTAGAAAAAAAAAGAAAATAATTCTTCCGAGTGAAAAGCAAATTTTTCAAAGAAAAAAAAACTGAATAGAAAACACCTGGCTCCTCATTTTACTATGTCCATTCCTGAAATGAGCCTCTTACTGCTTGTCGGCTATCAAAATATTATCACGTGGCAATTTTAGGACAGTTCCTAGTTTCTATTTCCGAGTGTAGAGTCACTGGCTCTCTTATCAATAAAGGTTATAAAGAAAGCGAGAAGAGTTGCGTACATATGTGTGTACATGTATGTGTGAGTATCTATAAATAAATTGTGAATGGCAAAAACACGAGAGCACTCTCTCTCTGTTTTACTCTCGAATATGACATTGATGAACATGTTGAGACAGAGAATTGAAAAATAAGTAGATTTATAGTAAAATTGATTTTTCCAAAAAAATAGTAATAAAAAGAGATCTGTACTTTTTTTTGGGGGTGCTGCTGATGAAATTTTTAGAAGAAAAAAACTAGAGCATGTGGTTTTTTTCTCGCCTCTCCTTGCTCCTATCACATGTTCAAATCATGTAGTGAGAAAAAAAATTATCTCAATTTTCTATTTTTGTTGTATAGTTTTTTTTTTCGAAAATGTTTGAAGAAGGAACTTCTTGTGCTCTCTAGAAAACAAAAAAAGTGAAAAGTGAGGAAAGAAAGAAACAACTAATTGAAAACAAGTCGTAGACAGATAATGCAATACATTTAGAGTCTAGTCTGACTTTGGATATCGGAAACTTTTAAGTTCAAATTTCCAAAAAAAAGTTTTTTTCAAGCGAAAAACGGAATGAAAAGATCAGCAGAAAATCTAGCAAAAATTTACAGAACACCGATAAATTCAGCACAAAATTTCAATTTTCACAATTTAATCAAAGTTTAAGAAAACTTGAACCAATCCGAAGTATCCTGCCAAGTTCTGTGAAAAAACCGCTTGATAGCTGATGCAGTTTTTTTACCTCAACTCCAAAGTTTTCAATTCAGCTTCAAACTGAAATAGCCGTATATCAAAATGGAGGGAACTACTGTAACAATTAGAATGTATCCGAGACTATACAACAGCTTAAAAATACAATATAATAATTCGAGGAAAATGGGAAAAAGTATTACTCATCCTATACTTTAGTATTTTTGACATGGGATTAGAGAAGAAAAATATTTGAGATGAGATAGATCAGGAGGTATTGAGATAGTGATAAATGTCTAGGCTAAAGACGGAACTTCTATGCATTCATTTAGGCCCGCCCCTTGCCCGTCAACTCCTCTTCTCTTCTTGGTCCTCAACTTTTTTCTATTTTCAGCTTTCCGAATGACAACAAAAATAGCTTCTGAGAAGAAGAGACACGAGTGTAGACAACCGGGGGAGCCAAAAATGGAAAAACGGAGCGGATTGACAAGAAGGGAGGGCGGAGATGATCGAGGCTCTTTTCAAGTTATTTTGTACACGTGATGAATGGCTGAGGGTCTAGAAACAGAAAGCAGAAACAAGAAAAATGAAGGGGTTCTCCTTGTTATTGTTGTGTCTAGCGAAATTCTGTGAAATTCATTTTCTCGGAGGAGTTCCTCTCTTCCTTCGAGTTCTAGGGGGCACCGCTCAACAAGAAAGCAGACTTAAAACGGAAATGGGTTTAGAGATGACGATCTTTGGATTTGGAACCTAGATGAAAGGCCAAGAAAATGATGATGATACCTACTTTTGAAATCTGAAATTTCAAAAACCAAGAAAACGTCAACCAGGTGAGATGGGAATGAAACGAGAAAGGAAACTGACGTTCGCTAATGGTTCAGTAAAAGGTTTTGTTGTTCTAAACGCTAATGAAAGCAAAAGTAGAAAATGACAAAAGACCAGAAGGAAAACAGAGAAAGAAGAAGAAATGTAACTATTTTCAAGCTTTTGCTTCTTTTTCTTCTTTTCTCATTTTTTCTTCCTCTCTCCTCTCCCCTCATTTTTTTTTCTATTCTCATGATGTACCCTCTCGTCGATAGACACCGACAAACAGCATCGTCAGGTTTTCCAGGCTTCTATTTTCGACACATCCGGAAATAACCTCTTCTATCTATCTTTCTCTATTGCTTTCTCTTTCCTCGAAAAGTGTGTGTGGGGGGTTGTCGTCAGAAGGGCTTTAATAGCTAAAATTCCTCTATGTTCTCAATTTAGATTTCTCAGTTTTGAGATCTCAAAGCTAAGAAAATAATACATGGGTTGGGTTCAGAAATGAAAGATAGAAAAATCTAAAGCAGAATTTTCAAAAAGAAGGGAACTGAATTCGAAACCATAAAAAATCGAATTTAATTCAATTAATTCTGGTAAACTTGATAGAAATGGGTTAAGACTTTCTAAAAGCTCGGATCCCCATTTACAATCCTAAGCATGTGTATATTAAGAAATACCAAGTCACAATATATGCACTCAAATGCACATTCAATGATTCGATTGATTTTTAAAGAGTCTCAAAGAAGACGTGTCGTCGACACGATGCTTTCTATTTCCTGTCTACAGTATGCCACGCCTACGTGACGAGTTTCTAAGGTTAGGTTGATGATGTCGTTATGAACCTCAACACACGGTAACTTGGGTACAGCGGATGTCACACTATTGTTGTCATTGAATCTTTGATTCAGATGTTTGGGAATGTAACCAATTTACAATTTCATGTTAACATGTAATGTGAGGCAAAGTTTGAGAGTCTGGCTAAAAATTCTAATGAACCATTGATTTCACCAAAATGCTGAAATTGTGGGCAAGTTGCCGTGACCATCCGGTCTCTAGGAAATAAACTCATAAAGCAGCTAGGCTGCTAAATTTTACCTAGTATGGAACTACCCTAACCTAAAAGCAGTGGCCCCGTTCCCACAGCCTTGTCAAAAAGTTGAAAATTATCAATTACCTTTGAAAAGGACAATTTACATTAATTTAAAACTTCATAACAGGACCTCAAAACATATGACGCGACACGTGATACCATAATTCTAAGTATCAAAAAGTCTGTACACAACAATCGAAAAACGTTCAAATTGAAATGGACGAACTTGAATACAGTAATCCTGAGATTCAAAGTGACAAATGTGATCCCTAGACAAGCCGAGATGCAAAAATTCTACAGTACCCCGGCGCATACGTTCCTTAAAATGTTTTACATTTAAAAAAGCAGATCTCCTACGACAAAAACTGCATCTATCAGTTCCGACACCGTATCTATTTCCAATTAAAAAAAACCATGTCCAATCCTAAAACGATTTCCATTGACACTCAACAGCATTTTCGTTCCAAAAATAAACTGGAAAAAGGCGATGAAATGATCGATGACAGTATTGCTTCCTCGTCCTATTTCCCCCGCACTCATCACCAGGTTCGCTATTTTACAGTTCTGGCAAACCAATCTGTCATTATTTTTTGTATTTCCCGCTCGAAAGATTCTTTTTTATCTTTTTCTTGAATCAAACAGAATGAAAAAGAAGATTGAAAGACGACTGCGTCAGGTATCCAAAAAAAAACAGTTCAAAAATGAATTATTCAGATACGGTATCTTCTTCGGTCAGAGGTTTGTTGAATGATGATTGGATAGTCGGTTTGGTTAGCTAGAATTTCGGAATGGCGTGACTTTTTAGGCCAGAATGATGTCAAAGTTTGAAAGTTTGGAATAGGCAGATACGGAAGAAGAAATTCGTGGTTCAAGTTTATCGCAAAACAAAAATAGGAAACAGGAAAAAAAAAATCTAACAAAGCTTTCTTAGGTGGATATTACAAATTTCATTAACAACAAAGTACAAAATGCTCACCTGAAGCTGTGTCTGCAGCACCGCGATCCGTTCCGGTTCCAAATTTGTGTTCGCTAAAAGCGCGGCCGATGTCGATGGTATAACCGGAATTCCAGCCATTGCTCCGCCAGTGCTCCCCGTTGAGGAGCTGGCTTCTTCCATACGTCTGAAATTCTGAGGTTTTACAGTAACTTTTTCAGTTTTGCTCAGTATAGTGTATCAAGAAAATACCAATTAATGATTCTAAGAAACCAAAGATGTTTATAGATGTTTGCAGACTGAAAGATTCTAAATAAATGGAAAATCCAGACAAACAATGAAAATGTAGGTGTGAAAGTGGACACTAGAATTATATTAGCGGCGGCGGCGTTTTGTGTAAGAAAAGGACAAAGCCGGTTCAAAGAAAGTTGATATGATAACAGCTGATAAAATCTTTCATTCATCATAACCCAAAAAAATTGGTTTCTTCCTTCTTTCCAACATTAATAAGCTGAACTCCTAATAATTGATTGATTGATGTGACCGAGAAGATTAGAATCTTGATTTATGACAAGCTGGTATATTTGAAACAACGCCTTTTGTAAAAAAAATATGGAAAACCTACAGGCGGCAAAGTTGAAATAAAAAAAGAATATAAATGTCGGGAAACATCTTGAAATTTTGAAATTTTGAAATTTTCAGAATTCAAAATCTTGGAATTTACAGTATCGAGTGCAAATATTCCGAATTTTTGAATAATGGAAATTAAAAATTGCATGATAGGAAAATCTCAAAAAACCGGGATTTGAATTCGCGAACATCAGAAGTCTGAAATTTCAGAAACTCATTTTATAGTCAAGATAATTGCATTTATACAAAGAAGTCATCCAAAATGAAGCAGTTTTTAAAAAGTTTTAAACAATGAAAAAAGATTCTAATATTTTGCCCTGTCTATGAATAAATTCAGAACAATTTCTGACTGAATCACCAAATGCAGAACTTCAAGAGTTCTATAAACGAAGTCAATTGTTTATTTCGATTTTCTTTAAAATGGTTTCAAAGTATCTAGTTTCACTCATCTCTTTCTAGCGCGGAGGAGGACGACCTCGCTCTGGCTCTTTTTCTGCAAACGAACGGGATGAGGTGTGGAAAAAGTTCATCAGTAATTTATGACTAACGTACGTCAAAAACGGATTTTAGAACAAACTGAGTACCTCAGAAGGCTCCAGAAAAGAAGAAAATCGGGGGTAGAAGGAAACTTGGCGGGGACCAGTGGCGGCGAAAAATAAGACAAGAAAACGCAGGAAAAGCCGAAAGAGGGGATAGAAAGAAACTTTTGATGCAGAGTAAGGTCCTCGCATTATGTTTGGGGCTATTCAATTACATTTGAATGAAATGGTGGTCAAGAAAAAACAACTTTACGTCGAAAAAAAAGTGAAAACTCTGAAGGAATCTCAAAAAATTTGAAAACGAAAAAAATAAATAAACATTATTCAATCTCCTTGAAAACACACACACACACACACAAACGGCTGTAAACGCTGAAATATCTTCTTTGCATATTCTTCGACAAATCTCGTAAAACCCGCTATCCCATTAAAGATAGATTCCCCGTTTTCAATATAAATTCTAAAAATAGATTTTCATTGAAAGACGTAACAGCGTGTCGAAAAAATGATGAAAGTTAGAGTGAAACAAAGAATGGAGGACGAAGAAAGTAGCCGCTAATGACCGAGAGGGTAATTAAATCACAATTAACAGATAATAATCATCGCATCACTTTCTTTTTTTTTAATGAAGCCAAGTTTGAATAACGAGAGCGTCACGAGAGATAGAGATAAAAATAGCGCATGTCCCCGGCGAGAGGCCGCAGGCAGTTAGTCGCACGTAGGAAAAGAGAGAAAGAAGCGAAATGCGCGCGGGAAGAGTTTATAGTGTGGAGAAGACGGACATACGGCCTCACTCACACAAACACACTCACACAAATACTCACTCTAGGCACCCGGAGGAAGGCGAGTCGGGAGAGCCTACGGGAAGCGAGAGATAGAAAAAGGAAGAGACGGGATGGGACATACAACACACGCAAAAACGACCGGGAATGAAGATGATGATGAGGAGAAGAAGGCCATTATTGGTCCCAATAGCTAGTGAAAAAAGGCCGGGAGAAAATCGAAAAAATCGGAAAGCAATTACTCCAAACGACACCTCTTGTTTGTTCGGCTTTAAATTTTATGGGGACCAGTTGGGTTTCTCATTGCAATCAGACTAGAATAGGGATTTTTAAATTAGAAATTGTTCATTTTAAATTGTTAAAAATGAAAAACAGTTGAAAAGTGAATCGGATATGAATTGGGGCTAAAACAAGTTTTGATATTTTGGAAAATACGCAAAAAAGGTCAAAATGTTGAAAAATATCGTTTTTTGAAAACATCTTCTCAGCTGAAAGTCACTATGTTACCTAAAATAACTTCGGAGAATGAATGAGAAACTTTGAAGAACTTTTTTTTTCCGTAAACTGACTGAAAACTAACAAAAGTTCTGGAAAGTTTTGATGGGAACTCAATTTCAAACATACCAGAAACTAATCGTTAGGTTTCGCTAATTTTGAAAAAACTCGTCCTTTATCTAGAAGTAGAGCATCTGAAATAAAAAAAGATGAAAATAGTATTATTCGGAAATTTACCGGAAACTAACCAAACTTCCATTGGAGCGCTAAATTCTATTTTTCAATATTAATTTCCGATTATACCAAAAATGAGGCTTATAACAAATTGTAAGCTCATAAAAATCAATGTTTTCAAACTTGCAGCATTTGGGTTTCAAATAGATAGAATTTAAACAAAATAGTATTCTAGGTAATTTACTTTAAAAGTTCCTTTTTTCACAACAAGCGATAAAATATAAATTTACATTCCCTCTTTTGTTATCAGAAAGCTAGAATACAAAATTTCCGAAAACGTCCACTAATACTTCCCTAAAAATAGCTTCAATCAGCTGTTTGTCCAAAACGCTTTTATATGCTCGCCGTACGGGAAAAACATTGATAACAACACCACCAAAAAAAAAGAATACGAGGCAAACAAAACGAACAAGAATCTACGTCAACCACCAAATGATCGCAACCTTCCTTTCTCGTCCTCTACCTTCTCGCCTTTTTTCGTCGCCTTCCTACCGCAGTATCCGTATAGGTTTTTGCTATCATCACGTTTTATAGAGGTGCAACGTGTTGCGATCGACCCATCTCAAGGAAACACCCTCTGAATCGAGAGAAACAACTTTTTTTGACTTTGTGTTTACACGTATTTATGTGATCGTGAATGCGTACGTTCCGTTTTTTCTTTCTCTCCCTATCTCTTTATCACTCGTTTTCGTTCCATTTTGTCGGTAATGAAGGTGCAACAAACGTGACGAATGTACCGTCGCCGTATCACATGGCTTCCTTTTTTGGTAGAGTCGAGAGAGATAGAAAAAATTGGGAAAAGAATTTTCAAAAAAAAAAAGCACATTTGGAAAATATCGTGATGAAGATGAAATAGATGACGACGTCATATTGATGACGATGAATGAAGTGGAAATATTTCAAAAAGATGAATAGAAATATGTTAAGGAAAGTTTTATACAAGGATTTTGATTACTTGGTTTACTTATTATCAATTCGTTATCAATATATATATATATATATAATATCAATTTTTATATTCATCAAGATTTGACAAAAAAAAATCTCCATCTTCCGTCCACAACACACCCGAAAATAAAAACTTGTGATAGGCTAATCCAATTTGTATTCATTGCTAGAAATTATATTTTTTCGCTCGGAAAATTCGGATTAGTGGATAATTTCTTGTATCAAGAATACATAGTGGGAGCTCATAGAGCAAACTTGAAAAGAGCCTGTTTGAAAAATAGGGAAAATTGGGAAGGAGGACCTGAGACTTGTTTTGTTTACACATTTCATATCCATATCAGATTTTGAAAATTTTCCCAAAAAAATTGATAGCTCTTGTTAGAAATTGTTTGAAAAATGGAAAAAAAAACCTTTTACTGATGTTGGTATGTCACACGTGACCTGTTCTCTGCAAAGTAAAAAATATCTCAACTTTTCGTTTCTAGAACAAAGATCGATAGTGCGGGACCCACAATTGTTAGCGCGAAAAAAGGACACAAGATGCTAGAGCGTCGTTTTGACCGGAAACCTTATGTATGCACCTTCGAACTACAATGGAGCTTTTCTTTTTTTTTTCAAAATCCGGAGACACACTCTCGCATACACTTTCATGGCTTTGTTAGCACTGGCTTTGAAAAACAGGGATGAAAAATAAAAGCTTACCTTTAGGTTTCATCCTCATTTGAATTCTTATGACATTTTTCGAACTGTTAAGGTGTTTCGTTGCCATGGAGAGTTGTTTCGTTGCCATGGAGAGTTATAAGGCAATCTGGAACAAAAAAATAGTGAAGCGTCGCAGGAAAGACTGATTAGAAGACGTTTAATTTTGCTGTGGAGAAGATTTTTTGGTTAAATCGAACGGTTTGACGACAATAATTGGAATGCTGAGAATATTTGAAAATGTGGCATTTCGGTCAGGTCAGCACTTCAGAATTAGAGATGTGAAAAAAAGGTTTTGGGAACCTATATAAGAGAACAAATTCGTAAAAATCAATTGTTTAAGGAACTAGAATTTGAGCTCTATTATGTTTTTTACGTTTCAAAGAGTTGTAGAAATTACTTCAATCAATGTTCAAGACTATTTCTGGTTAAGCAGTCTCGTAGTTAGAACTTGTTCATGATAGCCCTAAAAACTGTAAATGATAATCCTCTAAATACTGTTCTTCCGAACTATCAAACTCAGTAAACTTCTGGAAACATCTGAAAACGTCCTCATGTATTAGTACAAAACCCAGATACTCGCTTCCACTCACACAGAGACGTGCCTGAGAAGCCGATGGCTTAGTGAAGTGGATGCGTTCCAAATGGAGAAGTGTGAGAAACGGAAAAAAAGAAGATAAAGTTTTCGAAAATTGCTCATTTTTCCGGTTTTGTTAGTTTTGCTCACTTCTGTAGCTTGGATAGCTATTACTCTGAAAAAAAAGTGCACATGTGACAGTAGCGTGATTTGGGTAGTCTAGCAATGATACGATTTCAAAACGCTTCTTTCAAATTTTCAAAAAAGGATTTTCAAAACAAAAGTCGAAGCAAGACAGAGGGTTGGCAGAGCAAAACCACGGCTCTCCATGGCCGTCTGAACGACTGACGAGCGGTTCGCCATGGAGAAGACGCTCCCGTTTTCTTTTATTTTTTGGACGACTCGTTCAGGAAAACCACGCGAATGAAAAACATACAAAACGAATAAAACACGTTGCGTTTGTTTTTTTATTATTCAAATCGATGCGGCAGAAAAAAAAACGGCTATTCAAATGAAGGGCTCGCGTGAGCCAAAGCCAATTGACTTGCACACAAAGCCCATAAATCGAGAACAGAGCAGAGCTCCTATTTTTTCAACTGGTGAGGTGCCGATTTCATGGAGAATTTACGCACTTAGATTAGATTAGATTAATTTATTTTCAGAGCGGTGACCAACAGTACATAAGAAAAAGGCACCTCACGAGGAGCGCCTGAAGTTAAGAAGAGAAAAATAATGGAAAAGGGAGGAATTATATACTGTAAAATACATGTTTAAAAATAAGGATCATAACTAGTAGCGAGAAATAGAAGAATCAAGGAGATTTTCAAATTGGGACGGGGTGAGGAAGTGGGGTACATTGGCAGTTATGGCATTCCAAAATGGGACGGTGGATGCAAAGAAATCATTGATATGGGGATTTGAGGCAAATTAAAGTCGGGGCGACGGGCAGAGTTAGATAAGCGGAAATGAGATTCAGGGTGGGGAATGTAAGAAGTAAGGTTAATTATTTTGTACAGAAGCATTAACTGAGATTTAAGGCGTCTATGACGCAAAGAGAAAAAATTGAGAATTTGGAGTCTGGAAGGATAAGAGGCACCGGGGGTAGACGAAAATGGTATACTACAACGTTGGCAAATAGTTTTGGAGAAGAAACGAAGGGGGGACAAGACACCTTTATCATTTGAAAGCTGAGAATGAGAAATCTAAATATATATTTGAAATTGTCTCATTCTCAGCTTTCTAATGATATGGGTTTCATATCGAAGTCCCATACCCCAGTTACAACCTTCCCTAGCGCAAAAAGTGGAAAAAATTATGTCACTATTTCTGAAGATGCTGTGAAGGGATGTTTTTTGACAGAAAAAAAAACATTATTTCTCAACTCCACCCATCAAGGGGGCACACATACCCCAAATTACAGTCAATTTGCAATAAAATGTCATTCAAACCGTCTCATCTTTATCTCATTTTTCTTCATTCACACACCCGTGTTTTGAATAAAATAGCTCAAATTATGGACAAAAGTATATTACAATCGAGTAAAAAATTTCACGCATACAAAAATGAATGGAGATCATCACATCATAAAATATGATAAGAATTCGTGGGCATTTCTTTCAATGGGATGGATACATGATAAGAACTTTTGGGGGAGGTTAGAAGAAACCGCCTGACATTCCAATATAGTAAAACCAGTAGAAAATGTTGAATGCAGTGAAAAGGAGTGGAAACAGTTTAGCTGAGATCTGGAAATAAAATAAATCGGATTTTTGAGTTTTTCAGAAAAAAAAATACTGTTACCTCATCAATTTTTTCTCCGTTAACAAATATTGGACTTTCCATCTGAAGTAGGAGCTTTTGCCGTTTCTCTTCACTCTTCCGCCGTCTCACGTTCCCATTCCCATCGTTTATTTGAATGGTGTGTGTTGCATCTGGAATAAGTAAAGTATATGGTTAAGAATTTTGAATTTAAGTGTACCTGAATTGGTTTCAGTGATTTGAGGTCGTTGTCCCGACAATCGAGATAGCCATTGCTGTTCTGAATCGCTTCTCATCATTAATTGCTCTTTGCACCTGAAAATAAGAACACATGTTTCCAAAAACTACCATACAAAACCCCTAACCGATTGTGCCTTCTTCTTTTTGCTTCCAATTTGTCAGCGAATCCAACAACAGCGAGCTGAAAAAAGAAGCGATGACTATGTAATTTCAGGGTACAACGACACAAAAGGAGAATAGAAAATTGATACCTCGACAAGAGACAAGAAAATGAAGCCAACGCAGCCAAACATCCAGATGTCAAGCGCTTTGACGTAACTGACGCGTGGAAGATTTTTTACGATGTTACCAAATTGGAATGTAAGAGCCATCAGCGAGGACACACCAAGGGTGATTCGAGCCGGGAGAGCCTGTGACGTAGGTCATAAAAAATGGATGAGAAATGAATGTATTTTACCTTTGTGTCAATCCAAAATGCAATCCAGGAAATAAAAACTGACAGATATGTTGGCATGTAGGCCTGAAAATTTTGGAATTTTGTCAATTCCACGAATAATAGGAAGCTCGTACTTTTTAAAAAATTGTCTCATTTTTTGTATCAAAGGAAAGGCACATGAAAAAAAAATTTTCTCGAAATTTTGTTAATACAAGCCCACCAAGGGGTTATACTTGTAGTCCCAGAGTTATAAGAGCCACGTTGTCACTAATTTTGAGGCGTTTGATATTTCTACCGAATTCTCAGGCTCTCAGGTAATAATTAAACTTTTCTTCCTGCTGAGATAGTGATTTCTGTGGCTTTAATATATTATAACCAAGGATGTAACTTACCTGAAGAACGTAATAACCGTACAATCTTCGGAATGTGAACTGCACTTCTAGCTGATCCCATAAACCAGCAGTATACACTAATGTAGCATTCATATGCCTATAAATGACGATTATTCTTACTCCCGCTTATTTCCAACCCACTTAATATCCACAAGTTCAAAATCTGGAAGATTCTTCGAATCCGGATCCGGAATAGTCACCGCATCCCAGTCCCTCCAAACGATTCTTACTTCTGCCGTGTTGTATGAGTAGCTCTAAAAAGGGGAATGAATGAAAACGAATATCTCATTCTTTTTATTCTTCTTAGTTCAGTTTTCAATCTTATTTTGCTTTGTCTGCGTATTCATCACAACTGTCAACTTCAGTCGTGGGACGCCACTCATCAATTCTCACCTCGAAAACAAGATTGCACGATTGGCGATCCATGGGAAAATAGGTCAAGTCGAGTTTGCATGGACCAATCAGAGACACTCGGAAGTTCAGCCAGACAGTTCCATTCGGGAAGATCAAGAGGAGGATGTTTTGAGATGGAGACGCATGGATTTCGACCTGGTAAAGATAACGCTGTTTTTTTTAGCACCGAGAAATTCATTTCCGTTTCCTTTTGTGCCATAAATATTACATGAGTCCCCTTTCTCCCATCACTTTCATATGCTATAGAAAAAAACTCAATTTTCAACGACGTCTGTTCAATTTGAGTATATATGTTTGTGTGTTTCCAAAAGTCCACATCCACGCATACTACGTACATGGTTTCCTAATAAAATTGAGACCACCGAATTGGCAATGTGGACGACGACCCCTATCGGAAAGAAAAGCTTTCGCTTACTCACTTTTTTGCTATTCACGAAACACACGTTCGGCGACCACATTGTTGGCAGCTTGTGAGATGCTAGAGAGATATTTTTGAGACAATAATTTCGATCGGAGAAGTCGAGACGAGGATCACGCCAGATTTGTGAGAACCAGACGTCTGCTTTGAAACTGGATGAAAACTCGCTGATTTCTGTGATGGACTGAACGGTAAGCTCGACGATTACCTGGAAAAAAGAGAAAATGAGAAAATTATCTTAAAAGTATAATGTGTCCTTATAGAAATTTTATTGGCTCAAAACTTGAAAGTCTCAAAAAATATCGTAAATGCTCCATTAGAAGCCCAATGTTAACAAGCATTGTGCGCTTAATTATCTCGGTTGTTATAACTGATATCAAAAGTTCGTTAATTCATAAAATGTTGCTTATAATATGCCGAATAATTTATCAGTTAAAAACTTTTTGATATCTTTTACAGTAACCGATATAATACAGCTCAAAGTGCACGTATAGGGAATGCTTCTATTAAAGCATTTAGGCCAGCGAAATTTGTCCACATGCTCTAAAAACTTGAAAAAAATCTCTTGGAGTTTCTGATTTTGTTTCAGCTAGTTTTATCAGCTGTTAAATTTTCTCTCTTACTCTTTGTACCATTCTGTCTGATTTACCTCTGTTGAGTTAGCGCTCGGCAAATTGTTTTTGTCGTAGGAGTCGTCGAAGAGTTCCTGGAAAATTAGAAAATGTCGAATCTGATTGAACTTCTTCTTCCCCAAACAGACACATTCATCCAACATCCCATCATTTCTTTAATTTTCTCTAAATATTTTGACCTGGCTGGTCAAAACATTAATGTTCATCCCACTCTCTTTCTCAAATCACGCCATTTGCATGTCTTTCTATTTCCAGAATGATCAATTCCATAGTTTGAACCCCCTCAGGCGGTGGATTAACGGCTGCTTGAGGTTGAGAAAAAAAAAGAAGAAAAAATAAGAGAAGGAGAAAAAAGAAAGGTCCATACTTTGGTCGTAACTAGGTTTTCACGATCTTGCACACACACACATCTTCCAGTTATTATTGACGATTGTTCAAAAATGGACGGAGGAGACAAAGGAAATATTGGGTCCAGAATTTTTTTAGAAATTAATTATTAACGATGTTGGGAATTCTATGCAAAAGTTCAAAATTTGTTCAGAGATCGTCCTCTTCTGAATCATTTAAAATCGGAAACTTTCAGAGTTTGCAACGTCACGCTATGATTTCTTTCATTTTTGATGTCGTATCTCCAAAAGAAATTTTTAATTGATGGATGTATTTACCCAATCTAATTCAATAGCCCGGAGTAATGAATAATGGATGACTTGAAAAGCCAATGGTCCTACGTTTCTCTTCAGTATTTGGTCACTTGTCTGAGAAAAAATATAAGTAAAAAGGAGTAAACAATTTGATTCAACCCAAAGAACCAATAAAACCCTCACATTTTGAAACTAATTTGTTTTAATGGAAAATTCCATAGAGCCTTTTTTCCCCACAAATTCTCTATACTCTCTTTTTCACACTTTTAGAGCCGAAGCGATAAGTTTGTCCCCGGGTAAAAAAGGTTGTGCGGATGAGCGAACCAAAAAAAAAGAAGAGCGAAATCCTTCCGAAAAAAGATCTAAACGACGTGAAAATGTGTGAGGATGGCTCGAATAAAACGCAATAAAAGTGAAACTGCCGGCAGTCTGTTTGATTATATGTGTTTTTTGTGGGTTTGCGACTTCATTCGGAATGTTAGTAAAAGAGATAATGTTTAAAATAAAATTGGTGGCTGTGTTCCAACAACCTGATGAGTGGAATTAATATGTAAAAGTTAGTGTGAATTTGGACAACAAATGTAATTGAAGTTTGAAAATAAATATAGACAGGGTTCCTTAGAAATTTTTTTCATAAATAGTACCGAATTTCCAAATTTATGAGAGTAAACAATGAAAATTATACTGTAAAGCCAGTTTTCTAAAACGTGAGGGTTTTTAAAAAAATTAGTTTGGATTTATTTCCGATGATAGGTTAACTGGAATTGTAAAAAATTATATTTTCATTAAATTTTGTTTCCAAATCAACACTTTTAAATTGATGGGAACTCTGTCTGCTAGAGCCATTAGTCAGAACTTCCTTATTGCGATTGAACTTTTGTCTTTCATCTGACCCTTCAAATTTTTCCGCATTCTTTTTTCATTTCTAATTTTTAAGTGTTGTTTTTTTCATTTATCAAGTACCTCTTACATTTTTTCTTCTATGTTTTGAGCCCCGTCCGTTTGTATTCATGGTCAAATGATTCTTCCTGGGAGCACTACCAAAAAAGCTATAAAACCATCGGATGCTGTCTGTGACAAGAATTTCATTTCAGTTTCCAAATTTTGGATACAATCGTGAATCAATTAAAACGAAACGGACATTTGTCCAGGAGAGACACCAATCGGTTTAACAAATTGGACAACACAAAAACAGCTCGCGTGAAAAAAAGCTTTGTGAGGGATCGGTTCTCAAAATTTGATTAACATTTAGGAATCTGGTGGTGCCAACAACTATGTACTACATACTTGCATTTTTGTCTTTTTTTCCTTTTTCCTCTTTTTTTCCTACCACTGTATTACTTAAAAAATGATTATTATCACGCCTCATTGAGCGTACATAATAAATAGCGAATGAATGATGCCCGTGTCTGTTTGGAAGCAGGTTTTAAAAGGGTCGTTTTTTGAGTGAAGCGTAGTCACGAAGAGCATAAAAATCATATTCGCGGGTCCCTCCGGAAAAAAAATCAGCTAAACTCGTCGGGAGAGCACAAAAGTGCACTTACTAGGTAACGAAGGGAGTAGAAAATAGCTATTGCAACATATTCAACGCTTCCTGTGATGTCAACGGGTGGATAGATCATTATATGCTCTTTTTTGGGTTTGTGTTGCATATGCGCATGTAACCCTAAAATAATACGAAAAACCTAAAGAAAGCGGATCCCAACCCCTTTTCCAACCCAACTGCGTGTAAACTGGGTCGGATAATATAATGGGTTTCCCTCACTCGAAAAAATAGAAAAGGAGGGAATAAAAAAGGAAACAACGAGGTAAAGAAAAGATACATATCTGGCATTTTTAGATGTTTATGTGGCCATGTCTTGGAGAACCCGAATGGATTGACAAGGAGTAAGGAAAGCCTAAATGCTTGATTTTTCGTTGTGAACAAATACTCAGAAGTTCTTCAAAAAGAGATTCTCATCAAGGATTACATAACGATAGCAGAGCGTGCATTTTTTTTCTTTAAGAGCGAAAAAGTTTTTCTTCGTTCTCAAAATTTGATAGGAAGACTTCAAACATCGGATGTCTTTTAGCAAAAGAAGACACAAAATACTTAAAAGTCTTCTAACCAGAATTAATTTTGTCGAACTCACCTGTAACAAATTCTTCCTCAACGTCTCATTTATTGGAGTACATGGTTCATCTTCGATTCGTTCTTTCCGAAACTTTTTCCGCTTCCCACCCTCCCGCCGTCGCTCATGTTGTTGTTGAAATGGTGGACCGTTTGGATAGGGATATGTGCGTTCTGGTGGTAGTTGGCCTATCTGAATTGAGTTCTCCTGGAGTCACAAAAATTTTAATTCGTTGAAGTTAAGACTGAATAGTTACCTGATTCGCTGCGATTTCGGCCAACCGATCTGCATCTCCTGATGATAGTTCTGGGAGCAAGAGAACAATTCGAGCCAGATAGGATATGATCATAAATCCGGAGAGCAACGGTCGACGAGCACCCGACAATGATATTAGATGGGACGGAATGGTGACGAACTTTGTGTGGATCGGGCAATCAAACAATTGGGACACTGAAAATGAAAATCAGATGAGGACTGAAATGAATAGAAACAAAGTGGTTGAGGAAAATGGGGTGGAGAGAAGAGAAAAAAAACGAGAAAGTGGGTGGAGACAAAAGGAACAACACACGCAGCTCCACAAGCACAAGAAGAGAAGTAAGCAAAAACAGGACCAGTGGTGCCGGCATCGGAATGAGTTGTCACAGCCAGAACTGCCGATGTGGGCGTGGTCACCGAAAGACGCGATGAGCCCCTCGTTTCTCCTATCTAGAAGGATAGAAGATGGGAGGAGAGAATATTGGGGCAAATGAAACGGGAAAGGATGAGAAGAAGCGCTAGAATAAGAATGTCCACAACCCCAACGTTTATCAGTTTCGTTTTTTTCAAGAACTGAAGTACGGAGTTTAAAATAGGGAAGAAATTTGAACTACTTTTTAAGGAGAGTTCTCAATCCAGATCGGATGAAAAACTCAAGTCAGGGAAGCAGAAAATCAGAAAAGGAAATTGAGTTTTCTGAGTCTCATAGAGTTCATTGCTCCAGTTAGACAATGAACTCTGGCACGAACAATAAGAAGATAAATCATGAAAAACCTCAAAAATCGCAGTCTAGCATCATTGAATCAGGTATTTAAAATAACTTTTTTATCAATCACGCTTTTCAAAATACGCAATCTCTTCAGAAATCTATTTGAAGTAGAAAAGAAGAGCCTATATTGACTCACTTTCAAGTTTTTTTCTCTTTTTCCATTTACTAAGCTAACTAAGCTAACTAAACTGAGAAATACTGAATCACTATTTTTTTCAAAGTCTTTTTCTTCTCTATTTTTTTGGATTGGCTGTTCATCTAGTTGAAAATAGTGCAAACGGCTAGTGAGGCTTTTTTTGCGGCACTGGCGGTAAACAGGGATTTAAAGAGAGATAAGAAAAAGAAAACCCGGAAAAGTTTGTGAAAAATGGAAAGCAAAACAAAACGAGTGCTTCCTGAAATTCATCAACTTCTTTTTTTTGACAACTCGAAGGATCATTTATTAGTTGTGTTCCTCCCCAGTGAGTCTAACACTTTGTAACCATCTGAATATACTTGTGGTTGGAGAAGATATGCTATAAAGAAACAAAAAAGAGAATTCTTCGAAAAAACCCATTGCTCCTCCGGGATTATTAGTATTTTTCTACACGTTGTGGTTCGTAGCAAAGTGTAACGTTGCTCGTAAAATTTATTGCAGGAATTGGTGGGATAAAAGGTCACAAGTTTTGCACTGCTTTCAATATTTCACGTCCTCGCCTAATCTGGATAATTTTTCACAAGTGTAAGGTTGGGGTGCTCAATTAGGCAGAGGTCAGTCTGTTTTGCAGCACACGTTTTTCTTCTTTTTTTCTTGCTCTTACAATGGGCTAGAAAGCTGCTTTTATGCAGATCAAGTTGGACTGTTTACTATTTGAAAAATCGATGTAGAACGAATGAATAAATACCTTTTTGAATTTTTTTTTCTGAACGAATGGGCACATGACACTCCCATAAATACAACATTGGCTTGAGGCCACAATTCATTTTTAATTTGTATTTCAGAATCACAATAACTCTTGTGACGAATATCCTTAGTTTTTTTTTTCAGTAAACAGAAAGAGTTCAAATGACTCATCGCGGTTTTTCAAAAAGAATTGGAGAAGTTCAGAGAGGATAAGGCAATAGTTTTTCAGCTTTGAATAGTCTTCTGAATAATTGATGAGCATAGTACGGACAATCCTTGTGAAAAGAGGTCTTCTCCTATTTACGTCAACCCTAACTTTTCAGTTGGATGGGAAACTTGATTTTCAATTTTAAAGACATAGTGAGCTATGCGAAGTTTGACATTTGATTGTAATGTGCATTGAAAGGTTTTCTCGTTGGATAGTCATGTTGAATGAAGCATTAAAATAGTAATCTACATATGGATTACAGTATCTAAAAAAGTCCATGAGTATTCCTCCCGTCACTCTAGAAAAACTATTGTGAATAGATATAGAAAAAAACGATAAATTTATGATTATTGAAATTAAACTTAATTTTTCAAAAAATAAGAAGCACAAAATGAAAAAAGTTTTTGAAAAACCAATGTGTGTAAATAACAAAAAAAATTTAAATGGAAAATATTTTGATGAATGCTACCTAATACTTAATGCAAAGCAAAAAGAAATCAAGGAACCAGGGCGAGCCTTTCTTTCTTTGAAAAAATTTGCAACGGGACGTTCCGGGCAAGATTTTTTTTTCAGAATTTTTCAGCCCTGTCCGTTTCAATTCGGGGCTCCGGTAACTTCTTTTCCTGCCTTTTCAAAAACTAATTCGGGGTGAAAAAACAACAACATCTTTAACAAACGAAAAGCTTGCAAAAAACGGAGTGTCATTGAAAAATATATATCTCGTTCGAAATCAGTGTCGTTGAGAGCGGATCTCGTATAATTTTTCTCGATGTCCTCTCTAAATGATAACTATTTTATATGATAATGACGACAAGGTAATAAATTTTTTACAAAAACATCTTATAATAGATGGGGGACAGGAGATTTTTCGTAGGATTTTTGTAGCTAGGGCATGCATTCTACCGTGACGGTGTACAAAGCTTAATGTCACTCTGCGTACAGCTGTCGTCCTCGCCTTTATGTATGCAATCGGGCGGAAGCTTTCTCTTTTCCCGCGTGGCTCAGTCGGTAGCGGCGCCGCACCCTCAATCATCGCCCCCACAAGTTCAACTCCTTGAGAGTCATATTTAAAAGGAATTTCGAGAACATTATTTTTTTCATGTCCTCCCACCTTTAAAATGTTTTGAAACTTTAGAATTTTTGTGATTTTTCAACTATTGACAAATGTTCTGAAAAAATCAGAGATGATCAAACAAGTTCGACCTGTTTTGCGGCTCACATTTTCCATCGTTCCAGTGAGATACATCGGTGGTTCAGTGGTAGAATGCTCGCCTGCCACGCGGACGGCCCGGGTTCGATTCCCGGCTTTTCCCGCCCGGAGCCTCTCTCCAACAAGAGATTTTGATCTTTCATGCTAGACCACCGAGGTGTTAGATCACAAAGACGCGACGTTAACGACATTACGAGACGTCTTCAGTAGAATCATGGACCCCGTAGATGTCCCACCTTCGAACGCTCGCCAAGACGATACGAGAAAAGACACTAACGACGTGACGCAGAATAGTACTACAAGAGGCGAGTGGACGCCGAAGACGTAGTCACTCAGTTCTTCAGTGTCAATTGGACCAATGGGCAACTAATTTTAAATTTCGTTGTGTCTTTTTTTTCTCTAAAGCCGTGTGCTAAATCGCACTCTTCTGATGGTGATTCACCGGGGAATGTGCATTGCATCTCCCGCAATCACTTTCTTCTATTAAATTCTTTATCATGTAACCAGTATAAAAGCTCCTCTATTGTACCATTCTATATCGTTCAATAAACCAATGTAGCTTCTAAAACACAAGTGAAGAAGGAAACGATTCTGATATTCAGAATTTACCCGGACGGTTTGGAATTTTTTCACTGCCTACGGAAATCGATTGAGTTTCTTGAATTGAATGATTGCTGTACGAAAAAAAAACAGAACATCTTGATGAGTTTTAAAAAAAAGTTCAATTCCACAGCCTAACATGTCCTTTGGAACAATTTCCCAGCCCCCATGTCCTCTTTTTGAAATTCCACAATTTTGCAAATCTCGTGTTCTCAAAACCCCCTTATGCTGCATAATCATATCATTCGTTTCTGAAATTAAGTGAAGCAGAACAAAAAAGAGTTTTTTCGAGAAGATTCTTGGTTTTCACGTGACAAATTGCTATGGTGAAGATTGTGTTCAAGGAATCCCATGAAGCACATGATTTGTGTTTAGACGGTTCTGAAATTATGATTTCGAGCGTGTTGTCTGTTATAACTATACGATAGTGATCCCAGGAGCATTCGACTGGTATGATTTCAGAGAACTCAACATCACGAGAAAATTCTGAACAGTGAGAAAAAATATGATAGTACAAAAAAGAATTAAACGTCAAAACGCCTGGAAAACTTTAAAATGAAAATGTCATCTTTTGATTTCATGAATGGAGACGGTCAAGAAAAAGTTATACAGAAAGATCTTTAACATGTTGAAAAATATATTGGAAAAATTGAACTTTTTGCTCGCGATCTCCATAGTAATGAAAATGTGATGTTAATTTTGTCTAGGATTAACAGCAAATTTTCGTTCTAGTATGATAACGCTTTATTAGACAATTTTCTTCCGACCATAAACTTTTCGGATACTTTTTTTCTGATTTCAGAATTCAATATTTGTTTCTGACCCACAGCGATGACCCTTAGTGAAATACTATCCAGAAAAGTTTTTGAAATTGATTCCACATTTCACGTTCTTGCTTGAAATTAATTGTGCTTCTTTTGCACGCTTGCAACGAGTTTGTAAAAGTATATTTCACAGTTTTTACCTCAAAACATTCAATTTGATTACATCCACGTTTCGCTTTTTTTTTAAACATAATACCCATCCCAATACCCTTTTAACCTCTATACAAAAACTTGTATTATCTTCAAATCTGCATTTAATCCCTCGCTTCTGATAAACTATGAAAGAGAATTACTGAAAGATGCTCACTCAAGCAAATATGGGCGGAGCTTCAGAACCGAGGTAGCCATCCCTTTTTGTTTCATTTATCAACCTCACTTGTGAGCGCCTGTTGCGTTCCTCACACGGCTCTTACCTTCGCCAAAATATGTCGGACACTCATGCCAATGTCGCTACTTCTGTTGTTCAATTGGTCCCGCCAGTATCAACACCATTGGTCCCAGCTATTAATTTGTCTTCGGTCGAGGCAGCCACCGGAGCTACTAATGTTACAGCATGTTCTAATTTCTGGTAAGTATAAAACTATTGAGACAGGCCTTGGAAATATTTTTGAACAACCGATTTTTATATAATTTCAACATGCATTTAGGGAAAAATCGTTTTCGAGTCCGAGGCAGAGCACAAGGCATATGAAGCCATGGAAACTGCACGGTGAGCTATTTTAAAGGTTTTTTTTTAATTGAATGGTTTTAAAGAGCCGAGTGTGTCTGTGACCGTCGATCTCTGCCAAGCTGCATCTGAATGACGGGGAAAACATCGGAGAGCATCTTCACATCAACATCTTCAAAACCCTTAACATTGGTCTTTTCCTGAGAAAAATGCTGTTTTCTCCCAATAGACTAACTTCTAACCTCAAAAATACCTCCATACTCATTGAAGCATCATTTCAGTATATTTTAATTATACTTTCTCAGAATCCTGTGCATAAATAAAGTTTCAAAGAATTTAAAAAGTCGACTTTGATTCTAAAGATCTTCAATCTCACTGATCTATATGTGTGAACGCTTTTTTGCAATGTGTCCAACTCAAATGCATTCAGACGGAATGCATGCAAAGATGTGAATTTCGTGATTTCCTGATTTCGTTTTTCGAAGAGATTTCATAAATACAAATTTGAAAAAAAAATTAAACGAGGCATACAATTAGCGGAGCAACCAATTAACGAATTTTGTGATTTCTAGTTTGTGAGATGTGCTCTACAGTCGGCTGCTGTAAATTTTACAAAACAAAGTTTGAAAACTTGAGTTCCTGTTCAGTCAACAAATACCGTATTACCAGTATTAGAAAAGCTTCACACTGTCAAGCTTAACCTCAATTATCTCATTTGTTGTGCAAGATATCAAAAATGTGTCAACTGACAAAACCCTTCTAGTATTATGATTAACAATTTGTCAGTTGTCCTTTTTTCATATTTCTGACAGTGACCGAGAAATATTGGAACAAATTTAAATGTTCGGAGCCCTTCTATTACAGGTTTCTTTGTGTTAGTGAATTCTGTGCTTTCCTCTAATCTCCATATTTTCTACAGTTGGGAAAATTTCACGAGACGTTGTTTGATCTTTGAGATAGGTTCAAGTTCACAGCGTTCAGAGGGCTTTATAGTTTTTACGCCGCTAGTATAAAAGATAGAGTTTTGAATTGACTAGAAACAATGAACAATTTCCATCGATCCAATGATGATATTGAAGATGGTTTTTGGGCAGCAATGTTCATAAGCTTTTGATTTCTACTACCCACGTACACAATTTCATAAAAGTTATTGAACGCCGTACCCGGAGATCCCAAATCTAGGATTTCTAGTCCCAGAAAGCAGTCCAAAGTGAAGCCCAAGTTCCCACGATTTCCAACCCGCACAGTCGAAACCATTGCAACCGTACATCCAAGCGCGTCATAACCCGCATTTTCGAAAAAAAAATTTTTCGGTAGCACTGTATTTCACTGTGCGAATTCGAAATCTTGGAAATCGGAGCGTCACTTTAGACTTCTTAGACTTCTAGACTTTCAGAAATTCCAAATTTGTGTTTTTGGATGCTGTATGAGCCTTTCGAGGAGTTGAAATTGCGGGCTTACCGTAGCTAACACATGAGGCACAAAAAATCATTGAAGACTTTCCTGTCTCCCCCTTTAAATCAAATTTAATTTGTTGTTTCTTATTTTAGTTCATTCATGGTGCTTATTTTATATGGGAAATGATGTTTTCCGAAATTGAATACGGCAAACCTGGAAACTGTCTTTGAAAACATGAGAAAACGATTACGTGTTTGTTGTTGTTGTGACATGTGCTACATTTTCTTCTCTTGTCATTTTGTTTTTCATTGCACCTTGCGTTTACGTATACCACAACCCAGCAACATTGGAAGAGAACAGACACAATACGGAATTGCACGTAAGCACCGTCCATCTGTCGAAAATGGGCTAAAGGAGACACGGGTCATTATTATATTGAAACTGGGGAAATTGCCGTCCGTTGGAAGATGCAGACCGGAAAAAAATATCGGGAAACTTTAGTTATGTCCGTATGGAACTCAATTCAGATCAATTTGGGCACATGAGATGCACAGAAATCTTTTCTGGCTTTTTTTTACAGCATTATCTGCATATTAGAAATTTATCAACCTTTCCCATTAACTGGATAAATTTGCAGACGTTAAAGAACGATCTGTCAGTTCTCTGTAAGAATCCAGAAACGCTTGCGCAGCCAACGAGGAAATGCACATCGCATGCGGACCATATCCATGATAAAACAGATACCGTTGCCGAAAATATTGACTCGTGTCGTGGAATGATGAGTCAGAAAAAAACTAGAAAAGGTTGAAAAACTGGGCTAAGGTTGCAATTTCTGTACGGTGACGGATACGACTCCATTTAGCTCGTTACTGAAATCTTTGACAAAGTTATGAGAAGTTCCTTTTTAAAAAAAATTGATTGTTGTCTACAACATAGACGTCATTGGCCAGCTTCGGACCAAACGCTGGTCAAAATTTGTTGAAAAGCCAAACCCCTCAACTTGAGTGAAGAAAATTTAATATCAGTCGGAACACAATAATTTTCTAATGGGAACAATTACAGGTTTCGAGCGGAGACAACCACAATGGAGAATTACCAGCGAAAATACCTAGGGGACGTCCAAAAAAAGAGAACACAACAACTTCTGAACCAGAAACCGCAACGGAGGCTTCTGAAACTACAGAAAGACGTTCATCGCGCACAGTGAAGCCAACTGCGCGCCGTCTACAAGCAGATGAAGGTAAGAATCAAACGCAAGAACCTACTTCATGGCAACACTTTTCAGACGATTCTTTCAAGAAAGCCCACAAAGATCGAGCCACGACCGAAACAAAGAATCCAGTTGGGAGACCACCAAAACAAAAGATTTTGTCGCAAGCCAGCACTAGTCAGGCAATAGATGACAATGGAGCCAAGAAAACAGTTCAAGGAAAAAATCCAGTGGGAAGACCTAGACGAGATCGTAGCCAGGAAGTAGAAAATTGTGAGCTCCCAGGAGAAAACGTTATTCAAAAAAATAACGATTTTACAGATGCAACTTGGAAGAACCAGCAGAAAGAACGATCGAAGCAAAAGAACCCAGTCGGAAGGCCACGAAAGCAAAGCACACAGAGCTTATCCACACAGAATTCAAACAAGTTGATGTCGCCCTATAAACAGAAAACCGTTCCAACGAAAAATCCAGTTGGCAGGCCACCGGGTGCCCGTCAATCAGTAAAAAGTCCCGGGCAAAATCTGAACAAAGAGGAGGTCAAGCCACGTGGGAGGCCAAGGAAGAGGATCCATGCCAAGACTGAGCAACAGGATGACGTTGAAGTTGAATATGAATTTGAAAATGAAGATACTTCAGTGAATGTCACGGATGGTAAGCTAGTGGATAAGAAAAATGGAGAGCTCACTCATGAGAATGACCAGAATGCTGAACAACGTAAAGCGGAAGATGAAGATGAGAAAGATGAAAGAGAGCAAAAAGAGGAGAAGGAGAATAAATGCCGAACAGGCTGTGAGGATAAGCCAGACACACGGCTATTGTTCACACCCGAGGTTTTTCCGGATTTAGGTACATTGAACTTAATTTAATCTTTTTAACTAATTAGAACTTTTCCAGCTGAAAGAGGGAAGAACCCTGAAAGCAAGAGCATTAATATTCTACCACTCCCAAGACCGTTTTCGAGAGACCAAACCCCATTCAGTGAGATTTATGACGAACTGATCGATGATATCAGAAAGGGCCGCAACTGCTTCCCAAATGCTCCACATAAACCATTATTTGACTTTTGCTTGTTTTGCAAGAGCTATCGATGCACTAAAAATCATTATTGGTATGCGTACGCTATCAACAACCGATTGATCAAATCTGGAAAATTCGATAAGGATCCAATCACCAAAGAGTCTGTGCTGAATCTTCTATGTGCATTCAGAGACGAACATTTGCTGGCGGATAGTACGGAGAGGCCAGTGGAGCTTGATTATCGCTTAGAAGACTATACAATCTGGCATAATATCTAAAAACCAAATTCTTGAAAAATCATGACAAACATATTTTCCCAATGATTCACACCCGATTCTCAACAATCATTTTTCATACGGTCTCAATTTGAATTAATTTTGTCTCATATTTTGCTAAAAACGTATAAAATCTTAAACAACACATTCAACTTTTCGGCTATTTTTGATATCATCACTATTCTGAACTGTTCTTCTTTTTTTAGAGTCAATGATCATTTTTCAAATTTATTCAGGCCAACGAAAATATACTGGATATTCGCTGAAAATTATTAACGTTCTCGAGAATAAGAGGCTTACGGATTATTATCACATTTGTTGCAGAATCATTAAAAGTCCAGTATTCCCCTGAAGACGTAGATCAATTCTAAATTGAGTTCAAAATAATTGAGGTTTTGCCGAGTGTTTTCGAATGTTGAAATTTCCTGAATGATCCTAGAAGTCATGTTCATGAACATTTTCTTTGGAAAACTCGTTTTCTTCCATAAACCCAACAGAAATATTTTCAAGAAAAGTTTTTGTGAAAGGTTTTTGCGGGTTTCAGAGTCAGAAAGCAATTTTAAAACTAAATTTTCTCAAAATCAGGAAGCTGAAAAACTACAGATCAAATTTTCAGCTCAATTTTTTCTTGACAAATTTTGAAGAACATAGTTTTCGAGACATAAATCGCCATTAATCCAAAAAATCTAAGACCCGCCTCGTTTTGAGCATTTTTCGGTGTATAGATGCCCGTTAACTTTCCACTCTACCCCTTTCTTCGATCTTCCACTTCCCGAAATATTGTCAGACTCAATTGGAGATTTTCGATTGGTTTACGATATCTGGATCTCGCGAGGGATTTGGAACATTAATACATTAATCTTATTTCCCCTCGCAGTTTTTTCATTCAATTCCATTTATCAATGCATGCTCATCCTTTACCTGTCCTGAGATTATCCTATCTTGTTCTCTAATCTTTTTTGGTCTATAAACAATACGCGTTTGGAGAAACCTTTCCACTTTTCATCCTTTTAATGGGCGTGTCTATACGAAATCTGTACTTATAATTCTTTTAGATCAGGTTGCGGAACCAGTGTTATTCTAAAAATGGCAGCCTCTTCTCGTCCGATTGATCCTCGTGATCTTGTTCCAGATTCTCATGAATTGACGGTTAGTATTATTTTCTTAATTCTGGTTTGGAAAAACGTTATTCCAGGATATCGTGGGTCAAATTGTTGATCGAGAGGGTCAAGGAAACGGAATTGATATGGTGAGTGATGAGTTTTTGAATATCTGAATTGTTTTTTTTTTTGACTGGAATGATTCTTATTTTGAATTTGAATGATTAGATATAAGCTGTTAAGTTTTTTTTCCCCAAATTGTTCAGTGAAAACTTGTTTTTGTGTTTGTTAGACAACATCTTTCGATTGTTTTAGACGAATACATGGCCAATGATCAATTTCCCTCTGTCGGAAGTTATTCATATTTTGCATTTCCAGCAAAATCTAACCGACCAAGAGCAGGCCGCCTACGAAGTCGTCATGCATGCTATTCAAGAAGCACTGTCCGCCTTCAACCCGAACGCCGACGGAGGCGATCAATAGGAATCTCACATTGTCTTAGAGTGTGCTCAAAATCCAGTTTCTCTTTTTTGGTTGTTCTTTTTTTTTGATAAACTATTTTGTACTATTTGAGTCGTTTGTTTGTTTTTAATTGACAAAAACTTCTTGACTTCAATCACCAAAATCATAGTTATTTTTATTATCTGATTTCACTCTATATTGCTTTTATCTTAGTTTTCCAGACAGAAAACATTTCCGAACCCAGACAGCATTTGTTGTTGATTATAAGGTTGAATGTCTGTCTATGGAAATGTGTGGGAAGGTAGAGAATAATTGTTCGTCTAGATAAAATGCTAAAGTTTGTGAAAGGATGAAAATGAACTTTCGGTTCCACCTCGGAGTATAAAAAGTCGAAAGTTTGCTCTCTGCGACTTCCTTTGATAGTGTTATCAGGTGTATTCTACCAGTTGAAACCTTTAGAAAGTGTTTTATTGCAAAGATGTGGATCATCAATATGAAGGTGGCACGCTGCTACGAGCTGAGGTACGGTGACGAAAGCTGTAAAACCTGAACTCCGAAAAAACTCCGCAAAAAACCTCCACTCTCCCCTTCTTTGATGCTTTTCAATTTTGCAGAACCTGTACTCTGTCCTAGTTTTTCAAAAAATCAAATCATTCCCTACTACTCCACAATTTGCAAGAATACTAAAATTTTGCAATAATACTAATCTTGTACAATATTTTGCATTTTTGCCTTCATATGTTATTCCTTCTTTTTTCCCCAATTTGAGACAAGTAGTGTATCTTGTTTTCGATGTCTTCAGTTTTTTTTTCCGTTCTGCAGAGAGAAAAGCAATTTCCTCCTCTTCTGCAATCTTCTTCTGCAAAAGTGACTGCAATAGCGAAAAAGCAACCATGTTTGTAAACAATGTTGATTCTTGAGACTGGTGTCCATGAGGAGTAAATATGTTATGTGAAATGTCTGCCTCATCCCTCTTATCAAAAGCCACGTGAGGAATAAATGTTTTTTGAACATTCACATTTGCAGTTATTTCTTTTCCAAAAAGACTTTTCAAAAACTAAAGCCTTTTTTTCAAATGATGTGGTGCATTTCTCTGTTTTTGACATTCACTCATTTCTTATAATCATATGTATATTTCCTTCAATTTTTTCTTTTGAATCATTTCCTTTTTCGAATTCCAAGAACAAAGAGGCTGCCCATTAATATCTTCTTTCTCCTCCAATCTGCTGTCGTGTTTTGATCTAACACAACAGCAAGATGAATCAGTTACCTTCTGAAAAATTTCAAAAACATCCTATTATGACCCATTTTTTGTAAAACGTCTAGACACGAGAGTTAGTAGGCATTTCTCATTCCCATATTTACTTCCTTTTTCTTATTTTTTTCGTTCTTTATCCTTGTTGTTCTTTGCAACTAGGAAATATAGATGAATTGAATAAAATAAGAAGAAAACAGCTTCTTCATAAATAATAAAGAGCTGGAGTGCGATGCAAACTGCAGTTTGAATGCTACTAATTAGACATCCACCTTGGTTCTGCGCTCTGAAACTAATTCTGTTTTTAAAACCCTCCAGTTCTATTTTTGCACCATTTCTCCACTGAGTCAAACATGTTTCTTAATCATGTTTCGTGCCTCCGAGGGCCCGGTGTTGCAAGACACATTCTGATCCTGAATTGACATAAACTCTAATTACATCAACGAGCCATAAGCGAGTTTCTATTTTTGCCATCCGGGTACACACTATTCCAGGCGCACGTTTTGATTGTTTCTATAGATCGCACATTTCTAGAATATGGATAGATTTGATTGTGTTTTGAGTTTTTGTGATCTCAATGTAAAAATGAAAACAGTTTTCAGGCTTGGAGAATATTTTTTGATTATTAAGTTTATCAAAACCTTAATTTTCACACAGTTATCCCGCTCCTGGGCGTTTCAGAGCCGGCCGTTTCCGAACCAGACACCTTAGAACCCGAAGTTTGAGAAGTTTTCTGCATTTTTGTACAGTGTTTTTTTGCTTTTACATTCGTTTTCATCTACCATCCTCCAAAGAATGATAGGTTTTCACTGAGAAACTTTCAAAAAATCGAAAAAAAAACTGAGATATTCAAAAACAATGTTATAACTAAAAGCATGCAAAATTAAACTCATGTTCGCCGATGAAACTTTTTTTGCGTTTTTTTGGACACCATTTTTTAAAATTTTGAAATTTTTTCAGTTTTTGAAGAGTTTCCGAGTGTCAATTTATCATTATTCAAATACGGTGGACGAAAACGAATGAAAAAGCAAAAAAAAAACAATTTGAAATGAGCAATACTAATATGGTGTGTAAAAAACCCTACGCAAAAACGCAGAACAATTCTGAAACGTCTTGTTCAGAAATGTCGCGTTCTGATGGGTTGGGTTCTGAAATGACGAGTTCTGAAACGTCGGATTTTTTTTTAAAGGTCAGGATCTGTCGGCTGAGCAACTCCTGTCACCGTAGCTCAGCTGGTTGCACCGGGGCACCTCCAACTCTAGGGCTACAAGTTCAATTTCTCAAGCGGCACATATGATCGAAATTTTAAGAAATATAAACATGCCACTTTTTTGTAGTCAAAAATTGCATTTCATTTGTTTTGATGTACTTTTAAAAATAACTATGCTATCTATGTACAGTAAAATTCATTTCATATTCTCCAACAGTTCATTGTTCAAAAAAACATTCTCTCCCTTGAACCGACAATATTTCATTAATGATAAATAAATTCTGAAACTCACATAAGTCACGTTTTCTCAACGTTTTTCTCAATTAGATGTATACGATAGCCAGCTATTAGGTTGGCGGGAAAGTCTTTGTCACTCTGTTTGTTTAATCACTGTTCTCGTATATGGAGGCTGTGTATGATATCGACTCTAGTGAATAACAAGGTGATAAGAACCTTCCATATAAACAAGTCCCCATTTCCTTCCCTGCTCCTCATCTGTAATTGAAACGATATGTTTGTTCCCACTGCTATTCACATCAGACATGTTTTGATTTACCTCTTCCTATCTCACACCACGATGAAGGATTCGGAAACTTTCTTGAAGAATGTGTACAACACACATGCCCCTCACTACAATACTATTCGCAATTGGTTCCATCGTTTCGAAAAAGATGACTTCTCGCTCGATGAAAAGGATCGCTCTGGGAGACCCCGTGAGTTGGATTTGGACATGCTGAAGCACGCATTGCAATCGGATCCATTTCAATCTAGCCGTGAACTAGCTGTCACATTCGGAGTTCACCATAGCACAGTCCTTGAAGGTTTGAAGTCTCTTGGAATGAGAAAACTTTTTGGTCGATTCATACCTCATCACCTGACTCAAGCCAACCTTGACCGCCGAGTCGACGATTCGATTACTCTTCTCACTCTCCACGCGGGCGATCGATGGCTGGACCGGCTAATAACCGGAGATGAGAAGTGGGTCTTCTACGATAATCACCACAGGAAATCCCAGTGGGTTGGAGAAGGAGAGAGCCCACAGGATGTCCCCAAACCCGACCTTCATCCGAAAAAAGTTATGCTCTCTGTGTGGTGGGGAGTGGACGGCCCCATCTACTGGGAACTTCTGCCCGAGGGCAAAACAATAACTGGAGACCTCTACACTACTCAACTACGAAACCTCAAGAAAGCAGTCGACCGTTCGGCCCTGAAAGACAAGAAAGTGTACTATCAACATGATAACGCTCGCCCACATGTTTCGAAACAAGTGAAGCAGGAGCTGATGGGATATGGATGGAATGTTCTCCCTCACCCCCCGTATTCTCCTGATCTTGCTCCTTCCGACTATTGGTTATTTGGCGATATGACACGTGCCTTCGAAGGAAGAAGCTTCAATTCCCGTGGAGCGGTCGAAGCGGCACTCAAACAATACTTTGCCTTACGCCCGGCTGGATTCTACCGCAATGGAATCCATAAATTGAGGGAACGTTGGAGACATGTTGTTGATAATGATGGACAATATAATTAATTATTCGGTTATTTTTTCTTTGAGAAATAAACTATTGAAAAAGTGACAAAGACTTTCCCGCCAACCTAATATAACATCTGAATTGAATTCATTTAGGTTTTCGATGATTCACTTTTCCTGCTCTCTTTTCTTTCTCATAATTGACCTTTTATTCCAATTTTGCAAGTCTTCCATCATGAGTAATATACATGTTTCTCTTCCTCAACAGATAAATTCTGGGAAATGTCTCAAACTTTTTTCCCTAAATGACTTAAAAATGAGTCATCTGCTTGTTTTCCACTTCCAACTTTTTTGTTCTGCTACTTCTGCCGCTGCTTAAATCTTATTTTAGGTGTACTGAAGCAGTATGTGATACGTCACAACGTGTGGTGCAGAAGAAATTGATGAGGATATCCTCGATGCCCTCAGGCCAACTGGGACCCCAAGATGGATCTCACGAGGATGAAGTGCAATGTTCTGTGTCGTGTATTGTATTTTCTTGCTAGACAATTAGAAATGCAAGTTTTCGTAGTGCCGTGTGATCAGAGGAATAAAACAAAAACAACTGTAATCCTGTGTATTCTTGAAATCCTTTTTTTGGATTTTCTCCCTTCTGTGCTACTACAAAGCGTTTCTGCTCTGCAAGAGCTTTATCCTTGCTCGATTTCCGTCTTACTCCTTCTGCGTCCCGAATTCTTCTTCTTCTTCTTCATCTACTTCAACCCTCACTTCTTCTTTTTAGTCTTGTTTTCTTGTTCTTGTTCCTTCCTGACCAAGAGTGAGAGAAGCTGGTCGGTTGCTCTGCCAGCCAGGCACTCATTTTTTTTCTTGCTGATCTACTTGCAAGGCTTACAAGGAGCAATGGAAGAGAAGATAAGGCAGCGGATACACACACTAATATGTTGGCATACTACTCCACATCTTGCCACATTTTCCCTCTTCTTTTTTCTTTAATTCTGCAATACCACCACATGCATTTCCCACCCCACTGTCAATAAGTTGCTCCTGGTTCTCCTCTCGTTTGGAACAAAAACTCTTGACTCTCTCTATTTCTATTGAGATGAAACAAACTGCAAAATGAGTTCTATTTTCCTTTCATTTTCTTTTTTTTTCATTTTTCCCAGATGTTCTAATGTTACACTTCGTCCTGAAGAGAGAGAGAGAGAGAGAGAGAGGAGAGAGAACGAAAAAGTTCATTCTCTCTACTTCTACTACTGTAAATGTGCATCTATCTGTACGTCATCTGTACTAAGCGGTTAGTCATGCGAGTCGAGCGTCGAGTCAGAAACGGATTAGTGATATCTTCATGTTTTTCTGCAAATAGAAGAGTTTGGCTAGTACATAGTATGCACTTGAGATTCTTATGCTTTTCTGATGAGGCGTCCTACCGTAGCCAAAGGGCATAAAAACATGAGAACCAATATCCCAGTAGCTAAAGTATTTTGCAAGTGTGGTGGTCATAAATTTTTGATGAAGGAAAGCAATATTTCTATTTTGGGAAAATGTCTTCTCTAGAATTAATCAAAAAATTTACTTTCCGTTATCAGTTCCATTATTATTATTATTATTATCCGTTTTCTTATTCTCGTTCAAACTCTATCATTTCTAAAAATGGTTTTCAAAAATTTTCACGTCTTTGGAATACTGTATATTGCGTGCCAATCAGGTATTTGGTAATCTTCTGATTTCAGTTTTTTTTATTTCTGTGTAAAATGCTCTGATCATAATATTCTCGTTGTACTGGCACGAAGCCAATGAAAATGTTTTTGAATGAATATCAAATGCGTTGCCTTCAAAACAACTGGCAGGTGTTTTTTAGGGTTTGCACGAGGTTATTAAATATTGCAGTGAGATTTGAAAGCGATTTTTGGGTTAACAATTTTCATCAGAATATTCAGTTTTCCTAACAGAAGCTAACGCACATAGTTCAGAAAAAACATCAGCTCATTTCCTCTCATCCCTACATAATCCGAGATTCTCGATCATCCGTTTCCTGAACTGATGTCGTTTCAAAATTCTTTGTCTTTATCCTCGTTCTATCCCTCCCCTCTCCAAAAATAGAACCTTGACCCTCAAAGTTTCCTTTTTTTTTGCTCTTTCTCCCTCGTTTTGCAGAAAAACATGGGGTGTGAACTTTGGGAATTTACCCAAAGGCCTTTTTTCTCTCTCGAGTCTCCACATTGTCTGGGCCATGGGGCGGGCGCTAAGGCGCTGCTTCAGTTCCATTCCGCCTTCCTGCTTTCGTCTGCTGCATTTTGTTTTTCTGGGGAGGGTGGGTGTGCTGCAGACAGCTAGATATTCTGTTTTGATTTTAGATTTGAATAGAAAGATGGGAGAAAATATTTCTCAAAGTTTACCTTCCTGTTTACTCTTTTGGCTGTTGTCTAGGGAAAATGTGATATTTTTCTTGATTTTATTCAGATTCAGTCATGTTTATAGTTAACTCTCAGGATTTCCTTTTCCACTCACATCAACAACTTCAGTATAGTATTAATCTTTTAGCGAACAATGATGACTGATAATGTTCGCTATGGCGAGAGCTCTAGTGATTTTATGAATGGCACCATGATGAGCAGCAGCATGATGGGCAGCTCCATGATGGAAGGCGATGTGCTTGGAGGTGAAATACTGGGCAGCGACATGATGAACAACACCAACAACAACAATAAGAAGGAGTTGAACAATGTATGTCTAATTTTTGCCAGTTCACTTCATTATGATAACATTTTCCAGATGGAGGAAAACATGGAGACTCAAGGCGGAGGGAGTGGCGAACTCAAACGAAAGTCTGACGCCATCTACATTGAGATCCCAATCAAGAAGCACCGGTTCGAGGAGGAATACGCTCTGTTTCCGATTGCAGAGGGCCCATCAGCAGATACTATGGTAAGAAAATGGCATTCCGTTGGTTTGAAAACTTCCGCTATTATAGGGAATCTACGAGCCGATGGAGCCAAACTACGATCGTCTTCCGGAAGGCTTCGATCTTGGAAAGTTGGCTCGTGAAAAGTTTGCGGTGAGTATAATAGGGGTGTCAAACAGATTGGGATCGGAAGATGTTGATGGGTTGCTGACGAGAAAATTTGCCTAGAAATGAGCAGTGTGTTTGTGTGCGACACATAACGATTTTATTTTGTGAATGAAGAGACTATATGACCTCGAAGCTCACTCTGAGAAAAATTTATTGAGAGTCTGTAAAAAAATGTTTATCAAAAAGTTATTTTCCTTCAGGGAATCGTCAAGGCAGACTTGTATGACCAACACGAAATCCAAATCTACTGTCGCATCTTTGAGCACTTCTCCTACTATCCCTACTACAAGTATGATCAGGACGTATGGGTCAAGGCGCACGATCACGCATTCGACCAAGTTCTCGAGTATCGCACTCCGCCAGCACTGCAGCCAAAAAAGTCTCGATAATCTCATGGTCCATATAGACCCATCATGAAGTGACAAATACTTGTTCAAAGATCCCATCCAATCCACATTGCATCTCTTTTTTCTCTTCAATACATTCCTTCTCATCTGTTTTCCCTGACTTCCGAATTTGTAATGCACCAACTCTCAATTTGTCTCATTTTCAAGTAATGTCAAAAAGTAGTTTCTTTTGCCATCGGTCTCTCTTTCTCTCTCACACTCTCTTATTTCTTTATCACCATCTGTCAGATCATTCATTTTCAACGGTTGAATGAGTTATTTAAATTCTCTTCAATGTTTTTTGACTTCTATTTCACAGTGATGAGACAACAAAATAAATTTTCGAATAATGAAGCAGCGAAAAATGTAGCAAATTTTATTGATTTTTGGCTATCTCCAGGATGAGAAAGAACTTCTGTAAACGGGGCTATGACAATCAACTTTACTAAATCACTATGTTTACCATGTCTTTTCAGGATCGGTGAGCCGGACAGTCTCATCGGAATTCATCGGAATTGATTCCTAAAAAATAATTCTCAGTTATTTATCGAAGGAGTAATTTTGCTAATCTCACCTGATGCATGGGCTGATTGGAATCCTAATACTACCGTATGCTTTAGTACTTCCTCATGCCACTTCTTTTCTGTCGCTGTCTGCACCGTATCCTTTACATTTTCTAAATCTGCTTCCCATCTGTTAATTCAACTGGCTGCTTTCTTTCCTACGGCTATATGCACCAGTACCTCAATCAGGGACTGAATACTCTCCATCATGATTTCCTGTAACGCTTCCAATTTTTCAACTAATTCCTTATGAGAACCGTGGCAGGCATCAGCAACGTGTGTAAATGCACAATAATAGTTGTGTAAAAGATATTTCATTTCGAAAAAAAATCGATTCAAAAAGAGGTCTCTAAACACGAAGCCACAAGGAGGAGAATGAACTGATGTTGGTGGTGGGATCTTGTATCTGTTAAGCGGGTTGAACCTAAATTCTGTAATAGTTCTTCCTGTCAAGATAGTTTACGAGAGTCATTAATCAAAAGAATAGCTTCAACAAGAAACGGCGAGGAAAAGGCTCAGGATTATGTCGGATGAGAGATAGTGGAAATAACGGGAATTTCAAAACTAATTTGATATTTTATTAATATATGTTCTGTCATTCGGGCATCCCACTCTCACAGATTTCACGACATTGCTGAATCAAATGAAATGGTTGATTCTGCCAAGATATCATTTTTAGTTTTGTTTTTTGCTAAAACCATTTTTTCTGCTCACTGTTGAGTTCTCGTTGTTGTTAGAACCAGAAAATAAAACTTTTTTGATATCTTGTGTTTTCTAAAGATATTTTCAAAAACGTTTTAGACACGTGACTTCAAAAAAAAGTAAAGTAAAGTAAAGAAAAATTGATTTATTACAAAAAATTCAAATACAATTCAAATTATAAAATTAATATCAGATTGTTTGTCCACTACTAGTTGAAATAGTTATCTGCAAAAAACCAAATATAACACTTGAAAAAGGAAGAGCGTTGAATGGTATAAAAAATACAACTAAGCACAGAAACTCTTACTTTTCACTGCCATTTTGTTCATTAAATCTCTCGACGAGCACGGAATCCAATTGACTCTTTTCGGCTTCCAGAAGGTCCTTGTGCTAGTCGAGCACTTTTGAGATAGACATTGGTAAGTTGTCCAGGCTTCCTGGAAGTGAAAACATAATCTTAAGTGGTTTTCCACAAAGTTATGCTCAAATAAATTAGCATTTAGATTAAAATTCGCTACCAGAGAAACGCTGGCTTACCAAAAATTTCTAGGATCTGAAAGAAATCACTTGTGATGTTTTTTCTTCTTCTCTTTTTAAGATTTTCCGTGGCATTGGACCATCACAACCACAAGCTTCAGATGTCTCGATCTTCCAACTTTCTTGAGCATTTCTTTAGCTTCCTTGATTTGCTCATGAACTCGATTAAAGTCTCCTTCCCCAGCTCCAGTTTCGAAAACTACGACGACCTCTGAAACAAAACCAGTTCTGATTATTATCCAATTTTCCAATGGAATGTTTTGTATTACTTTCGAACGATGTATCGAAAAAAACTTACTATGTTTTTTATGAAATAAGCAATAGTTTGAAGTTTTTTTCAGACTCAGAATACAATTATTTCCAGAAAAATCAATACAATTTTAGGCACATAAAAGACACTGCGCCAAGAAAAAATGAATAAAATAACAAAACCGTTTTCCATTCCGCAAACATTGATAGGAGACGCAAAGAAACAGAGATACTGCTACGTGGCCTTTTCTACTGTTTTATTGTTCCGTATGCGAATGCATAGAACAGTTCCGATAGAAAAGAACTGCAAAGAAGGCTTTTGTAGATTGAAAACTGTTTTCTTTTCACACGTTTTGTAGTTTGAGATTAAACGATTGTTTGAAAAAGAAACAACTAAAGCTTGAAGGGTGCGCGAAAAGTAATATTTCGGATTATCAGAATCTCCGATATTCCGAATTTACAAAAATCGGTGCTTCCAATATTGGGCATTCACTATTCTAGAATTTTACATTTCCTTATTGCGAGATTTTGTATGAATGTGATCAGGAATTGCGATAAACACAAGATCTCTCTTCCAAGCGGGAAAAATAAAAATATGTTATACCTGCAGTTCTAGTGATGAAGGAATGCCACTGAGGAACAAACATTTGGGCATTTTGTAGCCAAATTTGCATTAGAGTATAAGATCGTGGGATTAATGGATTGTTTCTTTAAAAACGGACTTGTAGCTTTTCACATGGTTTTCGAAATGCATCTCGACTATAAAGAGATTTATACTCGACGCCATGATGAAATAGACCAGCCTTTTACCCGTAAACCCCGACTAAAAAAGTGATTGAAAATATTTAAGCAAATTTTATTGCAATCAGAATCAAAATCAAAACAAAAATTATAAACTGTTGGAATGCTATTTGATGATTGTATGCTAGAAAAATGAGAAAATCACAATAAAGATGTACCTATTTGTTTGAGGTCCGCTAAGTTTTTAAAAACTTGCACAAAAAAAAACAAATTAATAATTGAAAATATATAGTGTACTAATCGGGAGTTATGCGCTTCAATTTGATTTTGAATCTAAAATGGGGCTGAACAAACTAAAAAATGGAAGACATACTATATTGAATCCGAAATGTAGATTTCATGCTAAAAATAATTTATTTACAAAAATTGAATAGGCAAAAACTAAAATCTCTCAACAACAAAAGTTACATAATAATATATACATAGCAAACTAATTAACAATTTTTAAAAACAAATGAGATGCCCGGGAATGCACGCATTGAGTAGTTTTTATCTGAAAAGGGGTTTGATGAATTTTTTGATATAAAGAACTCTGTTGATTTAAAAAAAATTCTCACCTATATTTTGAAACCTTTCGCGATTTTGATCGTTTTTCATTTCCGATTCTTTCGAGTTACGGACTGAAAAATACTCAATTATTTAAAAAATCACCGTTCTCTTTTGAACTCACTTTTTTCCTAAAACCATTGGCCGGAAACGAGTGTGTGTATGACTGCCGAAGGTTCGCGACAACGAGTGTAGAATTGGCGATGTGTTCCAACACGTGGCATGGGTGCCGAATTTTTCGTTTGCAGTCTTTGTAGTTTGGAACGGAACGGAATTAATAAATCGGTGAACTGATAAATCGGTAAAATAACTGATTTTATACAAAGCATGGGCTCAAAACATCACGTTAAGGGAGAAGTGGGTCTTCAAAAAAAGATTCTCACTTTTTCGTTCAGACAAGCACATCAAGGAATTGAACTTGTGTGCACACCGTTGGAGGTGCCGCGTTGTTACCAGCTAAGCTACCACGCGCTGTGCAATAGTTAACGACTGCCACGTCGTAGTGCAGATCGTAACTCCCAAAAATTCCAAAACATCTTCTGTCTCCCTTTTTTGAAAACATCGATTGGAGTTTGTATTCCAAATTAATAGTGTTTCCATAAAATACAGAAGATGTCAGCTACCAGTCCTGTCTGACAAATCGGTCTGTCCAGTGTCCAAATCTCGCAGTTACAAAACGTCCGATGACAACAACGTCCGGCGGCAAAATCTCCCAAAGCTCAAGACTCAATTCAACTCAAACACCGAAAGACAAGATAGTTTTTTCCTAATTCAATAAGGAATGCCTCAACTTTTTTGTCTTAATCTTAGTTATTCATACAGTTTTGTTTTCCGTTCCAGTATAGTCTGATTACAAAAGTCCCACAATCTGAAAATACACCTGAAACTCCTGAAACTACAGACTCTTTTTTCAAGTAACAAACAAAAAGTGTTATTTCAAACAGATTGGAACAGTCATAACCAATATTATAAAATAGATATGATGGTCGAAGCATAGATCGTGAGTGTAATACAAAAAATAGAAGAGGGTATAAAAAATATGAAAAACACACATATATGCAAACAAATTTCAAAACATCCAAAACGTCTAGTTTCTCCTTGTACTGCTGAAAAATGTTATTGTTTTTTCATATTTTTGCAAATTGAAACTCACTTCCATCAATCACTCATCTTCACTTTAACGATCTTCATCTCGGTGTTTATCATTATTCTAGAAATACAAGTAAATAGTCTCAGCTTTTCCAGTTAAAACTCACTTTCTATAAGATTTGGATCTTCCGCCATCAGCTCATCAAAATAGATAATACTAATAATAATGATAAATATCCAATATTATACTATTAGAAAATATAGGTTCTCAGAAAAGTCAATAGATTTTAGATGCCTAAAACACACGGCGTCTTGAGAATATACAATTTTAAAAATTCAGAAAAATCAATAAATTTTAGATGCCTAAAATACACGGCGTCCAGAAGCTGAGTAGGAACGAATAAATGAAATTGGCCACGTCGCTTTCCCCATAGTGTGAGAGAGTATTCTCTAGCTTCTCTGGCTTTTTGTATGACGTTTGACAACCGCAAAAAAGCGAGCAGTGACAAAGCAAGAGAATTTATGAAAACAGTACGCATCAGAGAAAAACGAGTCTCGCTCGAACACTTCTTGGGGATTGCATCTGTACTTTCGATTTTAAAATTTGACCCTGCCAGCTTCATAATCAAAAAGAAATTTATTTTGGGCATTTGCCCGAGCGACAGATGTTCTTGCAGAGACAAAACAAAATTTCTCGCTTCTCCATTAAAAAAATAGAGAGTGTTGTACAATTTTTTTCGAGAAACAAACGATTAGTCACAAGATATAGTCAATTTATTTTTTTTAAAGATGGGAGAGGAGGCAATCTTCATTCCTTGTAAGATTTTCAGAAAACTGTATTAAGTTTTCAAATATGAAAAATTGAAATACGTTACAACTAAAAATTACCATTCGCCTGTCACACAAGCCAATAGAATAACAAACAGCAAGATGACGATTGATGCAATGAAAAAACCTCTGAAATGAAAAAAGGACAGTCTCTACAGAATATTATTAGTTTGAATTACATAACAATTTTTCTCTCGGATTCATCCTCAGGCATGCACACGCACCATGCTCTTGAGCTGGAATCTGCTTGTTGAACCTGCTTGCCAGGCTGTAACCATTTTGAAGGACTGTTTACAGCAATTAGAAATTTGATTACCTCATTCGATGAGTTAGTAGAAGATTCAGCAGATTTTGCGATAACCTCATCCGATGAGTTAGTAGAAGTGTCGGCAGATTTTGGTGGTTGTTCGTCTATGGTAATGCTGATAGCATTGAGAAGTCGAAGCTTCCATTTTTCTAATGCTTCATTGTTTGTACCAGCTAATGTGTTTGAGTTTTTCTGTAAGAATTTGGTCTGATGAAAACCAGAACATGACTTTGGTTGGGAGACTTTCAAGTGAAAAGTTTCCAGGAGTACATAGATTCTTATATAATTACAAAATTTACTTTAGTTTACCCTACATTAGACATTAATGAAAAAATCATAATTCTTTTCTCTTACCTCTCCAGGATCAATCTTGTTTTTTGTGAGTTTCATTCAGAAGAAAACTTTGATGATGAAAAGAAAGCTTAACAGAAAGCAATAACTGAATTATTGGTTATAATGAGCTATGTATATATTTTTGGAGGCGGAGTCTTTTTCCTCGAAAATTTGAAAGAGACTCGGAGAGAAAAATATCACAAGATTCCTAATGAGGTGGATATCGAATTCCCTAGAGAATTGTATAACTGGTAGTTTTCATGGATACGAGGAAAGTCATCTGTCTGAACAAAAAAGTTATTTTCAAAGATAAAATGAGTGATTCAATATGCACTTTGGAAAACGAGTTCACGAGTTTAACTTCTTCCCAAAAATTGAACCAATTTGCATTTATTGAAATTTGAAAAAGCAAGAATATTGTACATCAAAAAATGATTATTCACTCGGTTGAGTTTTTGTACACGTTTCACAAATATGAATGCTTAGTAAATGAAATTTTTACGTTTATCAATTTAATGATGTCCATGGTGGTGGTTATGATGTCCGAAATGGTGGCCATGATGGTGGCCTCCGAAAGCGTGTCCGATTCCATGGAGAAGTCCATGATGGTGGTGATGATGATGTCCACCGTTGTTATGGACATGGACCGTAGGCGGAGCAAAACCGGGGGCTCCGTGCATTGGTGGAGGTGCAAATCCAGGAGCTCCGTGCATTGGCGGTGGAGCGAAACCGGGTTTTCCGTATGGGGTGTAGCCTCCGTTTCCGTAGTAAGACATTTTGAAGATTCTGGAATAATAGGAACAATTATAAGACTCGGAAAACTTGGAAAAGAAAATCAGGTTCCAAAAAGGGAACAAAATAGAGAAAACCGAAAAACTGATACGGGAATCATTCAGAGGTGTATTTAAACTATTTGAAACTAAAAGTACGTCATAACGATCTACGAATTTTGCCCTCCCACTAAATTTCAATAGATAAAAATCGGAAACTGACGTAGTGTTATTTGCATTAGTCACGGCTCTTCCTCTAGACAAACAATGGGAAAAAATAGGTTAGGAGCATTTTGGATGAATCATCATTGGAATTGAACTGTTTCGAAACATTTTGACCACGTGCTATTGTTCTTTTTCCAGAAAGCTACAAGAATACTGTAAGAGAAAGATCTAAAAGTTTTTGCCGGTGTTTTTTTGATAACAGGTCGCTTTCTCTGGTCTGAATAACTCAAGGTTGCCTTTTTATATCTGTTCCTGATTATTCGAGTATCATGATCTGGTGGAATTCTTGAATATTTGGATTCTTTGGGCTGATATAAACTAAAACTATGATCAAATTTTTATCGGTTTGAGACACCCTGTCGTGACATTGGATGCTCGCAAACAAATGAAAGATCGTTTTTAGTAGTTTGAATTTTTGAACCGATGACAATCTAATTTCTGTACCAAACTACATATTCCTCTCTTTTTGGGACATTGTTAAACGGAGAGATCTGATTTCTTTCAATCAAACCAAGAATCATATGATATCTTCCCAAAAAAATCAATTGGCCCTGATGTTGACAGGTCAATATTGACTTTTATTGTCCCCTTCTCAGCTTCCATAAAAACTCCCAGTGATTCGAAGTCTGAATTGAGGTCACCTCCCATTCCAACAATTTTATTACACTGGTCTTCATTCGAATATTCTTCGCCGTGTGTGACTCATTGAACCATTTATTTTCGAAACCGATGAATATGCGGCAACAACGAAAACTTTTTTTGGAAAAAGGTGTCGCATTATTTGCCTAGCAAATGACGTGTTTCACAACTTTGCTGATACTGAAATGATATAAAATACCTCGACCTATCAGCCTATTCCATCAGTGCCTCGTCTTGTGACATTTGCCTTTTTTATTCCTTTTCCGTAACTTTCCATATCAGTTTTTGTTACAATCGTTTCATTTCGCATTCTTACTTCAACGTCTCAATTTCTTTCTTCAACCACAACTCATTTTTTTTTTCTGTTTTCAGTCTTCAATTCACCATGGCTTACAACCCCTACAACGGATCTTACCCATACCCACCACCAGTTGGATACGTGCCACCACCAATGGGATATGCTCCACCACCAATTGCTCCAGTTCCAGTTGTAGCTCCAATCCCAGTGCCAATCGCTACTCCATACATGGCTCCACCAGTCTATGGACCACCACCAGTCGTTGTGATTGAGGAGCCATACCATCATCACCACTGGAACCCATTTCATCATCACCATCATCATTGCTAATTCTTAAAAATTTTTCTGGCGGTCGGGCGGATTTTTGGACTAAATGACTATGTGATTTTGTAATGTTTTGAAATGAATGAATTTTCACGGTTTCTGTTTTATATTCAATCTGGAAAAAAACAATAAATCGGAAAGACAGTTGGTTCATGTTGATCTGTCACTCAACTGTCTCAATTGGCAGCTGGGCAATAAAATAGTTCCGTTTCAGTTGTGGGAAAAACCAATTTTCATTTTTGACACTTCACACAACTGAGTTTCTAATGTATCGTTTATTCAAAAATGAGTTTATAGAGAATATCATGAAATTCGGAATTTTGAAAGAATAAACAACTTATCTTGGCATTTCATTCAGAAAAGGCGTTTTTAAACTCTGAATGCAGAAATTAAAGCACATCTCGATGTAACAGGAAGTTTCGAATAATGTCAAGCAACAAAAAAAAACTTCATTTTGCAACTGATACTTTATTTTTCAAAATTCGATCATATGAGCTTTCCTGCTTACCGCTGAACTGTTACTTGGGTACATGTACTATACGGATATATGGATGGTTTTTTTTCTTAGTCTTACAATTCTGCTAACATTAAAAAAACTGTGAAACGTTCATGATGCTCATCCATAGAAAATGTTCTCTCACGTAATATTGGTTTTAATTGCCTTGAATGGCTGTTAATGTCGCAAACGGTTTGATGTTTACTCAAAAATTAAGTCGATTACCACGGCTCTCAAATTATGATTATAAAAATGGGAAAAAAAGTTAATACCATATGTTTCCTTCGTTTTCGTGGTCAGTTATGATAATTGATTGAAGACAAAATTGGCTTAATTGTCATTAGGTCAAATTACTATTTTCAAAAATTTTTTCTTCCTATAAATCATGAACACACAAATCATTTCTGCTTATAATGTCTTTCTAGTCACATCCGCCACTTGCATCTAACAAGTTTCACATTCCGATTTCAAAAGTGTTCCATCAAAATGAGGTGACAAGGGCACCTACACCTTTCCATCATATCAATGGCGTAATAATGTTATATATGAATCGTATATCAGAGGACAAGGGTTGACAAGTGAAAAAACGGGTTTCCATACTACCAACTAGCGATATACGTTCTCTCTCAACACTATTATCACTCATCATCATGTATCATTTTTCTCACTTCAACATCAAGACCTCCCTAGCCGATTTATGACTTCCCCTCGCTGATTTACAACCTACCTAATTGAATTGTATTGTAACGACTGTTCTTTAATCATTATTGCACAAAATGATCAGGTAAAGATTTCCCAAAAGAATACAAATGAAAAATAGTTTCTTTCTGGAAAAAGTCTGCAACAGGTCTTTGGTTCTGATCATACCTTTACCAATGCACTTAAAAAGTATAAGCGGTAGAATGGGAATAAAATAATTATCACCGAAGACACCACTCCAGATAAGAACAGTTTTTGTTTCTTCCAACATTTCTTCACACATTGTCAACCCTAAAAGGCGTGACTCACTGTTAAGAGTTTACCCTAAAAATATGTTTAGACATGTTGCAAAATTTTCTCTAAAATAAGAATTCGATACAACGTTAGTCTTGATACATTTCCGCTAGAAGTTTACTTTTCTGTACTTCAGTGTGGTGACCAAAATCAACATTCTAATCCAACAACTAGGGGAACGCTTTTCCCAAGTTTTCCATAACTTTCCTTTGACATTTTTCAGAGCACTATCCGACACTCCTCTTCTCGAGGATATGATTTCTCCAGACTCCAAATTTGTTGGAGAAGCACTCGAGCAGAGAGATGTGCGAACGGTTTTTGTTTCGGCAAAGGAAGGTAGCTTCTTGACTTTTCATAGAACCTTAGCACTAGATCATCATAAATTACAGATAGTAAGGAAAGAGAGAATCGTGTTATTTTGATGATTGGACCATCAAGTTCCCAAAAATCAGATCTCATTGATTTTTTGTGTAACTTTTTTTATGGAGTTGATTCAATGGATCAGAAAAGATTTCATATTGCAAATGAAGTAAGTGTTGTGAAATTTAAAACCAAGTTGCGTAACTTCGAGTCAATTTCTCTTGGTTTCTGTGGAAGGTATCAAAAAGAAATTGACTGAAAAATAATTTTGATATTACAATAAACATTATGCCAGTTTACCGATTTTTGATATCTGTTTGAGGAAATGAGATATGTGCGCTCAAAGTTGACGGTTTGGGAGAAATTCTTTCAGAGATTTAACGCTAGTCCACAAGTTTTTATTTGATATTCGTTCTTGGTCGAAAATTCCAGAAATTCCAGATTTCCAATATCGTTTTGTTTATTTTTCATTTTTTGATTTTTTTTCAGAAATTCAACCAAGAAACCCCACAACGTCCTGTTCAATGCTACATCTTCAACGATACAGTTATGCCAGTAAGACCTGTGATATTGGATATGATAGGGTGCGGAGATTCTTAGTGAGCTCTTTTGAATTTCTGAAAAATTAAAAGAAAAACATTTTTTAGTGACGACTTTGATACACCGTCCCTTATCAACAAATGGCTCTTGAACAACTGGAAAATGAGATTGGATATGATTGCAATTGTTTTTTCGGATCTCCATAGAATGAGCATGCATGAAGAAGATCAATTGCAGCAGGTTCCATTTTTAGGCTTTACAGAATAATAAAACCAAACTTTAGGTTCTCGCAGATCTTCCAGAACACGTTCGAGATAATACAGTGGTATTCATCACTGCTTCAGATGGGTCCAGAACTTTTGAACCGTTGCTTCGGAGATTCGGTCTCTCGGATTGTCCCAAGTACACCATCAATACTGCGTGCACATTTCAAAAACAAATTGGTGGGTACATTCAATATTGATTTTTAAACGCATAGTTGTCTTTTTCTCAAATTGTAAACATAGTTTTTGGCAGTGCTCACCGATAAGCATGTGTGTATATTATCAACCACCCGTCGGTTTTTCTTCCTTTTGCAGTCGTTTCTCGTAAAACTGCCCATGACCAGCTAAATCAAACATTTGTTGGGTCGGCAAATTCTATGTCAGTTTTGTTGAGTTTGAATCGATAATCCTTTTATTTGTTTTGATAGAGAATTCAAAAATATTGAATTTTCATATATTATGATTCAAATTTACAGAAGACCGACTGAATGACGAGCATCGAAGAAGGTACTGGAAGATGTCCGTGAATCAGTTTAATAATTTTATGGAGAGAGTTCAGGTGAGTATCACTTTCAAAAGTTTTTCGAGAAACATGTGAGAATTGAAAAAAGAGGGAAATCAGCTGATAAAGACTTTAATTCTATTTATCTCTATCCCTAATAAAGACATTCTAAAAATATTAACTGACAACTTTTCCATAAAATAAACTATTAGAATGTTGTTTCAAAATTTCCATCACAAACTGAGTTTATTACAACTGGCAGGGACATATAACTTCGACGCTGAATTTTTGAAAATAATTTTCCGTTCCCAGGAAGCCACACCGGTTACGATCTCCGGTCTTCCTTACATTGACGATGGTATTTATGGAGTCCAAGAGTCGGCACAGAACTCCTCACGTAACAGTGTCTACTCATCGAGCAAGTGAGTAAACTTTTTTTCAGAATTAAAATAAACACATTATGCACTAACATTCACTATATTAGATCCACTGTGATCGAAGTGGAGCAAAACTCGACGGCACAGACAACATCTCAACAGATCATCAATCGCCCAACAACATCTCCACCCTCACCCCCACTGACACCAATTCCACAGTCGAATCCACCACCGGCGCCGCCTGGAAAGCAATCCGCACCTCCTCCACCGCCAAAGCCAACAAATCGACCGCCACCTATTCCGACATCTCCGCCTCCTCCAAAACCGCCGACAACAAGTGAGCCTGTCGGCATACCATTGTATAGTGAGAAGCATCAGCAACAACTTCGATCACAAACAACAAGCGCCGTCTCACCGCCAAAGCCTCCAAGTTTCGCGCCGCCTGTACCGCCTGCTCTAATCACTGACACTTCGACCACCAACGCTCTAACAAATGCAATGTTCGAACAACTGAAGTCGTCTAGGTGATTTTTCCCTTCTTGAGTCATATAAACATGAACAACTTCATCATATCTGAAGTTGATAGGTCAATATGAATTCTCGAGAGTTGATTTTATCAAATTTATCAGCAAGCTGAAAGCAAGAGAGTCATTTTAAGGATCATCGAATCAAATATTTGAACTTTTTCAAATGTATCCATAGTAGTTTTCTCATGTTCAAAGTCATTGTGTTTTGATAACTGTGCCATAATCGAATTATCAAAACCTTATCAAGTTTGAATACTAAAAACCACGCTCAATTCATTTTCAAAAACAGACTATTAGTAAATAATTACATTCAAATTTTCAAGATAAATGCGTTTCTACATTTTACAGTACCGGCCAAATAGGTAATTAAGCTATAGTTTTCTCAAATTTCAAAACCATCATAAACTCCTTATTTCTTGATTTTCGAAACAGCTTTTAACAGAAAGTTCGACTAGTTTTAGTAAAAATTGTTTTCTAAGAAAACAATTTCGCAAAACGTTTGGATAAATTAATGAACTGGATGATTTATTGTGAATTTCTGACTATTTTCTTTTCAATAATTTTTTTTCAGTGCTCAATACGATTACGCAACATATGGAAGCGAACGGGCCTACTCCAGCCAAGTGGCATATGATGTACCTCCATCCGAACACTCTCAAGCTGCCAACCTTGGTAATCGCCGGCATAGTGTCCCAGGTAATTTATTATTTTGCTATTTTTAATCTAAATTCCCTGTTTTTACCTTCCAAAGACAACTTTCTTGCCGAAAGTGAAAAATGTGAATCATCTGAAGCGAAATTTTGCTGGTATTTTCTGTATGTATGTATGTGTGCGCAACACACGAATCACTGATTCATCCATGAAAGGGCAACACAAACTAGTGTTTGCTATTCTTCTCCGGCTTTCTTCCCTCAAAATTTTACGATAGTGAAGTCGCTTGGTACTGGATGAAAGTTGGAATCAAAACATATTTGGGACCAAGAGCAACAAAAGCAAAAAATAAATTTTCATTCAAATTCTACCATCCAATTTTACCACATTCAATCAATTTAACAACCTTTACGGTAGTATTCTTAAAATAGGTACGAGTGCAGAAGTGTGGGATGGAGGACGAGTTTTAACGATAAACTATCTGAAAGAGCATAGAAGAAAGAGAGGAGTAAAGACATAGGGAGGGTGTGCGTTATCAGTATTATCAACTTCATCAAATATTCATCATGTACACTTGGTCTTGAAGTTTTCAATACAGAATCGTTTATGTTTTCAAGATGTTTTCTAGAAAAGCTTTTGTTTTTGTTTTTGTTGTCGAAAAGAGTTTAGTATTATTTTATTTGAATTCCGTAAAAAAGAAGGGCTGCTCTAATAGAAATGCCCTCCGAGAGAGGTTTGGAAAAATAGAAGAGCCCTACGGAGGTACCTTTAAAAAATAGAAGGGCCGGTCCTTCTAATACGGGTTTCAAGGTACCTAAGTGAGATAAGTGAACTAAAGCTTTTGCTTTTTGAGACACATGAATAAGCCAATTAGTTAGTAAATTGATTAATTTCAATTGACAGTTCGAACAATAAATGGATCAAGAACTATTCGGAAATTTGGTTTTGATCAATCCCAGAAACAATATCACGAGAAAACCAATTTTGAAGATTTATGCATTTTTTTAGTTGTCAAAAAATTTTAATTTTTGGAAGCTTTTAAAACTAGCAGCCGATGTTTTTAGAATTTATGTATTTATGTTTTTAGAATGATTTTATTAGAACCCATCGGCATCGTTTTCATTTGAATTATCGTTTTTGAAATATTCTCAATCCCATTAGGTGGTAAAACTAGCCGTTTCCTATCGATGGGAACTTTTATGGAGAGTTGAATACCAAAACAAATAAACTAATCAAAGCTCGACGTTTTCGAACACCCCCATATTTTCCATATTTCCTCCCTTTTTCAAAAACGTATGACTAACGCTTTTCCTTTCATTTGAATACCATGCGTAGAATATTTTTCAATTTCCGTTTTTTTTACAGACGATATTCGTCATTACGCCGACGAGACAACTCCACCGCCTGTTTTGCACGACGTCGCCGATCGGTAAAGCAAATTTTCGAAAATTATTATTTCCGATTTTATTTCCAGATACTCCACAGTGGCTTATATGAACCACGAGCCAAACCAATACAACACCAGAATCTACTCCCGGTCGCCTACTCGTAGTCAAGTCGGAGTCCGCGACGCTCATCGTTTAAGTCGAGACGATTTGCGAATCGTCGATGCACACAGTAGTCCCAGTGACTCACAATCGGAAGAATTGAGAAGAATGTACTCAGGAAGAAGTGGGAATTCAGTCAAACCAACCGGCGATATAACGTGAGTGCGCTGATAACAACATATGCTCAAAACTCCTTATTTTCTTCCAGCGCGCGTTACGTTTACGACACTGCTAATCGCAATTATACAGCCTACGGGGAAAGACAAGAGCGACAAGAAAGACAGTCCTACACCGCGTACCCAGCTCAAGACAGAAAGCGGTGGTCTAGGTAACAGGAATTGTTGGAAAATCGAAAAAAAACCATAGTTTATTCAGATCGTCGGAGCCACGAAGTGAAACCTACATCAATGACCCGTACTACTCTGGAAAAGATGTGGTATCTGGATATGGAGTCATTGAAACTCGCCGCAGCCGTACCAGCCTTCACAGTCATGGGAGTGTACCAGAACTTATTCATTCTGAAAACAAATACGATTATCAACAATTGACAGATCAGCAAACTAGGTAAACTATCAACAACTTGTTCGCGTTATTTTTCAGTTTTTCAGAGAACTCGAACGCCGTTCCAGACAAGATCAAGAACGACGTAGCCGGCGACAATCAGAAGGTAGCCTCCCGCTATCAGGAGACAGGAAAAAATTGTACAAATCAAAACTTTCAGGATCCCGTCAGATCTACATTGACCGCCAGATTTCACCGGAGAGACAAAGAAAGGATAAATATAATGTAGGAGCGTATACAAACGTGAATATGCACGACAATCCGCAATATAATCTTCCAAGAAGAGATGTACTACCACCGCTGATCCCACCAAAGCCAGTGATTCATAGAGTGAGTTTGTGAAATCATGCAAGAATTGAAAAATCTAACTTAAAGAAGAATTTTTGATAATTCTAATTTTTAGGTCAGCGGAGGAGAAGTCTACGAAGATAAGAAATCATTCTACGAGGCTTATAGTCAAATCAACCATCAACGTCCTCCAACTTACATTGGTCAAGGTATTCAGCCAAATCCAATTCAGCCACCACCACCACCACAACCAGCACAACCAACACCAATATTTCCACAGCAACAGTTACCACCACGCTATGACCAAGTTCCAGGTGTCAAACACCGCATTTTCAATAATTACATACGTTTGTGATTTTCAGAGTCTCAATCCAATCACTACATCATTCCGAAATCGATGCGCCAAGGATCACCAATTCAAGTACGGGTTCAGCTGTCCAGCAAGTCCCCTGATACCATTCGACGTGTATGATTTCATTCCTTTCCCCTATATGTGATTTCAAATTTTATCCTGCATGACTGACCCTAACATAGTGCACATTACTCCCACATTCAATTATTACTTGCAGCAGCTGCCACCACCATCGCGACCAATATCTCAGCAACAACAATACGACAACTATGGAGAGCCGATTTATGTGGCAAGAACATTGGCACCGGGAGTGACTGAAGAGACGATAACGACTACAACAACCACTAGAAACGAGGAAATTGAAAGGAAACGGAACAAGAAGAAGCGGGAGGACGATGAGAGGAAGAAGTCCGCGGACAACGGAAGTCAGAAGAATTATGATCCTTGTAAGTGGGCCGGTTGATGGGATGGACAGAGGGTTGTTAAGTATTTTTTTTTAGATGTAAGAGATACTATCAAAAAAAAGACAAGATAACATTTTCTCATCGCACATGAAACCATTAAAACACTCAGAGCTTTTTTTTTCAGATGTTTTTGACCACTCCCATGAGTTCAAAAAAGACGCTGGAGGACAGAATGGAGGAGGCTATGACTATGGTCGCTACGATAACCATCAACGTGGTAAGAACCTGTCATCAATTTCAACAATTTTAATTATTCTTCCAGATGTAGAGGAGGCCCTAATGCAGGAGGAATACAACACTCGACATCTCAAAAGAACAGTTGAACAGCCACAACGACAGTATCCAAAGAAAAATGAGCAACGTCAAATTGAAGATGGGCAATACTATGGAAGAGATAACAGATACCAAAACAATAAACGTGACAACAAGACAAGGTACAGCAGGCGAATAAAAAATCGTACCACATACTATGGTAATGGTTGCCAACGGTGGAAAGTGGTTTTCTGCATTGAGACACTTGCCCCTTTGATTGTCGCCGCTTTCTTTCTATTTTTACTAATCATGTTTGTATATAATCAAATAACTCAAAGAATGTCCTAGTTGATACTAACCTAATAACATTTTCAGCCACAATGAGGTAACAAGCCGGCGCAACGTGATTGGGTGGTCTCCATCCAACTACCGTAATCCACGTGATTGTTTTCTTAACTTTTTGTGCTTTATTTTTGCTCCGCTAATCATCATACTTATTATTGTGGTCATCATTGTCTTTGTCATTATTCAGTGAGTAACCTTAAAAATCTTCCAGTTTCCAAAATTTTAAGTTTCATATCTTATTAACTGCCATAGAAATCCAAGATATCTTGAAATCTACAAAACCATATTTTCTTTCTTTCCGATTCTTTTGATGAATTCTAGACTTCCTATTCCCCGCTAATGTGTTATTATTGCCTATTTCACCCACCTCATCTAAGGAATGTATTCTGTATCTGATTTCTTTGTTCCCACATTCATTATTCATTCATGAATTTATATTTTTTCAAATAAAATGTATCTAGCCGAAAAATATTTTTCTCGATTTTTTCCTCAATTTTGATTAACGTGCTATTGTTTTGTTCAGATGAGTGCCCAGCTACAGGAATTAAAAAATAGTTAGAAGTTGTACAAAATGTAATTTTTTGTTGGAATGTTTAATTTACAATCAAAAGCGAATTTTTCGGTTCGTTAAATTTTCTTTTTTTATCTACAAAGCCCAAATTATCGTGATAAACTTTTCAGTCAAGTTTCAAAGAGTCATACCGAAGGATATAATTCTGATATCTTGCAAAAAGTTACTTTCACATTTCACCTGTTTCAACAATGTAAAACGTAAAACTCCAAAAAAAACTGCTATTTGACGTCAGCTATTCCACCACTCAATTCCTATTTTCTCCTCTTTAATCAGGGATTTGTCTATAGAATTTAGGCTAATATATTTTCCATCTATTAGCTGTGTAGTCATATACTTTTTGGCGTGTCTCTTTTTTCTGAAAAAAAAAGAAACTGACACCAAACTTTAGTCTTCTGTTTCCTAGAAAATGTCCTTTTAGCACGCGAAGAAAAAAGGACATTAGAAACTGAATGCTCCCACTCTACTGCAAAACTTTTTTCCCAAAAGAAATAGAAGACTCAGGTGAAAAAAAAGTAGAGAATGAAAATGGATGCGGATGTCTCAAAAAGAGACAGAAGAGCAGATGCTGGAGAAACTAGCCATTTGCATAATTGACGTTGAGGACCACTAGGGTCTCTCAGTGCACACACCTTGAAAATAGTGCATAGGAAGGCAACGAAGGTGAAGAGAAAAAGAGTAAGCTAACGGACGGCTTCCTTATAATTACTAGGGAGGGAAACCGGAGAGAAAGGTTCTATTCAACCAACGCCTTCCCCTTTCGTTCACCCCCCGTTCCATCCGGTTCGTCCTCCTGAGATTTTGCACATACTGCTCTTCCATACATTTCGCATGTGTATTTTTTTTCTTCTAGTCATTTCGTAGCCATGGCAATTCTTTTCTCCCCGTTAGACATGGGCCCGGTTCTATAATATTTTTCTTTGAGATCAGAGAGAGAGGGCTTGCTCTTCGTCTCTCGATTGAGAGAGAGAGAGAGAGGGGAGCTCATCATATTTATTTCTGTTTTCCGGCTCTTGATGAGCCTCTTATTTGGCCACTGTGAATGTGTAATCGTTGTGGTCTCCTCTGCCCCGCCTACGAACGCTCTTCTAAAATGCTTTTTGGTTATTTCGTAATTTTAGCTGTCTCTCTGCTTGACTGCTTCTTCCCTTTTTTTCACGGAAGTTGTAAAAGTTCATGTTTCAGAAACAAAACCTCAAATGAAAATGGCTCGCAGAGGATTCAAGCAGCGGTTGAAAGTGAGTTTCAAAATTGATATTTGATTTCAGGTCTAAATACCACAATAATTTTCAAAGTATTGTGGGAAAATCTTTCTTTTGATTGTTTTGAACACCTGACTCTTAGAAGTGTGCGAAATTAGGAATATTAACGTGAGAAAATTCTATTACATATTTTCTCAAAGTTTTTGATTGATGCAAAAGAAAACCTTTTTTCATACAACCAAACCTGTGTTTTCAGATAACAAGGGAATCAATTGAGCGCTTTTGTCATGACTTGAAAATTGTAAAAATGTTGAGCAGTCCAGATAGACCTGTGAGTTTATTTTTGTTATGGTGTTAGGAATCAAAGAAATCTCGCTGAAATAGTTTTCAACACATCAAACTGTTCAGACGTTTACGAATTTTATATGAAAAAAAAAAGAAAAAAATAAAAATGTCAAGAAAGTGAAAAGAAAAAATATCAACTCACAATTTTCAGGGCTCCTCAGCCGATACAGTTTCTTTAATTAGCGAAGAAGATGAGGAAAAAGCACCATGCTTCATGCCGCGACCCTACATGGAACGTCTCGATTTGACTCAAGTGGGTCCATCTGATATTCTTAAAGACGAGAATGGATCACAACCAGTTATCACCACACCTCGGAAACTCTTGAATTTCGGTGAGTCACTGTTTTATCAAACACTTTTCTGGCAAGAAAAAACCCTCTACCACCACTCAATATTTACCCTTTTTTGCAGATTTGCCGAGGTCGCCGCGTATTGAGACGACATCCGCTGACCGGAACGTGGAACTTAGAAGGTGAGAGTGCCAGGGTGACGCAACCCATTTTTTATTCTTGGCAGTTTTATGCATTTCTTTTTTTCTAAAAATATACTAGAATAGTACTTCAGCAGCTTCTCTTTTTTAGGTTTTGAGTGAATATTTTCTCAAGTTACACGTGAAAGTAGAAGAAAGGTGCTTTTTAAAATATTTCTTCAACTTTTATTTTTCTCCAATAGATCATAAATTACTTATGTGTCTGCACTAAAAAAACTAGGTGCTTGTGAAAAGTGTTCCAAAAGTTCTGTATCAGATTTCATTTTCCGTGCACAGGCTCCGACGAAAATCCATCGAATCTCCGCGCACGTTTCTAAACGGTCTCGCTGGCATTGACTCACTTCCGGCAGTGATCGCAAAAAAGGACAACAATGTAGACACGTCGCAAGTTCTTCTGGTTAGTTGGGTTCTGTAGGATTAAGTTGTTGGGAAAATGATGATGACCATTAGGATGAGTCAATATGTAAGAGAAATCGGAAAAATGTGAAGGGGTGTGTGATGAATTGGATAGCAACATAATGTAGTCGTTTTTTTCAAGTGGGGGGGGAGGGACGTTTATTCAATTACCATTCGAATTTGAATTTTTTCTGCGTAGTTGGATATATAAATGTAGTATCTGGATTTTTGTATTTTTTGTGTTGTTTTCACTGAATTCATTCGTTGAATTTGTATTCCGTACAAAAATTGGGAACGAGACAGAAAATGATTCTTGAATTCTGTTTAAGCTCTGTTTTGTTTTGTGTTTTAATGGTTTCCAGGGGTACTGTAGCTTCCATATGGATTTCTAAACCTTGCACTTCACGGTCCAAACTCTATATTCTGCCTAAAAGTTTATGATTTTCTCAAACTCTGAGAATAATCACGTTACTCGAATCATGATTACATGTTGCTTTCTCCAGCCGGTGAGAACTTTTCACTTCTTTTTTTCTTATGATATTAGAGAAATATGTTTTCAAGTTGCTCCTTTTTTTCTTCCTTTTTTTCTTCCGAGCATTTTGTTTCAATTTATACAGCAGCCAGCAGTTTAAAATAGTTCTAGGATGACAACTTTATTGCGGACTGACGTTGCATGGAGATGAGCTGCTGAAAATCTCAATTTCAAGAATTTTCGAAGCTAAGAAAATCCCTATTTTGAAAAATATTTTCAAGTTGTTTTTTTCCTCTTGGTTTTGAGAAGAAAGCTGAGGCTTTTTTTCCCCGGCTGCTCGTTCTTGGAAATTTTAAAATGTTCAAAGGAACTTTTCAAAAACTGATCATCTTCTCAATATCCGTAAAAATTGTCCCGTCGGCGAGATCGAGTTTCCACAAAATGACAAAAATTGCGTTATCACTAAAAACCGGAAGACGCAGAGGAGGTCAAATGGAGACATTTACTCGACGATCTGTCACTTCTTCAAAACCAGCCGACGACAAGTGTTACTCACATTCGGGAAACATTTTTTCGTCTCGCCCTCCTACCCCCTATCCATTTTCCTGCCAGTTTTGGGTTTGGTTGCAAATCAAGAGAGGACACGAAAAGGAAGGAAGACAAGAAAAAAACACAGATTATACGCGTGTACACCGTCTATCTCTGTTCTCCTCCTATTCTTCTTCCACAACTTCTACTTCTTCTCACACCGTCCCTCTCTCTAATTCTTCCAGTTTTTCCATATTCTTTTTTTTTCGGAGTGGTTTTCCTGTAAACGGGAATATAGTGCATCATCATGTTTCTGTTTCCCAACTCTTGTCTTTTTTTACTTCTCAAAAAAAAACCACAAAACATATGTCTGATGACAAAGAATTCCTGCTTTATATTGAAAAAGAAGAAACAAATTTGAAGAAGACACATACAGTTACAGTAAAAGTAGCAATTTTTCTTTCCTGATGATTAGTTGTTGATAAGTTTTACCATTTTTTTCCATTATCAACCTTGACCTGACTGACTACTCCACTCAATCTCGTGTGCTAATTCTGTTTTGTCAGTTGGCTACTCTCGTACCCGGGAATGAAGAGTGGAAGGAAACAAATCTTGTTTTACACTAGTTATCGCACCCGATCACTCTTTTCTTCAATTAGGTGCGTTAACTGATGATGTTTTCGAAATTCAGACTTAATCAGCAATCCTGTTGTACAACACAATATATTCCTCATGAAAAATTTCTGTTTTATTACCCCACAAAGTGCACAATTCTGTGCTTCATGAATCTCAGTTTCTGATCCAATTTGTGAGCCAAAAATCTGAAAGTGCAAACCCATCATGTTATCGTGATTGATGCAGTCAAGTAATCCACAGTTGTCTTTTTCATTCTGAACCAATTCATTCTCAGTTTTCATCTCTTCGAGTGACTATTCTTAAAATTACTTTTTCATTTTGAATGAAATAGATTCTGTTTAAAACAGAAAGCTAATTTTTGTTTTGAAAAGTTTTTCTCTAGCCCAAACTTTCAGAGTTTTTGATTTATTAATTGTGATATCTCATGAGACTGAGAGCAAGTTTAATTATATCTTTGGTTGACTATCACTTCTCGTGCTCATTATTTTCCCATATATGGCTAAATCAGCAGGTTTCTTTCAATTTCTTTTTTTTTTGTCAGTAGACTTGGAGCTTGTCGGATTTATATTTCCAATTTTGCAACAATCAATCGCCACGTGTCTTCAGTGAATGTATATTTCGAAAATCGTAAAAGTACGAGTGATGATGATTAGGTGACCACGCATTGCACTTCGACGAGTCGACGATGATGATAGAGATGTGAAAAGGATAGGTAGTAGAAGAGAGCAGGCGATCTATTTGACAGCTGTCGAGGGTAGGAAAGGACCCCTGAAATGAAAGGAAAACGTATTCCTTGTGTCCCTTTTCTCTGTCGAGATATGCTCTTCTTCATTCCCCTCACCCGCCGGGAGCCCCCTCTCTTCCCGTCGCCGCCGCCACCGACGATGGGGCCGCTGTAACAATACCAGTGTTCTATCGGACTCTGTTTCGTTTTCCGAAACGTCGAGAAGAAGGAGAAGAAGTCTCGGGGCTCAATTTATTGGCTGCGCTCTTCAAGACCATCCATCCATCGCCCAACTTTCTTTCTGCTTCTTCTCTGTTTCTTCTTTATCTCTTTTTCATCTCTCGGACGTTCTCGTTGCACTCACGTCTTTGTCGATAATGATTGGATCTCTTTTAGCCCTTTTCATTTCTCTCCAATTATTTTTTCTAGAAATTCTATTGAACAATGTCCATTCGCTTAACCAGTAACCACACCTTGTTTTGCTTTTTTTCAATCGGAAATGAGACTTCCTCATCGCTAGGAACACCTTCTTTTCAGTTGGTTCTGTCTTTGTCGGTATGTTCTTCCGTTGCGTCACATCTTTTTCGAAATCTTTTTACTTCAAAAGAAAAAATTGATGTCACTCCCTTCCAGAATGAGAGAGAAAGTTGTTATACTATTACTAATCATTTCGATCTAGATGCCACTCCTAATTTCTCATGTTATTCCATTCTCAAGTTCACTTGTATCCAGATTTTCTTTTACAGCCGTAAGTATATGATATTCTATTTTTGAATTCTTAAATTTAATGACTAGTGGCGTAAGTGTGTGTTAAGTGCACCATGATTTATTTAACGTTAATTGCACCATGATTTAGTGGCAACAGCTTATGTTCCCTCAGATTATCGCTCTTTGAAGTCAAGATTTACAGACGAGATACGTCCCGAATCTCCTGATATCGATTTGTAGGCTCTATGAAAATTTCCCAGCCTTATCATTTATTGTTATCTTTTGATCCTAAGTTTCTCCTCTCTCCTCTCCTCTCAAAAACTTTTTGTTTGATTTGTTGCGTTTTTTCCATGTTTTTCTGCATTCTTTTCTCTTTAGAGAAAAGAATGCGACCTACCACATACTCACTGATAGTTAGCTTGCAAAATGAATATAACTTTTTATTCGAATCTTTACTCTCTCATGTCGTTTCTTTTTTATCTTTTTGTCTTTCTCCGCCAATTTAGTAATTTACAGTACTTGCGAGAGCCGGGGTAAATGTACCATCTTGACGACGATTATTTTGCAAGACTCAATCAACCGTCGTCGTCCTCAGTGCAATTTCCGTCGGAATCATTAAGGTACGGAGGTACCACCACTACCTTCGGTGCTGATACCGACCCCCAAACTACACGTTTCCGATCGCAATCCGCCGACACTCGAAGATCTGCATTTCAATCGCAGCCAAGAACCATCTCCGAGGATCACGATCCTTGGAATCAAGGACCACTTCGTGCCTCCGAAGTCAGTTTCCCGTCTCAGCAGCGGCGACCAGCCTCCACCACACCCTGGTCGTCTCAATCAGAGTATCACTCGGCTCATAACCTGTCAGTACCTTCTTCCTTCACGGAACACCTTCGTGAGAGATCGCCAGCCAGTGGCTCTGCACTTCTCGACTTACTCTCTCGCTACCCGTCGGCACAGAATTCTGTGCAAAACTCTCCAGCCGTGCAAGCCTACATCGACAGAATACATTCGGATCGGCCGTTACCGACTCGAACGTATACTTATCAGTCAGCTGAATCCAATTTCCCGCTCATCGAGTATTCGGTCAGCCAGGAAGTTCCAAACGGAGTCAGAACAACTACATCAGTCTACCAGAACATTGTTCCGAACGGAAAAGGATATCCAACACATCAACGAGTGCAAACGACCTTCACCTCAAACGGACCAGTGACTTCCGCTGTCCATCGTGAGTACCACAACTCGACTCCACAACAATATCAGAGTGGTGGTCCACCTCCGCCACTTCCACGCGAATCGTCATTGCAACAGCAGCAACAGGCGCACACGTTCGAAAACCGATCTGAGCAGCAGTATCGTCATCCACAACAACCCCCCGCCGCCGCTTCTTCTTCAACACATCAATTTTACAACAACGGAGTACCCGCACCCGCCTCAAGTGCGTCGTCCGGAGGAGGAGGTTTTCGTCAACCCGTGTTTCACGACACGGACCAGTTGGACATTCTTGCACAACGTCTCCTTGATGACAACATGAGTCGGAGTACATCGGAATGGAGCAAATCGTTCGAACAGTTACAGAATCGATTCCAGAATTTGGAAAATGACGACTTGATGACTCCGTCGGCATTTTCTACGAGCGGGTCTATGACGTTACCACTTCGGGGAACACAGCTGCCGATTTCAAAGTCATCGAGTAACTATGAAATGAATAGCTCACTTCTGGGAAGAGCCGTTGAGCGACGAGCAGCTGAGGCTCCAGAACCGAGGAAATCTGGAGCATTGGATAATTTCTGGAGTCAGACTATCAGCTCAAGACCATCATCACCAACCATTCAAAGAATACCCACAAGTTTGACAGCTGCAGAACGTCTTCAAATGCTACAAGAACCGATTGATACGGAGAAGAGATATCCACAGAGAGTGGGTAGTGGTCAAGGAGTCGCAGCGAGGAAAGCAGAGCTGATGAGAGAACCTTCACATGAGTATAACGAAAAACCAAGAGCTCCACTGAATCCAGCTTTTCCTTCTAACTCATTCTTAGTGCCTAGCTTTAATGAGCTTGATAACGCCGTCAACGAATTATCAAGAACAGTTCGTGGAGCCAGTTTTGGACCATACGGATCTGGTATGTCTACTCCAAATAATACAATGAGTCGAAGACTCGGTGGTTGTGGTAGATTCCCTACTGGCGAGCATGCGTTTAGCCCACCACCATTGGAAACTTCGAAATCTCCAACTTCTTCTCTTAACCGGAAACTTCATTCTCCATCTCCAACAGATGAGGTCAGTGAGAGCTCGTCAGTGTATCAAATTCCCACCGGACTTCCTCACCCTAAACCGAAGCATAATGTCAAGGAGCAACTTTATCTGGCTGGAATTCAAACCACTCCTGGCTATCAAATTTCGAGGACAATGTATCGAAACGGCCCCAATTTTCCGGTCCCATCAACTGGAAGTGTGGCTTCGCGAATCACGGAGTTCGAAAAACGACCAGGCACTCCGATTGTCCAACTCTCTACCACCACAGTCAAATACAACGAAAATGTACCAGTTGCAATGTCGCCCAAATCCGCACAGCAAACCAATGGCAACATGAGTCCACGGAGTGCAGTGTTTCGTGCCAAGCCGGTTATTCACGTGGACATGGGCAGCACTTACCATCAGCAGACGCCATCAGCAGCACCGATCCGCCAGATTCAAGTGCATACGGTACAGAGTCAGGGTCAGCAGCCGCAGAACCATCAAAGTAGCGGAAGCCATCCAATCTACCAAAACCATCATCAAAATTTTCAACAACAGCAACCAAACAACTATCGCCAGCATCAACAGCTTCCGATTAAGCAACATGACACGGCAACTCATTCAATTTTTGATTTCAAGTCGAACGTAAGTTTTTATTATTTTGGAATCTATATGATTGAAAAACTGGGGAAAAAATCAAGAAAGTGGGGTTGTGTAAGCCAAAAAATCTCACTTGGCACTTTTTATGATTGAAATTTGTAGATTTCCCTGGACTACTGTATTAATAGCGCCTTTCTCTGTATTATGTACTCTTGAACTTGTGATAGACTATTGTCAACAAAACTCTTCAAAACTGTTCATCGGAAATTTTGTTATGATTTCAATTTCAAGTTGGTCGCTTATATTGATGCCACCAGAATTGCTTCCCCGTTTCTGAAAACTTCACAATATTCTGTTAATTTAAAATTCCTCACATTAAGATAACAGATTTATATTTCAAGATAATTTTTCTTATATATATTTTTTTTGAAAAATTTTCTACAAAATTCAATTTTGACTTTTTCACCTTAATAGGTTCATTTTCTAGAAAGTGCATTGAATTTTTTTTAGAAATTTCTAGGTTTTCCAAAACGTCAATTTTCTTCTATGCGAAACTAGTAATTTCGTCTAGAACTTTTTGCAAACAAAAAAATGCTATTTTTTTCAACCACTTCCTTTCCGAAGCATTCCGTATTCCTTCGCCGATTTTAAGTGTACTCTGAACATATTTGCCATGAGATCATTAAAAACATCTTTATTCTGATAATTTTCTAATCCTACGTAATCCAGCTATATTAAATCAAAAGTTCACTGAGAATAAATGGTAACCATTTGTGGGCGTCAAAGAAAGAAAGGCTTCCCTCCAACTAATTTTCTCATGTTTTTTAGAACGGCTCTGAACTGAGCATCTCCACTAAGTGGTTCTGTTTTTTCGTTAGGTTGAAGTTGAACAAAAAATTGAATTTAAAACTATAAAATTGTTCTCCGAGCAAAAAGTGATACTAAATTTAACGCATGCGGGAGTTTTTCTGATGGAATAGCCAGCCAGATGATGGTTTTAGGAGGCAGGACAAGAGCGGGACGGGCCTCATACTAAGTCTCCGCGAACGATTCGTTTCCGACTCGAGCCTTTTTATTTATTTTTGGAGGCAAAAGATTCTCTATCCTTCTCTCACTTTTTGCCTCTGTCCTTACCTCCTTCTCCTAGTACTCCCCGCTTTTCTTGTTATCATGTACATTACGATCAACTACCGTTAGTCGTTGTTCATTTCTCGCAAAGCTCTTTCTCTTCATTGATCTTTTATCGAAGCTCGCCAGTGCGCGCTCTAGGCAAATGTTCAAGCTCGTAAAGTCGACACATCTCTCTTTCTCGAAACGTTTGGTTGGCTCACTGAACTTTGCTCTGAATTTTGAGAATAGAAGCTTTTGATTCCACTTTTCAAGATTTTGGGCAGGCCCCACTTTTTCGCACGATTAAGTTTTCACGTTTTGAAGAACTCTTTTCTTATTTTCTGCCCTCTCAATCCCTTTCATCCGGCGCTCTTTTTCTCACGCTTTTTCTCCCTCAATTCTTTTGAAGATTATGCTGACGAACGTGGAATATTGTAATTAGAAAACTTTTTGGTACGTGGCAGGAAAAATGTGTTTGTTCTAACTATCTAAATCGATAGGTCATAATTTTCGTTCTGTTAGTACCTTTGAAATTTCTTGAGCCTCATTTTCCATATTTTTTCTGAAAAATATCATTAATCTTTCAAATTCCAAACATTTTGAAACACTGAATTTCGTGAATTTCTGGAACAAAAAAAATTATTAGTCATTATTTCTCTATTGAAGAAATTTTTGAACAGTTTCTAGCTTTTCAGTTTTGTTATTGGCCAATTTTCAGAATTCTTTGTAATTTCTGTCTGAAATTGTTTTTTATGTCTCTCAACTCACATGCACGCTTCTAAAAATTTGTAGAACCATTGCAATACTATCAAAGCTTCGAAAACAGACAATCATGCATTCTTAAATTCTAGTCAGTCTAACGAGTTGATCCGAGCTTTGAGACCCCACATAACCCCATTTCGCTGCTTCTTTGTGATGAAGCAGATATCGAATATGCAAGACGCCAACAATCCCATTATATGCATAGATAATATGATTGCAACACATCCCTTCCTCACGATGTGGTTGTGTAAAGGAATAAAGAGTGTTTCGGCTTTTCACAGTGAAAAAAACCAAAACTCATTTCTGCTTCCTTCCTCTCTCTTTGCAAAATGTGTGTACTACAGCTGACCTCTTGCATAAACTTTTAGAATTCAATGTCTTATTACATATGTCTTCTGGGTCCCCATTTCACTTTTATTTTCTTGAAACCTCTGCGATGAGACAAATATCGAAAAAAAAAATGATAGGAACGAAAAAACTGAGTTATCATTACTTTCACTACTCCTACCCACTCACTAAAGTGATATACTTCTGATCCTAGATCTTATCTTCTTTTTTATTTACTTCTCTATTTTTTGTTGTTATATTCTTTTTTTCTATTTTTTAAAGATTTTTCTCTAGACAGAAAGACATGAAAAGTAGAAATGTTCTGTTTTCTTTTCTTTTCCTTTTCTGTTTAGCTGTTGTTGAAATGGAAAATCATATTCATCTTTTTCATATGTAAATCCAAATCGGCTTTTCCGTTGTCAAACGTTCTTGCCAGTTTTAGAAATCTCCTTTGAAATTGGCATAGACCAGTTGCAAAACCATATTTCTTTTCATTTCTCTTCCAGGAATTTCTGAACATTAAAATATGGCAATAGGTTTTCTTAAGTTTCAGTTCTTTTTTCTTATTCCTACCAATGACCCTTCCTTATAAGCCAAAACACATTAGAAACAAAGAATACAAAAAGAGAGAGAGAAGCGCGGTGGTTGACACGACATCAAAAGCGAAGACGGTTGGTAGTGCGTGCCAAACACTTTCTGTGATTTCCTTCTTTTTCCTCTCAATCTTCTACTTTTATCACTAACGACATCATACCATATGGGCCCTCGCCAGCTATTTATCACATCTTTCTCACAGTTTTGACCCTCAAAAACTGTTTCAATGTGTAACGCGAGGAATTTCGCTTTTTTCTTGCGGGACGTACAGAAATTCAGAAACGACTAAGTCGAGTATTTAATGTTAATATAATCAGGGCAGTAGCATTATGGCTATAAAGCATGAATCAAATCCTGGTGATGTGAAACCCGAGTTTCCGAAACATTTACTATTGCCATTACTCAGGATATTATTTCAATTCAAGTATAGACAATTTTTCTGCTCAAAAAAAGGGTTAAGAATCAAAAAATAAGTATGTTTTGAATTGAAGACGTTTTTAAAATTTTGAAAACTCTGAAAATTTGGAATCTTCACGTTAATTTTTCCAAATAGTGTCTACCATCTTGATTGTTTCTGCCCTTTCCACCTAATTTAATTGATCTACTTACCACCCACCAATCAATCAGTCTCACAAACATTTCCTCTTCATTTTTCTCATTTTGTAACTTACCCTCCTTTGCTTGACCAGCACAACCACTCAAAAATTTGCATAGAGAGCTGCTCGAAGAGTGATTAGAAATTGAGCATACAGAGAGTCAGAGCGAGAAAGACCGAGACCGGTAGGCCCCTCTCATGAAAATTTGTGCCAGCCTTCTGTTGCGGAAAGAAAATACTGTTTGTGCGCTGAATGTGTGTGTGTGTGAGTGAGTGCGCAACTCATTTTTTTTGTCTATTTACGCTTAGGGTTTCAATTCATATTGTCTTTTGTATGCTCTATCGCCTTGCCACCGGAAGTTGTTGTTTCTTATCAGTGCGCAAACTGACCGAATGCTTCGGATCAAGTCCCGACATGTGTATGCTCCAACACTTTGCTTTATATCTTTTTTCCCGAATACAAACTAATGTTTTGAATAGTATTTTATCTGTGTGTCTGTTTGTGAGTCACAAAGTTGTATACTATGCATACGTGTAGGAAGGAGAACAAGTGTAAGAATAGAAATTTTCTAAAGTGAGGACGAGAGGGATCGCTTTGGTCTCCATCTTGAATTTTTATTTTTTGGCGACGAGTCAGATTTTTGTATAGTTGTTTTTTCTCTCGATATTCCGATCCACCTCTTTGTCTATTTCATGCGGAAGTGGTAGGATCAAGAAATAAAAATGAGAAAACAAGAGCTAATCCTCGAATCTCAGCTAGATGCTTTAATCTCCAAATACCAGTTGGATTTTTTGAAAATCTGATGTTCACAGTATGAGCAATCTTTTTGGAGCGTGTTGAATATGAAACCGACAGAATAAATAGTTTCTTATTTTTCACAGTGTTGAACAACGATTTTGTTTTCAGAGCATTTTTCCATTTTTCCATAATGTTTTCACCATTAGACTTCAAATCATGGAAAAATTTCAGAATTTAGCAAAGTTTGCTCATAAAATAATTAGGAGATCGTGTGATCCACCTAAAAAGATCAGAGCCAAAAAATTACCCAGTACCCGATTTTCTTGCTTTCAAGAAAATTGAACTTTACAAAGATTTCATCTTCTTAATCGAAAGTCAGTCGCTATCAAAACTTTTCTTTTGCCTTTTGCAAAATTGAACATTCACATTTTCTCAGAATCCATAAAATCCTGCTGTGTTAGCTTTTCTCCTAATTATGCTTTCAAAGAAATTCGAATTTTCCAAAAAGCTTTTGTCGCCGAGCACCAAGGCTCCTCCCACTTTTCTTCTTCCCTTTTTTCCTCTTCATCTTGTTTAGGGTTTATCATCAAACCTGACAGATCTGTCAAGTTGAACCAGAACTTTTCATCTTTGAAATTATTATGTGGCATTCATATATTGATAATAACCGAGCTGATTGTTATAATATAATCCTCCCGCCTATTGTTATGGTCAAATAGTCTCGTCCACCTCGTTTCCTATCTGCATACATTTCTGAACACTCACTAGTGCTCAAGTGGTTTATGATATTTTAAAGATAGACTACAATGTACATTCACCACACTGTAATTGTGTTTATTGCAGCTCATCTTCACCGAATTTTTAATACTGATAATAAGATTACATAGCACAAATTGTATGTGTGTGTGTTCCGGTAGTGTAATTAATGGTCATCATAAAAACGGTGCACATGAAAAGATTGTGTTCATCGTACGTCACAAAAATCAAGGAAAATTTTTGAAAGTTTTGTCATGATAACGAGCAGAGTTGTCTACGAAGTTTCGGAGAGATTAGTGAGATGATAATGATGTATTATCAATTATCTACAAATTAGACATCAACACAAACATTTGTCCTGTAGCGTACGTATGGTGCGACCCTTCTTCCTGGATCCACCTAAAATTTTTGGCATTTTTATTTTCTCTATTTATCTATTTCTTCCTCTATATGTGTGTACATATATGAGGTGAATATACTTCTCAAGGGTCGGCATAATACGTTAGTCAAATAAAATGGTAGAATTAGAAAGTTTGTGTGGGTATCTATCGTGTGAGGGGGAAAACAAAACAATGGCTAAATTTGTAAACATTTTGTGACCAAAATGTTTTTTTGCTCTTTTTTTCCAATTTAAAAGTGGGGGGAAATTTTTGAAACCCTCTTATCTAGTCTTCCCAATAAGCAAAGAAACATTCAGGAAGTGATGAATTCCACGTCACATTTCCTCGTTGCAATTGTAGTCCACAAAAATTGAATCTTATTATTATTTTTTACTGAAAACAAAAAAAAAGAACATCCCATAAAAATCAAACGATATTCGTATAAGTATACGAATTGACTTCCGGTTTTTCTTTCTGAGGGATTGACAGGAAGGTTCACTTTCATTTTTTATTTTGGTTTTTTTTTGTGTAGAAAGCGTGATTATGCTCTTTTTTCGGAAAGAAATTTGAAGTTTCGCAACTTGAAGAAATAATTAAAATTTGATAAGAACTCGTAGGATTAAAAACGACAAAGCCATGTTAAAATTTTGAACCTTTGTGTATTCTCCTTCTGAAAATGATATTTTCAACATTTATCTCAATGAAAATCTCTATTTCATACTTATAACAATATTCATTTAACTTGTAAAAAACAATTTTCTCCAAGCTTTCATAGTAAATGAAATTTAGTTTCCTACATTTGAGTTTCTACCTGACAATTTCGTAACGAATACTTTTCTCCTACTTTTTCTCAATTTTGACTGGCTTCTTTTCTCTTCGTACCCTCTTCTTGTTATACAACTTCCGAATCTAGAATTACATCCAGGTAGCACACTGGAGGGGCCTAGTCATCTGGAGTCAATACGTCCTCTGAGCCTAGTAATGGAGGAAGAGGGCTCCAGACGTCGGCCTAGCGACGCTGTGCTCTGCGAATGCAGTGTTCTGGCCGCCCGAAGGACCACCGCCAGGTCTCGGACTAAAGCGATCGTGGTGAACCCGCGAACTTCGTCACAGCGACGATTCCGACGATTTATCGAGAGCATTGTCCGAAAAGTGTTTGATAACCAACGGAAATCTCCGCGGGATGTAAGTTTGTTTTTTCTTCTTCTACTGCTACTATCGTCATAGGGGTTGAATAAATATTCAATCCCACTTTTTCACCCCTCATACCGCAAAACCATTTTCACTGTGTTTCCGTCTGACTGGCTAACTTGCAGTGTTCTTCGGCAAAAGTGTAAAGTCAATCGCTCGTCTCATATCCCCTCTATCTCTCTCAATCCCTCCCTCTCACACTTACAGATCCTCCCTCTCTCAGTCTTGTTGTCTCTCTGGGACAAGAAAAAAGAAAAAAGTGGAGATCCGATCCCGTCGGGTTCTTTTTTTTCTCTATACATCTTCTACTTCTATATTGCCATCTGTTTTCTGTGTGAGGGCTGTTCCAAACAATTCGATTCTTATTTCTTTTTTGCTTCGAGCCACTTGAAAAAGTCAGGGTGTCAAAATTAAATCCTCGACTATCAATTCGCTATTCCTTCCACTTCTAGTCAGTGAAAAATGTGAGAATCAGCGGAAAATGCAAACGTTTCCAGCCCCTAGAAACTTCCGGGTCTGGCGATTGTTAAGAAATCGTACAGTAAGTTTGAAAACAAAAAAAAAAGAAAATATGTTTATTCAATCCGATAATATTAGGCCAAGTAAAACGTTGATTTTTTCGCTGGCAAATCCAAAAAGGTTATCGTAACATTTATCAGCATAGGTAAATATGAAAAATTTTGGTTCAAAATGGGGGTTCTAAGAAATGAATCATTTTCGAGCAAAAAACCAATAAATTGTACTGATTTTTGTTCATTTCAGAACGTCTCCGCCGCGTCGGCCACTCAAATCCAAGCTGATGTCACTCCAGCCAAGTATGTTTGCCAGCTTACCGGTTACGAAAGTCACCGAGTTGTACTCCACTCTTTAGATGAACAAATTTGAACAGCATGGCCCCGGGGACTATCAACAAGAACACTGTTCATCGAAAACCTTTTTTTTCCTACCCTTTTCCTCGTATTTGAACTTTTGAGGATTCTAGAAAGTCCACGTTACTGAAGGTCTACTCAAAAGTTCACGTTACTACTGGGGATGTGTGAAAACCCAACTAGTGGTAGTTGTTTGCTCATCTCCCATATGCTCAAGCTCTTTTTCTTCCAATCACTTGCTCTTCAAGCCCTCATAGGTGGGAGAGTCCGGGGTAGACACAGCAACACCGGGTGTTTTTCTTGCTCGTCGCTCCCGCGTAGGATGAATTTGAAGATGATGATGATGGTGTGACGCAAGAAGAAAACAAAGAAATAGACGGAGGGGGGAAACAACCACTAAACTTGTCACCTGGCGGTGCAAATCAAAATAACCGGAAGTTGTCTGATCATTTAAAACCAGAAAAAAAAAAACATTCTTTTGGGCTAGGAACTTTTTCGCTCAAACATCTTTACAGATTTCGTAGCAAAAATCATGTAACACTGGAAATGTAACCGTTTTCAGGAGTGCTCACTTGGCTGAGCTCAACGTCGTGTCTCCACCAAAACGGACTGCATCGGCACCAGCTTCTCGCTTGAATCTGAATGGAACTCTGGATAGCAATGGAAACTATGGACGAAAAACTGCATCACAATCAGATCTAAACTTCTCCGCGGAGCTGTCAGTAGCTGCTCCAACAAAACACACTATCCCAGAGCTGGATCTTTCATTTGACAACTACATTGATGATCAGTATAGACCTACGCCAAAAGCGGCGCCAGTTATCACTCGACCTCTACCGCCGAAGCCTCAGGCGCCAAAGGAACCGTAAGTTTTTTTCATGACGTGAGATAAGAAAAAAACTTGATATGGGATATTCAGAATCTACTACCCACAAGGTAAACCAGTGCCACAATTGCAAAATGACACAGCTTTACGGCGAGTCTGTGAGGTCTTCCGATCGTTCCCAAATCAGAAGGTGAGAAATTGATGACCTGCGAAACGACCTAAAACTCGGGTGATTTATTATAGTGTACACTGGAGAACATGCCAGCCGTGTGCGAGGCAGCCGGACTTCCGATGTACTGGAAGATGCCCGTTTTCTTGGCCATCACCCAGGACGAGGATCGACTGGCTACACAAGTTGACTTCACGTCGTGGTGGAAGGCGATGACATCTGTTGCTCATGACGAGGCGGCCAGGTTTTTATTGGTTTTCCTCAACTCGTTTCGAATTTTCCATTTGATTCAGATTTGTGTACACATTATCGATGGGATCCAGAAGTTATTTGCAACCGGAAGACTTTTACGAGTTGATCATGGATATTATTCATACACATCCAGGATTGGCGTTCTACAGAGATGCCACAGAATTCCACGACAAGTATTGTCAGGTTGTAATGACCAGAATTTTCTGGAATGATGCACACTCATGGTCGGGAAAACTGACTACCGAGAGGTTAAGGAAGGGAGGAGTGCTTCCAGCAATCAGACAGCTTCAATTTGATGATGATATCAACAAGTCCCTGAGATATTTCAGGTATGTAACTGTGATGAAGTTGAAAGAAAAATGTTATTGAAAAATTCCTGGACATTTCTGATGAAATAGTATTGATCATTGAGAATTTTGTTCTAAAAAAATGAAGCTAAAATTTCACAATTTTCCTTCTGAAAACAAAACTTCACAAAACACTCTGTTCAGCTACGAGCACTTCTATGTGGTCTACTGTAAGTTCTGGGAAATCGACTCGGATCATGATCTCAAAATCTCAAGCAACGACCTGGCTCAACATGCTGGAGGAGGTAGATTTCTATGATAGCCGATGTATTGAAGTCGTCAATATTATTTTTTCAGCTCTAGTCCCGATGGTGGTAGAAAGAATATTCTCAGGCGCGGTTTGCGCGAATCCAAATCTGAAAAACCCACAAGCAGAACTCGGATTGGCGGACTTCACTCAGTTCCTACTGGCAGAGGAGGACAAAACTCATCCGACTAGGTAATTCACTAGCTTTAGGATTTTTAATCTAATCATTTTGGAAATTTTCAGTGTTGAATATTGGTTCCGAATTCTTGATTTGGACGGTGATGGACTTGTGACCCTTTACGACATGGAACTTTTCCACAGTCAGGCTCAACGGAGGTTAGCCGCCGAGGGAATCGACTCCATGGCATTCCAAGATGTTGCCTGTCAACTCATTGACATGCTTAATGTTCCCGGTGGAGCAACTTCATTCAGATTGAGTGATCTGAAAAAGTCGTCACTTCGTGGAAGGTTCATCAACACATTTGTGAACTGGAGAAAGTTCTTCGCTCAAGAGACTAATGAAGGATCAGAGTCACCAAGAATAGAGGATGAAGGAGGCCAGGAGCTAACCGAGTGGGATCGGTAAGTGAGCTATTCAAATTGTAAATTTTAAAATTACCAATTTCAGATATTGCATCGAAGAGTACGAGGCAATGATGGAGGATGATCAGGCGGATGCTGAAACTATGTAAGTTTTTAGTTCATCTTATTTTAAATTAAACTTTATGCATCTATAGGAAGGCAATGAATGAAATGGTTGATAAATTGTGTAGGTTGAACAGTTAGTATGGTGCTTGTGTAGAATTCTGTTCATTTATGTTATCGCCTCTCTTTTGTTCCGTGACACTTAATTTTGGTTATTTTCAGTAGCCTAAACTTGGAGGAGGACGACGCTCGAAGTCTCGCGTTTCATGACGTTCTGTGAAGTGCCATAGCTCTCTTTGAATTTCGACACAAAACAATGGGTTTTCAAATGTACGGTCATAAAATTCTCAAACAGTCATCACACATACAATCATTTATCCCATCTCGCATGTTGATTCCTTCGAAGTTCCAACAATTCCCAGTTCCTTCTTATTTCTTAGTTTGCTCGTTTCGTCTCACTTTTGTCTCCTCTCATGATTTCTTCATTCCCCCAAATGATATACCAAATTTTTTTCGCATAGGTTTATCAGATAATTTATTGATAAACGTGCCATATTTTCTTTGTAGAAGAGAATCCATCACACTTTTTTGCACAATTTCTCATATATTCTCTTGATCAATTCTCTCCCACGGTGCTATAACTTCTGTCAGATTTAAATATTTTTTAAAATCCGAAAATACAAAATCAATGTTTTAGATAATTGATTGTTTTATTTCATCTCATCCTGTTTCTGATCATTCGACCAGGACACACACAATTGGTACGTATAAACTATTTCTTCGTGTTTTTATTCGTTTAAACCATACACTATCAACAAACAAGTCCAGGAGGAAGAAGATTTTCATATACAAAAAACAGTTTATCAACGTTTTTCCCTCGTTGAGAAAAAAAATGAAATAAATATAGAAGAGGAATTACGAAAAGAAATGATTTTGTTGATAAGAAAAAGAAAAACACACAAAGTTTCCAGAAAAACGGAGCATTTTATACAGAAAATGAATTGATGGGGGAAAAAAGAAGAAGAAGAAGACATTGAGAAAGTTGGGAGATGACCCGCGAGAGTGTAGTGCTGTAACTACCTTACATTTACAAATATAAGTAAGAGAAAAATTAGGATATATTGGGCATTGGAGCATAGCAAAAGAGAGTGGTCACCGTTCATCACATTCATCGAATCTAGTCGAGTCTATCTGATTTTGGGAGAAGGAAGAATAGTTTTTAACCCTGTACTGTGTCATAGTAGTCGACGTCTGTGTCCTTATTGTCGGCCGTCGTGGAGCATCGGTCGGTGGCGCAGAAGTCGGCGGAGATGTGCACCATGTCCTGGGAAATTCAGATTTATTAGTTGATTGGAGTTCAAATTTTAAAAATAGGCCTTATGATCGATGGGGCAGGGGTATCTTTTTGGGACCGATGTTCCCATTAAGGAAAGAACAGTTCAACTTGTAACCACTCTTCTGTGATAGACTCGATTTTTTTTCAATTTCCATTTTTCTCCCCTACTCACATCTTCAAAGCTAACATTTGCTGCTTGTTGAGTATAATCGAACATAATTGGAAGCTGAATTCCACTCTTCAACTTTTTAGCCATATCCTCATTTAGAATCAACTCGGTCAATGCATTCACCAAGAACTCCAGTGAACCCTCATCAATGCCATCAACCAACGAGGCGACCTGAAATTTGGCACGATTAAATTCCCAGTCATTGGTTCTTAAAAATGCTTACATCCGAAACCTTGAACTTGTCGATTCTCAGTTCACCATGAAGGACGAAATCCTTGAATGAAGGCTTATCCAGTTTCACCTCGGCGTTCATCGAAGCGGTAAGGAAGCGGCGACTGCGATCTTGTTGCTGGAATAATGACACAATAAGTTTCGTCTTGATTAATGAGAGAAAAATGAACAATTATGTGTATTCCCTAGTCCAATCATTATCATAAAACCATACCTGCACGAATGCGTCCACTCTACTGTCGATGTAGATAGTCATGTTGTTCTTTTTAAGCACAACTCTAGGATATGATACGGTATGGGACTTGATAACAACTTCTCCTCCTGGGAAGCGAGTTCCGAGAGCTGGAAATAAACAAGCATTCAAATTCCGAATTCTAATATCTACCGCTTACCAGGAAACAAAGTTCCAGCACAAATATCTCCAGTTCCACAATCGGTCTTCAAATATCCCACCAAAGCGGAATTGTTTGTGGCTTGTCTACTGATCTCGTAATCAAACTTGCGATATTGATCCATCCAGAAAAGCAGTGAGCTCAATGTATAGTTGGAGAGATAGAAATCAATCATATGTCCCGAATCGGCAGTTGGAACTTGAAGTGGTGGACTACGGTATGGAAGACGGAAGTCGTTGAGGCGAGTTCTTCCTGAACCTTAACATGGAAATCGTGGTGAGGAGGATTGGTTAGTGAAGATGTAGAATTTTTCGTTAGACTTACCTTGTCTCAAAATTCCGAATGAGTTTCCTCTATGCTTCAACGTGATAGCTTGATTGGAGAATTCAACAGGGCCTGAAAACCGACAAATGTTTCTCTCAAGTCACCAAAAGGCATGCTCTCGTTTTTCCTCAACACACGCATTTTCACGTCCACTCTCTCCCTCTTCTCTCGCCCCTCTTTTCATTCCTGCTTGCGTGTCGGGTATTTAAACGCCATGTGTCTCTTTTACTTTCGGCCTGCTTAGTATAGTGGTTAGTACTCCACGTTGTGGCCGTGGCGACGCTGGTTCGATTCCAGCAGCAGGCAACGCTTTTTGTTTATTTATATTTTTAGGGATCATATTCTTGGAAGACGTTCTGCTTACCTAGAAGGGCGTAATTGATGAAGTACTGCTCAAAGAGGGAAGCACTAAGTGGAGTATTCATGATTCTGTTGGAGAGCACTGGTACGAGCTCAGCGTGGAAGGATGGGCAGACAACCTGAAAATCAGCTATCATCAATATTCTACAAACTGAGGTCACCTGCTCAACAGTCTGTCTGATGAAATTTTGCATATGTGGAATATAATTAGCAAGCAGTGTAGAATCAGCTTGGCTAAATTGAAGCTGTAAATTGTTTGCAGCCACTTTGCAAGTGATCAAGTCAGTTTTCAAGTGACCGTCTCCGTTGACTCCTGTCCAGAGAAGAAGTTCCACATTTGTTCTGCAAATAATAATACAAAATGTTTCATTTTCATTCTAGAAGTCTTAGACTCCTAAACTTGTTTTCAGATAGATTTTTTTTTCTTTTTCTGTTCATAAAAGGTTGCTGCATTATCACTTTCACTATCTCTCAGTTTATCCCTCATTTTTAACACACATTGCGTGTGTATTAAACTATTACACTATCACTCACTTGTCGAATGACAACGGAACATTTCCTGTGATTTCGCCTTGTGTTGTTAGCAGGCTGAAGCTTGCCAACAAGGTCACATTGATGTTGGTACCCTGGAAACGATGGTTGAGAGATAATAAAACATATCTATCTTACTGTCCAAGAAATTCCTTTTTGTGGAACAATCGACATGGAGGAGTCGAATAAGAGCTCATCGAAGGAGATTATCCGGGAGGACCGTAATGTGAAGCGAACCTGGAATCAGAGGTAGGTAATTTTCAGATTCTTCCATTTTTTGCTTACTTGATTAGTAAGTGGGGCACTGATATTGAATTCTAGGCCATCTGAATTCATAAATTTGATAACTCTATCTTTCAACTGATCCGAAACAATGCTCAGAGCCTTTTTGTTTATCCTCGTCACAAATCCTGGAGACTTTCCTTCTTCGGCGAATAAACTGTCTGAAAATTCAAAAAAAATTCTTGGATTACAAGCAAATAAGTTCTCACTTGCAAGACTTTGCTGCTGTGTGACATTGCTCAACCCGAGTATGACAAGTAACACCCAAATCATCAGATCTGTAGAAAATAAAATAATTAAAGCAAGCGGTTTGTCTCATTTTTCGAGTGATGATCAAAAAACAACGTGGGTGAGAAACCAGCTTCTCGTTTTGTCTATATTCGATTCATTCAACAAAAAAAAAGTGGTAATGAAAGTGAGATGATATATACTGGGAGGTAGAAAAGTGGAGAGGAACAATGCTTTGGTGAAGGAAAGCAGAAGTTGCGTAATCTGTGACTGTCTTTTTTGGCGATTGGAGGCGGACGATTATTACGCAGAAGATGGGGAGAAGAGTCAGAAGGAAAAGGGATAGATGGGTATTTAAAAATAAACCGAGTTTTATAGTTCTCTAGGGTATTTTGTTTTTTATTTTTTGTACTTTGTTTTTTGAATGAATCAGTTTCCCCCAAATTGTTTACTCTTGTAATCATAGATAACTGAATGCGTGGAAATGGATCTTCTATGGGAATTTCAAATTTCAACAGGTCGGCCAAATGTGAAAAGTCGAAATCGAAGATGCGTCGGGTGAGATTTTGAGATGATGGGCGAAGGGATTGACTTGGGGTCTTAAAGGAGGGCGACAAAAGAAAAAGGAGAGAAGATGAACTAGATATATGGAAAGACAATATCTGAAAGCGAAAATAGGAAGGGGTAGAGGAGGAAGGAAGTGTGTGTTTGTGAAAGTGAATGGAGAAAAGTGTGGGTTAGGATGGGGGGTTCTATGAAGGCAAAATGACTGAGATAGGGATGAGTGGAATTGTTTAAGCTTGTGGTAATAAAACAATACGAAACAGACGAAGAAGTTTTTATGAGCTATCCAGAGTTTCAGAATTTTGATAATTATTGAGTAAATGATGGGGATCAGAGACGGAACACTAATACAGTCAGTAAGTGTTACCATAGTAGCCAAGTAATTATGATAAATGAAACAAAACTACTTGAAATTCCACTGAAAAAAAATTTCAAATAAGAGTTTTCTGTTTTTATTAAATTTTTAGAATATTTTTTAAAGATTGTGCTCGAGGATACTGAATGTGAAAATAGACTATGGTTATTCAAATCTACACTCACTAAATGTTAACTAAATGGAATTTGCTCTCTCCAGCTATTCTCAAAACTAGAAGATCATTAGAACTACAGTATTACCCATCCCCTCATCTCATATATCCGTCAGAGTGAAACTATCATACTGCTACTATGGCTAGGTCAGTTTAGACTGTCAGAACGCGGTAAACGAAATTCTCATCATTTGCCATCAAGCTTCACAAAATGACTGAATCGGAACTGTTCAGACAGAAAAAGGCTAAAGCGAGATTTGGGTAGTAGGGAGGAGTCACACCAAAAAGCTGATGTCGGTTTGTGTAAACTTGAGATATAGAGATGAAGTCAACACGTTGAAAAAAAAGCGAAAAAAAAAGAAATCGAGTAAAAACTGAAATAGAGAAAGTTGTCGATGAAAAATAGACTACGAACGCGATAAGATTGAGAGATATTAGAACAACCTTTGAACACATATCCAAGCGCAAAATATGAAAAAGTGAATCGAATCGGTAAGCGAAAAAATGTTTTCTAAAATGCATCTCAAGCCGACCTTGAAGATGTCAAGAAGAGATCACAGCAAATAGTAGGCACCCATAGCCAAATTATTTATTCCGTCCTATTCTCAATAGCTTGTTGAAGTTAAAAGCAGAAAAAGGTAAGTAGACAAGCCGAAACGCGGACGGTGTAGACATTCAAAAAATGGAAATGAAGGACGGAATGGAAAATCGAGCGCCATTTATTCTACGTGATGTCATAGTTCGGGAGGAGTTCGAATTGGAGAAAATTACTCCCGGTTACCAAATAAATTGACAGGAGATGGCAAAAGAATAGGGGAGGAGAGACAAGGGAGGACAATGCTTGAATCATCCCAGGGACACAGTAACTAGGGACGCGGGCGGAACAACAAACAAGAACAAAAGTGGTATTATGCATCATACACAACACTGATTTGCCATTGTCTCCCGAAACCGTCCTTTGTAGTCCGTAGTAGCAGTTTTAGTTTAGTAGTAGTCATCACTCGACCCTTTGCCTTTTTCAGTCATAAAACCGAAAAGAGAGAAGTGATTTGGCTACAAAAGAAAGGAAACTCATTCAGGGATGGGCGAATGTTCACGCTTTAAAAACATTAAAGTGGCCAGGTCGAATGGTAGTAAACGACCGGTGGATATTGGGTATCATTCTGAAATTACAGCATTTAATTGCCTTTTGTAGTCTGTATGGACAAGTTGGACAAGCCCAGAAGCGTATTTAAAAAAAACAGTTGGCAAAAGGTGTCGAAAAACATTCTTCTGGACAATTCTTATTTTCTAGTCTGCTGAGTCGCTGAATTCGCTGAACTGAACGTGCTAAATTTGGATACTTGACAATGGAGGAGCTCTGAAATCTTGGGTAAGGATGAAAATCATGATTACGAATGAATAAGATTTATAAACTTTGAATGTGCTAATCTCAAAAGTGGAAACTAAAAGAATTTCATTTTTTTGAAAAGTAGAAAAGGCTTTTTTCTGTTAGTTTTCCATTCATGAAAAGAAATAAAAAATTTAATTTCTATATTCAGCTAAGCAACTCTAAAATTACGAATTTTAGCTAGGTGACTGAGTTTTTTTGATAAATTTATATAAAGTAATGTTTCATAGTTCTCCTAGCATCAGACAGTTTATTTGTTTCGGCAAATATAAAGAATATGTGAAAAATTAGTTTTTGCTGATCCTATCACAGAAAATATAATTGAAATTCAGGTTGCTCTTTTAACCAAATCATGCTAACATCCTGCACTCAGAAAAAAAGTAGAGATGATGATACGGTACGGACGAACGGAAAAAGCGCGAAAGTAGGCCGTCAACGTTTGAGACATGGATAGAGAAAGAGCGACGGATCGATGTGACGGGCGGGAAAATCAAGGAGAAGAGGAAATCATGGAATGAAGAGGTATAGAGTATACATAAGATACAGCTTGTGTGGCGTGGCGCCAGAAGACTCTGACGGATAAGTATATGAGACACTTTGGAAAATGCGCGTCACTGCTTCTTCTCCGTCTCTCTTCCCGTCAGAAGCCTAGGGGCACCCGCCAGGGGGATACGCGGGAACAGAACAGCAGGAGGGCTTAAAGAAAACATAGTAGACGGCAAAGGAAGATGAAACTACGCGGCAGCACTACCCCAACCGATCATCATCATCATCATCATTGTCTTCCTCGCCATCTTCTTCTTCATCTCCTGCTTCTCCTCACAATTGCATCTCTTCTCCTTTTCCGACGTCTTCTCCATCTTTTTCGACATCTTCACCATCTTCTTCAAGCCAGCCGATTCGGACTGATCTGGACCGCTTTGACACACAGCTGTCCCTGTCCCCACTGTCTCCATAGCGCTCTCATCTAAACCTGAACCCGCATTTATCCCCTCTTCGTTTCTCCTGCCTTCTTCGTCTTTTCTCTTCATACATTAAGCTGCTTTTCAAAATCAATTGACATTGTTTCTTCCATTTCTTATAGTTCAAAAAAATACAAAATTGTAAAAAATAAAAACTCGGATTAAATTAAAAACAAGAACAAACCTCGGATGTCAAGACTCCATTTTTTTTTCAAAATTCAGTCAGAATTATGTTTTCAAAAAGATCGTTCTGTAATCAGAACTGTTATATATTTTGTTAATTCGAAGGATTTAAAGAAATAAGGAGTGATGGTAACTGTTATCAAATGAGTTTCATGATTTTTGAGAATCAATAATTTCACACATAATTTCAAAAGAAACACGATCAATCTAACAGAAAGGTCATATAATTCTGCAGCTTTTTTGAATTTTACTGTACATGGATCTCATCTTACACGTTTGCCTCCTCCTGACGCTAATCTATGGCAAGACTTTCTCCAAAATTATTACACTATCAAAATGATCAGATTATAATAAAATCCTTGCCATCTTCATTTTTCAAATACATCTACAGTAATCTCACTATTCGCTTCAGATCGGAACTACAAAAAATTGGCGTTTCGCATCAAAATGTTTGCTGTCTCTTGTTTCATCCAATGGCATCGAAATCGACAAAAATCTCTTTTTCATCTTCAGCACTTCAACCTGCCACGAGATGCGGATTTTTGATCGTCGCGCTTAACTAGCTAGTGTTAGAAAACAGAAGACAAACGGTACAACGATCGTTCAAAAAAAAAGAGAAAAGGTTGAGAAGAAAGATAAGAGAAACACAATTTTTACAAGTTTTTACAACGCAGACTTGAAAAAATGAAACACGATTGTGAAAATGGGGAATGAGAAAAGAGAAGACGAATAAGAAGAAGCAACATAGGAATAAGATACAAACATACAACGATGCGGGTTCAAACACGTTCTAGATGAGACTATGAGAGTTTTTTTAGTTCTACAACCACACAGAGACACTCACATCCTTATCCCTAATCTGTCTTCATTTGGGCAATGTCTGTTGGAAGGGAGACCGTGTTGAGTGGTGGGGGACGCCCATTGATATCAGTTAATGATAAGAGGAAGTGCAAAGTTTTCTGGATTCATGCCAGGTCTATAGAGTGTCTTTTCGATCTCTATAAAATTCTCAGTGCATCTGAAATTTGGTCAGCTCAACGTTCAGGAAGGGAGACTTGAACACTTTTTGAAGTTTTCTCTGAAGTTACGGTGTGCGGGTTCGCTGTTGTATAGGTCGGTCCACAAGCTGAACCCCTCAGATCGCTTATATGAAAGAAAATTTTTAAAAACCAATTTTTTCATGTCTCTCCACTTTCAAGTACAAAATTAGCAATCTAAGCAAATTTATCTTGTTTGGGTATCTCTGAAATTTTCAAATCGAAAACAATATTTTCGAATTTCGTTTTTTAAGAAACACTGGAAAGAGAAATTTTTCAATATGCAGAGCTTTAAAAATTATTGTTCAAAGAATTATTTCAGATAGTTTCAGGCAGTCTTTTCAAGCACAACTTTTCAAGTTTCATTAGCTTCATCACATTTCCGCGAGATCCGACACCTCTGGAGTCACATAATAATTTGAACATCAATAAATAATTTAAACAAATAAATATAAGACCTTTGCATAGAACTTTGAGGGGGGTTTTGGACAGTATCTGATACAGAATACGACTCATATCCATATTGGAATGGGTGAGAGGAAAGTTTAACGACGACATTGAACACTTTAGAAGCCTCCTTGTTGTCCGAACTGTCCTTGATAATGTTGCTTGTGTCCTGGATGATGTTGGAATGGGAAGAGTCTACGGTAGATGGTGGCGAGGTCTGGTTTTTTGAATCCAAGGAAACTCTCCTCATCGACCTCTTCGGTTGGGGTGGTCTCGGCAATGACACTGTCGGTTGTGGAAATTTCTAAAAATTTGGGAATTGTTAAAGAATTTTCGAATGGATTTTTAGAAGATTTTGAAAACAGACTCTATTATCTAAATTCTTACCTTCGGTGGTAGTGGTTGGCTCTTCAGTAGTAGTGGTGGTCGTGGATTCTTCAGTTGTAGTAGTAGCAGCCTCAGTGGTGGTAGTTTCAGCAACAGTAGTTGTATTTTCAGTGGTTGTCATTTCGACTTCAGTAGTGGAAGGAGCTACTGTAGTTGTGGTCGTCTCTTCGACAATACTGTTGGTAGCTGGGGCTTCGGAAGTGGCAGCTGGCTTCACATCTACACCAGAGCCTTCAACGACTTCTCCGAGAACAGAGAGGTCGTCATATTGCAGGAACTGACAAGACGCGGTAGCAATCAAGACGAACAATAAAGCGGAATTGAGAGCAAAGTTCATTATGTTCTAGGTGCAAAATGAAGGCAAGATGAAAAGGAGAAGATGCTAGAAGTGGAAAATGCTGCGAATGGGATGATTGCACCATGCGATCCCAGCTCTTATATATGCTTGTCGGGGGTTGGGCAAAACAAAATGTGCAGGTTCGGGTGGGGCAACGGTCAGTCAGCAGATCTGCCAAAAGCGACCGTTTTCTCGCGCATTCCTCCTCCTCCTTTTCCACCTATTTTCATTCTAACTCCTCGATATTTATGTTTGCATTATTTTTCACTCGTGTTGCAACACAGGTGCCGCGTCCCGGACAGTGAAAAACAGCCCGGCGGATGCACACTGTGAAATAGAGAGGCCTCCATGGGTGCCAGAGGAGACAAAAACAAACACCATGGCATTGTGAATAGGTCAACACATATAGACAACTAGGTCCGCCATTTCCTTTTTTTCAAACTTTCCGTGGCTAGCTGAAATCTATGCCCCCGCAATAGTGCGCTTCCGACACGGTAAACTTTGCTCCTTTCTATTCATTTTCTTTATTCCTCCCAATTTTTTTATTCCATAGCACAAAACATGCACTGAGTCCGAACAGATCGTTTTTCGCATTCACTCCCACCTCCATTCAAGTCAAAAGTTGCATTTTCTGCAAAATGAACGGAAGGGTGTAAAAGTCATTTTTGGAGAGATAGAGAAAGACCAATGTGTTCAAACACTTTCAGGCCGCATGGTCAAAACACATACGAGCACTTCAAAGCGGCTACAATGTGCTATTTGTCAACTCATCAATTCATCCAAAAAGTGTTCGCAAGCTTTTTTCATTCCGACTATAGTGATGTTTTTTCTAATCGTCTCAGCAGATCTTGACATTTTTCTAACATCACAAAAAATGCAATATTTGTTTTTTGAGCCAACACAAAATTACACAGTTTTTTGAACCAACACAAACTTTGTTTTTTGAGCCAACACAAAATTACACGTAATGATGTGTTCATACTGTAGCTAAGTTTCTACCTGGTTTCTATGAAATATAGTCTGATAATCTAATTTAGAGGAAGTCTTTGTTCCAACCTCTTGGTATTTAAAAAATCAAACTCATTGTTGAAATCTGATTCCTAAAAATTTTACGTTGTTTTTTTGGAAACTTTTTCGCAACTTCATAGCATTTATGCCGCTGGATATTTGCTGTTTGACCCACAATCAAATATAAAAGGGATTTTTATTATCCTTTCCATTAATAAATTAGTACTAAAAATTTGTAGAAAGCAAATTCTTGTAATAAAGATTACCGTGAAACCTGTATTAGACGGGCCCGTAAAATTCACCTTTGAGCCAATTTTTCTCGGTTCCTGTCAAAGATATGAAAAATGTGTCTACTAACAAAGCACCTCAGATATTATTGAAAACATTTTATCAGTCGACAACTTTCTTATATTTTTGACAGAAATCGAAAAAAAAAACTGGCTCAAAATTTGAAATTGAGGGACCTTCCATGTATAGTTTTACCTTACATTCTCTGTAGTTTCTGAGGTAGTTGCAACCTTTTTCATGTAATTCTAATACTGCTTGTGCACAATCACGGCAATTTTGAGAAATATCACAGCTCTGTGAATTTGATGTAGGCTTGAAATATATATGAACCTACCAAGAATTTAAACATTTTGTTTTCCAGTAATTGTAATTCAGTTCTCAATTTTTTTTTTTTGACTTTCAAAAACTTCTGGATTTTGAACTGAACATCAATTAATTTTTATTATTTAGTTGATTTTATGAAAGTTATTTTTGAAGATTAGTTCCAGAGTTTCATTGCAATTTCAAACCGAGGGAATCCCCATATTTGAACATAGCATGTTATCGTGAACGCAACGTTTTTTTTCTGATTGCGTGCTCTTGCTTCTTCAAAAATTTTAGACCTAACACTTCAAAAGGCGCACAAACACACTTCTTTTGTTTCAAAAAATTATCAATTCCTATGTCCTTGTCTATGCGGTAAACGCAAAAACGGAAGTGCCGTGCCACTTTTTGCCGAGTCGCTTTGTCTCTTGCGCGCTTTTCTCCTATCCATCGCCGAGCCATTCCATAATTAACATACTCTCACTTCTCGTATTTGTACAGTCCCGAGCAAACAGAAGATACTGACTGCTCTTTGAGGGCGGCTGCTCTTTTTCCTTGTCTTGAGTAGACAACTGAAAAAAGCGAGGGACTGAAAACAACTCGAGGTATTGTCTGAACTTACTATGCTATTTCTCGACTGATGTACAACATTTGGAATAGTAGGAAACTATTCAAAGAAAACATTTTTTTAACAATGTGATTAAAACTTTATTCGAGACTCGACTTGTCAAAGTGAGAAAATTGAGGATTGCGGCGGCTGAGAGAGAAGGGACACGAAAGAAATTACAGAAGCTTTTTTTGGAAATTCAAGGTTGTTGCCCGATACAGGAAACAGACAAAGTTTGTGACTCCAATTTCCATCAAGACGGAGGACACGTCACAAAATGAATGTAAGGGATGTGAAATGAGAACATCATTAAAAATGAATTAATGGGTGAAACCTGGTATTTCTGAATGAGAATTGTGCCGGGAGGTTTTTTAATGAAGAGAAAAAAATATCATACTGTTGTTGGGTTTGTTTTTAAATGCAATTTTGAACCATAAGTTGAACAAGTTTGTGGGAAGATAATTTCATCACAATTATCGGTCGGAAGATTTACATTCAAGTGGCGAGATAGAAATTAGCACATCGAAACTGTATGAGGGGATGAGAGAATGACGTAGAGAAGACCCAGATTAAAATTTTCAAAGTAAAATTACATGCGAAGCGTTTTTAAGAAACAAGTTGTGTTGCGAATGAAAAAGTGAAAGGGGCGCAAAGAAAATGCACTTTTAGGGAAGTTGAAGGCGAAATCAAGAAAGAACCCCTATTAAACTGAATCCGGCTATTGTTAAAAGCAAAGCAAAAACAAGAAAAAGAAAAATGACTATTTTTAATATGTATCTGTACTTTATTTTTGAATAAATGAGGTTTGGATGTTATGGAGATTATGGGGGAAAGAATGGGAAATTTAGAGAGGATTGTGGATTTTTTACGCGTGGTTGGAAGTTGTTGGAACAAAGACCCCTATATTATGAGAGACAAAAGAGAAGAAGACAACTGGCAGACTGTGTAATTTTTTACCTGAAATCCCTGTTGAGACCAAACACCAGTAATATGGTTCGAGCACCGTAACGGGAGAGAGGGGAAAGGATGGATGAAGGGAGGCAGCAACTACCTTACAAAATACCCAAAATATACCGACTGGTGATTGGCAAAAAGAGAAATACAATAAGTGTAAAGAGAGTTTGTTTTTTGTTTCCCGTCCGTTCAGCAGTAAAGAAGGAGAAGAAGATGAAGAGACAAAATAGAGAGAACTTTCACAAGACCACGTTTACAATAGAAATCCGGAGGAGGCAATAAAGTAGGTTTCGAAGACACACGAAAAATAAACTTTGGGTTTTGTTAAAATGATGAAGTGTCGGGAAGAAATGACATAGATAGAGAGGCGAGTGACATAGATACCATGACTATATAGAGGATAATGTAATGGAGAAATGAAGAAGATCGATGTGATACTCGGATGAAACGGAGAATCTATTCGAGGAATGAGTAATGGTACTCTTCCGAAGTGGCAGCGGCGGCTGGAGCACGTTGCTCTTGTGGGTGAACAATTCCAGCTTCAATGAGAGCTCGATTCACCTTTTTGGAGTAGTCCTGAACTTCGATACGAGCAGTGGTGACTTCGATGATGAGACGGTTGTGCTCGAGCTGAAAGGTAGAAAGATAAAGATGAATAGGAGTGATGGACAATGAAAACAACACTACATACTAAGAAAATTAATTCAAACTTTTCTACTCACCTTCTGGCTGTCGTTCATGTACTTTTGCTGGTTTTGGGGATCGATTTCAGTGCTGTCATCTGGGCGTGAGCTTTCTACAATCTGCTTCAACTCATCCTCGACACTTTCCAAAGCTGGAATCTTCACCAACAGCATGTTCACATATTTTAACACCGTCTGTGGAAGATTAGCCAACATTGGTACGCACTGATCCAAATATCCCTTTGCAACAGCATTCTTGAGCATCTCTGGGATGTTGATATGATTTCCTGGCTCGTTGATTGGGATGGTTCCTCCTTGCACCCACGATCCAGTCGTGTTGTCAGCCGAGAAGTTGTTGGCGTTGTGGTTTGGAAGATACCATGGGTTTTGCTCAGTGGCCACGTCGTTCCAACGGTTGGTCTCCTCGAAAATGTTGGACTCGGTCTTGTTCGGGTTGTTTGGATCGTTCTCTGGAAGCTCTCCCCATCCGGTAACAACGATTGGACGTTTAGCTGGAATTGGGAATGGGAAGCGTTGGTTGGTATCCTCGCCTCCGTGTTCCTTCTTCTGTGGAACAGGGCACCGATTGAGAGCGGTTTCCAAATCTTCATCGGCTCCCTCAGCGACCAGCCAGAGGTTGATCGTTTTGTCGTCTGAAATAGAAAGGTTATTAATAACAAATAGACAGAAAATTATACAATGTGACTTAGGAAATTGATTAATCAAATATACTAAATTATCAAAGTCAATTTTTGTTAAACGCGTGCCAAAAACCTCTAACAACGTCGTTTTAACATTTTCATACGAATTGTAAACTCACTCTGCTTCTCCGGATCTCCCCAATACGACACTCCGGTATCCCTCTGCCACTTCTTCAGCTCTCCGTTAGGATCATGCCAGACCGACAGTGTGAGATCATCAGCTGCTCCACCGACAGAGAACTGCGAGCCAGATTGATCTCCCATTCCATACTGCTGCATGCTCCCTTGATTTCCTCCATTACCACCACCACCATTATTCCACATGTTGTTGCCACCCTGGTTGCCTCCTTGATGTCCCATATTTCCGCCACCACGATTGTTATAGTTGTTGCCACCGTATCGACCACCGCCGCCGCCGCCGCCGCCGCCTCCCATGCCTCCAGTATTCTTCCATCCATGATTTCCATTTGGAGGTCCTCCCATATTCCTCATATTTCCACCCATTCCTCCATGCATATCCATCGGTGGTGGAACAGATACATCAATATTCGCATTGTATCTTCCTTGATTATGATTCGGACGACCATTCCTCTGTCCCATTTGCATTCCACGGTTGTTATCGTGTCCCCATTGTCGGTTCATTTGCTTGTTGCCTCCCATATTATTGGGTCCTCCCCATCCGCTTTGATAATCCTGCTGCTGCATCATCGGTCCACCACGGGAACCCTGCCCTGGTGGTCCGTGATTCATACCACGCGGATTCCAAGCGCCTTGCAGTAGGGGCATTGGGTATTGTGGTTGCTGATGTGGTGGTTGATTCTTCCAGAACTCATCCGATTCCTTTCCCATCCCACCATTACTCCAAGGCTGATGATTTGGTTGTGATCCCATTGACCAATCTCCATTGGGTCCGCCAATTCCGTTTAGCGCTCCGAATGCTGTAAATTATAAGTTTTTCGAAATTAATGTGTTATTGGTGAACAGGATACTATGAAACTGATTTTGGATAACTGCAGAAAAAATCTAAATCTCACGAGCATGTGCTGGCGGTGGTGGATACTGCACGTCGCTTGCTGGGTCTGCCCAAATTTGTTTGTTGTCGTATTCCGAATTTGGCATGCCTCCCCATTGTGGTGTCTGACTCGGTGGCATCCCACCGAGCCCTAACGTCTCATTTACGTTTTGCTCTGGAAATGCTAAATTTTTGATTAGATGAACAGTTCATGGTGGAATATTTTGGAATCCTTATCATCCCAAAAGATAACTTACCCATATCATTTGGCTCTTGCTGCCACGGAGGCCTGTTCTGGAACTGTGGAACGGGTGGAGCCCAGACTGCACCGCCACCAGGTCCTCTACCGGGCTGGTGTGGTACTCCACCATTAGACCATACAGACTGCTGCGGTTGTTGTTGGTCGTGTGGACGCCATGATGAATCGTCTATTGAGATGTTATTCAAGCTTCTTTCGAGACTCTCCATGGTTGCGTTGATCGCACTCTGGCGATCAGAGTTTGAGGTGAGCTGAAAGTAGAAAAAATGGTTATCGATAAAAGATGGAGAGTGATTTTGAATCGAGTTGAGGAGGCGGAGAAAACTGATACAATGATTGATAAGAGTTGTTTGACAGGTCGGTGAGCAGTATAACATCAAGAGTATACGAATATAGTCTTGGTTCTGAATATTTTTTCTTAGGATCGTTCTTCAGAGAAAAACACATTTTCAATTCATCAGAAACTTCGTTTAGTTTGTGGAAGATAGAAAGGACTTTGATATTTTAACCAAAAAGTAAACAAAAACGTGTGACACGCTTTGATGAAAGAAAAGGGAAAGTACGAAAACAACATTTGACCTAGTAATGGAAAAAGTTTTTGAGAGAAAATAATTAGTCTTCTTTCCTTATAATTGCGAAAAACTAAAATTTCTTGAGAGAAAATTCATCGAAATCGGGGTATGGTAACTGAATGCTACGAGTTCTTACGAGTGGTAGAGTGTTGACGAACAAAAATATTTCCCATGCAAGAAAAATTTCAAAACTCGAAGTTTGTATACTTTCTAACGAAAACCATCAAAAGTTGTAACGGCGAAAAAGGAGGTCCGAATGGGGCCGAACTGCTAAGTGGGGTATGGTGGGAGGTCGATGGACGGGGAAAACGAAAGACGGAACGATTTTGGGGTAGGGAAAAAGCGAAGAAGCATATGGAAGAGACTAGTTAGAGAAGAGACACACGTACACTCTCCTGGTGCTACGTCCTGGCTACCCGATCGAGGGCGAGAAAGCGACCGACAACGTCTCTCTTTCCCCTTCTGTGAGTAGACAAGGTCTAGAGGGAAGAGGGTGCGGAAAGAAAAGCAAGGGCCAGTGGTGGAGAATCCACATCGAATTGCGGAGAGAGGGTTTCGCGAGACGCAGTGGAAACCCCCCTCTCTATCCCCGCTGGGTAAAAACGACGCAGGAAAGACAGTGTCGTGTAGCATCTCCCTCTTCACTCATCACGCAACTCTTTTTCTCTGCCCTCTCTTCTATCCAGAAATCAATGAGACCTGTGTGTGCTGTGTGGAAGGGTTAGAGCAGAGACGGGAAGAGTCGTCGATAGAGAAGAAGCGGTGCGGTGAAGAGACTCAGAGAAAAT